TAATCTAGTGCCACCTGAGGTAGAGGGTAACAACATAGCCGCATTAGTGAGGTTCAATAATGTAAGCCACATGAAAACACATGCAGTAAAATTATCAACATCATAAGAGGATTATAACCTAGTTTTAACCATCTCGTAATCATTACACATCAGATGGACAGACCTGGAAAAGGGCAACTTGGATAAACATAAAAATCTACAAGTTGATAGTCAGTGCACAAAGCCACAATAAAACTCACAGTAATCAACCTTTCAACCTGAGGAGCACCTGAAATCAGACCTTCAAAAAGAAAAGGAATAAGAAGAAAGAGCACCTTCTGGTTTTGAATTACAAATGCTTCTTCTAAGGAAGGCCGAAGCAACTCCATCATCTGGGTATCAGAGAAGTCATAGCATATATGCTCTAATATGTCCTTGTCAGCAACAAATCCCAGTGCCCGAAAGACAATTATGATAGGAATTTCAGTCCGTATATACGGAAGAGTAGCACGAATGTATTGTCATGAAGAGCCCTGCAGTTTATACATAAAAACCAAAAAAAATGTAAAACCATTTGCTTCTGCAACTAACTACTGCACTGAATGATTGGATGGTGGAGAGTGCATCCCAAATACCAGAAGTAATTATCTTTACCCATTTGGCACTAGTCCTAGAAAGCATCCACACAAACATGGTACTTGGTGGCCTATTCTGGGACTCTGCCATGGACCGAACTTCTGCCACATAGGCGTATTTGTTTGGCTGCCTCTTTTTGAAGACATAGACATAATTTGTGCTCATCTTCTCCTGAGCAATTAGAACCTTTTCACTCTCATTGATACTGAAATACCCACCTTGATCATATGGACACTCCCCAAGCTCAGTCAGATCCTTCTCTGAATTTTGGTATAGTGTGCAATAACTTGACCAAAGCATTATAGGAACCTAACATGCAAAACAGGGAAAATGGGTGTCAACATTAAAAGTTAAATTCACCCGTTTACAAATAGAAAGTTCAGAATGCAAACCTTCCCAATGAACACTTTGGTAAAATCCTGAGTCTCAGTGACTTCTTCATCATCATGCCCTTTCTTTATAACTCTTTTAGTTACATCGACATACAAGGGAGCTAAGTATGTGAGATTCCTCAACCTTGCAGCTTTTGGAAATAAAGTTGCAGTTTCACCATCCGACTCAGTCATCATAGGTTTACTTAAGTAGATTTGGCCAAAGCTAATCTTATAGATAGTCTGCAGATAAGCACTAGTATTCAGAAACCCAAACAAAAGAAACAACCAACTTAAGGAACAAAAACTTAAAACCTTCAGGCTTGATTTGACCCCATAGAGCTAAGGTGCTAACTACTAAGCAAGCTAGCAGGGAAGCAAAAAAAATATCCCTAAGCAATTTATTATGGAACTGAAGCATCTCCAACATATAAAAACAAATAACATATAAGAATTTGCAGGCTATGACAATTATGGTAAGTTAAATTTGAAGTTACCATGACAATCAAGAAACAGTGAAACTGATAAAAACTCATTGACGCTTTTCATCGGCATTATTTTTTTTATTGATATATATGGAAGAAACCCATTAGCTTAACAAAGTAGCCACCCTTTTGAATGGAAAGAGCTGAATATTCAGAGGTCGTAATATGCTATCCATTTCTAGACTTTCTATTTACTTGAATAACTCTCTATAATGATTTCCAAGATCGCTTCCTTTCTCTTTTTAATTGGTTTCTAACTCTATATTAATCATACTTAAGCTCAGATAGACACTGTATTAACAAAATTTAAAAATGAACTTGGAATCAACCGTACAATTTATTTTCAGTGTTCCCAAACTACAACTTTCTCTTTTTTTTTTTTAATATTCATCAGAAGAACTAACCAACCTAAAATTAAACTCCAATAAAACCAAACTCCAACCCTAAAAAGCAAAAAGTAAAAGAACCTCAGCAAAATCGGACTGGTGACCAGGATTGTGTCATCTAGGATTTCTTGCCTCGTGTTTTGGATAAACTCATCGAACGAGTCGAGCTGTTGACGCACCAAACCTTTTTCTTCGAAATAAGCAGAGATAAAACGCCCACGCGTCTTCTTGTGTGATCTCCTCGTCTTCTTCGTCGTCGATTAGTTGCGGGTCGTACTCTATATCGTCCTCCATGGCTAAGGTTTTTTAAGGCCCTGTTTGTCGCAGGGTATTCTGGCTTTTATTTGGAGTGAAAATTTCGAAGTAGAACCCTAAGTGAGTGTGAGTGAAAGGAGTTCTTGTAAAAGAAAAAAAAATGAACAAACAAATTTCCTCTTGTTCTTTCTATTTGAAGACCGGTTTTTAGGGGATGCGCTTATTAACAGGCTATACCGGTGACCGGTATTTATCGAACAGATCCGAAAATTTTCTCTATTTATAACATGAGATGCGTTGGATGGATACTGTATTTCGTTTGGACGGTTTAGATTGATAGTGGTCAAATCCGCTGGGCTTATGGTTGAAAGTCCAAGGGCCTCCTCGTGGCCTTCAGTGGGTCATATACATTGGAGCGCTCATAATAAAGGAGGCCCAATTAAAGCCTTAAATATAAAATCGATCATTAACAATTACATGAAGATTAGTAAATTTTATTAATTCCATATTTAATATTTTAGTAATTTTGTGTGACAGAAAATCCATATAAGTTACTAATAAGTATATGTAATGTTAGTATGTTACTAAAAATTAGGTAAAGATTACTTAAAATAATTATGTATTTTGAGATTACTAACTAACTTTACATATCAAGGTTATCGAAAAGATATAAAAGTTATCAAAATTAAAGAAAATTAAAGAACCCTAATAAAAGTAAACTTTGTAATTGACACAGCAGTACCACCATTTAAGGGTAATAGTAATTTAGATAGTATTAGATTTTATTCAATTTTTTTTATAGTATATAAAATTATAAATTTTTAAAATTTGGTTTGATTTTATATTTTTATATGATCAAATCAAATTTTATTAGTTTGATTTAATTTATTGATTTTTAAATTTTAAATTTTTATATATTGTTTTAATATAATTTTTAATATATTTAAATAAATTTAAATATAAAATATTTATTTTATTTTATTTTATAAAAATTTAATATATATATATATATAAATTAAAAACATATATAATTTCATTATATTGAATTTTTTTTATTTTTTACTTTTTGATCTTAAAATCAATTCAAATCTAATATATATATATTTAACATTCAAATTTAATTTAATTTAAATTAAAATATTCGATTTAAACCGACCCAAATACTATAATTTTCTATTATTTTCGGTTTTCTTGTTTTTTTTTTTTTTTTCTCGTTTCTATCACCGTCGGCTCAAAGAGCCTTCTGTAGTTACCACATAAGCAAAAGACTCGAAGGCTAAAAACCCACCTGGACTGAAAAAATGGCAATAGCCGTAGTTGAACAGATTCAGCAATCGAGCAAATGCCCCGGAAGCATCTTCATGCAATCAGCCTTTAAAGCTTGTGCATTTACGATTGAAAAAACTGCAAAATTGTCCGATAGTTTTTGAATGCCTTCTTGTTGATTTCATCACAAACGTGTAAATTTCATGATTTGGCAGGTTGCCAAATCATTCTTTTCCTATTGAAATATATGTTGAGGAAGCTAGTGCACCACCAGCTATATCTGTCTTCCTAACACAGTGCTCTACGCATCATATCAAATCTGAAACCCTGCATCTATTGTTTGATCCCCCACTTGCCAGGTCCAATCAAATGGTTTTCATTTAAGCTTTTGAAGAGAATTATTTCCCTCCTATCACTTGATTCATTGAAGACATTAGTTTTCATGGCCAAAACCAACAGAATTATCACCATTATCCTGAGGCTTCTAGCTTTCTGTGCAACTCTTTCTACACCAGTTGTCATGGCTACTAGTCATGACTCTACCGATGTTTTGAACTTAAAATTCTAAGCAAAATATAGCAACTCCCTTACATTTAGGTAAGATTCATCATCTTCTTTCATTCTCCATATATATATTTTTTTCATTTTTTCTTGAGGGTTTATTGAGATATTTCTTGATTGTCAAATGTTTGGCATAGGTATTATAAGATTGCTGAGGCAATTGCAACCGGTTACAGCTTTATAGTTCTCTTTCTCTCTTCATGAAGCTTGGAATGGCGCCTGATTGTGATCCTAGATGTGGTCATAGCAATGCTACTAACCTCAGGCATCTCGGCTGCTCTGGCAATAGCTCGAGTAGGCAAAAAGGGGAACAGTCATGCAAGTTGGCTGCCCATTTGTGGACAAATTCCAAAATTCTGCCATGTTCTCTTGCTTCTTGTTCTGTTTCTTCTCGTCTCGCTTTTGTGAAAGTTGATCCCAGCCCATTTCCAAAGCAGAAATCTGTTTCTGCCATGTAAGCCTTTATGACTCTGAATCGGATGGACCAAACCATGATCCCTTGTCCAAACAGAAACCTTATTCTTACCAGCTTGAGTTGCCAAACATAACTATTGCGGAAAACATAATAAAAAGACAACAGGAAACTGACATCAACTAAAGCTCCTAGCGAAAAATTTACAAGAAATTTTATAAGTGGAATTTGTGAAATATTTTATTAAAAATGAATAAGTAAAAATTAAAATAAAAAATTAAAATTAATAGATTAAAAGATTTTATTACGTGTAAAATTTAAAAGTATTTTAATTAATTTTGATATATATTATTAAATAGATATTTTTAATAAAAATATTAACAAAATTTTTATTATTAAATAAATATTAATCAATTTTAAATTATAAATAAATTTTTTAATAATTTTTTTTACATATTATTAATTTTTACATTAAATTCTATTGATTTATCAATTCAAAATTTTTATTTTTTTATTTTTAATAAAAAACTTTATAAATTTCACAAAAATTTATATAAATTTTATCCTAAGGTCCTAACAGAAAACATATCTATAATCAGATATTTTATAAGAAAAAAATCTTACTATTAGATATCAGAACAACGTGAGGACAAGAACCATTTGCCCAAAGCCTCAGCGTATCACAGGAAAACAAACTCCCACCATTCAAACTAGATTACAGCGCCCTAACTCCTTTATGCATTTTCACTACGCTAATCACTCTCTCTAAAACCCACCAGCAATTATCCATAGGGTCAAATGTATAGCAAAGAAGCATAGAGCCATAGTGTTTTCGTCCCATCTTTCAAGAAGATGGTTTGCGGAGCTCTGTCCTTAACCATCCCTTTGTTTTCAACTTTAACCTCCAAAGATGCTAAAAGAGTTACAAATCACTATAATCATTGTCGGTCAACTCCTAGAATTCGATGCTCAAGTTCTAGTGCAGAGTTGCCCGTAACTGCTGGTGAGTTCTATGCTTTCTCCATTTCATTTCCAGTTTTTGAACAATTGATCAGATATTAACTGGTGTTTGATTGAAAAGATGAAAAGAATCCTTTGTGAGTTTGAAATTGAAACTGCTAGACAAGAGAAATGTTGTGTGAATGCTCTGTCCTGTAAAGCTACCCAACTTGTCTTGATTCGGTATATCAGCTACTGCTTATAAGGAGTTCTTCTCTTGGAGGAAGTTTCTTTGAATTGTTTTTGCATAATTTGCAAGGAAACAAAAGGCCAAAATATGTTGGTTTTGGATATGGGTTTGATTATGCTGGTATAATAAACGTGGTCTTATGTTCAAGTTGGCCCTTCACGTATTGTCACGTACAGTAGGTTGGATGCTTAACAAGTTTTATGCTAAATATCACATGATATATATTTGGCATGACTTCCTTTGTTACCTTAGTAATATTGTTGTTATTACTACTTGATACAACTTTTATGAAGTACTAATATTGTTATTTGCAACTTAAAAGTTGATTTACATCGTGCTTAACTGCTTCTATGACAGATAAACTTGAAAATGATCATTCCCTGACTGGTACTGCTTATGATTTTGAAAGAGCTACCACATCACTTACTCGTAAGTCCTTATCGACCTCAAAGAAGGTAACTCTTGTAAGGCATGGCCTCAGCTCTTGGAATGAGGAGGGTAGAGTTCAGGTTTGTTGCCTCCTGCTCTTCTAAGTTATTTTCTATTACAATATCTTGTTTGTGGGTGGTGGTTATAGTTGATATTATGCTAGAACTTTAACATCCTTCACGATCTGCCGACTTTGCTTTTAATTCCATTTTGAATGCTTTTAGCTTTGCTACTTACCAGCCTGTAAACTGTAAAGGAATTTCTAGCTTCAGAATCTCGTATGGCTCATCAAGTGTGTCAAGTCTTGATTAAATTTAGTATTCTCCCCATAAGAGACATTACAAATTTGTTTCAATGTAAACGTAACGCAATTAAGATATGTGGGTTTAAACATTGAAGACAATAATACTTCACTATTGACCGTTATCTTTCACCAGAATCCTGTAAATCCATCTAAACCTTAAAATTTGGCGGTTTTAATTGATCATTATGCCATATCTTTCTCTATAAACCCTCTTAATCCATCTTAATCTTAATTTTTAAGGGGTTTTCTTGAATGTTATTGTGAACATAAAGTAAGTTAATTATTCCACGTGACTCAAAGTTCCATGGATTTGGAACTGCTAACTTTGTGACTGTTTGTGTTGCAGGGAAGCTCGAACTTATCTGTTCTAACAGAAACTGGAGTGAAGCAAGCTGAGAGGTGTAGGCAAGCCCTTGCAAATATGCACTTTGATCAATGCTTTTCGAGTCCAATATCCCGCGCAAAGGTATGACTAGGGATGCTAATTGTTAAGGTTGGATGTATAGGATTCTCTTTGATTTTGAACCATCATTCTTTAACGCAGACCACAGCCGAAGTGTTATGGCAAGGAAGGGAAGAGCCATTGGTTTTCCTTGATTCACTGAAGGAGGCCCATCTTTTTTTCCTTGAAGGCATGAAAAATGGTCTGTTTTACATATATCTGAATTAACCATGATTTGATTCTGTAAACTATTCACTTGTTTATAACCTGTCTAAGTACACAACTGACTGGGTCTATTTAGAAGTTATTCTCTATAGCTGGTCTTGAAATCCAGTTAATTTTTATCATTTTTATTTAGTTCTGGCATATGCATTAGACTAAATAATATTCAGAATTTGGAGGCAGTGGATGCTAGGGTGATATATCCAAAGGAATATGTAACATGGAGAGAGGATCCGGCGAATTTCTACGTGAATGGCATCTACCCTGTTCGGAAACTATGGGCAACGGCTAGAGAAGCTTGGAGGGAAATCTTGTTAACACCTGTATGCTCTCTTCTTTTTATAATTTTTTTCCCCCATCTTTTGCATTGCAAATTAATTTGATTGATGAGTAAGAATCTTTATCATTCATCAGGGAGAAAATTTTCTAGTTGTCACTCACAAATCAATGTTAAGGGCACTGATCTGCACAGCTTTAGGACTAGCCCCTGAGAGGTATGTCGTGTTCAGAACATGTTAAGATGATACTGCTGCATTCCTGCTCTTCTTTCTGAAGCTCTTAACAGTGTTTTCTATGCTTCAGGTTTCGGTCAATTGATGTGAATAATGGTGGTATATCCACATTTAATTTCAACAAAAGAGGGGAAGCGATGCTCCAGTCATTGAATAATACTGCCCACATGTATAGCGATCATGTGTATCTTTCCTGAAACTGTTGGAAGCAATACCTGTTAATAGTCAGAAAAAAGACTATTTTGGTGTGTAGATCATATGGATACGGTATGATACCTAATCAATAGAGCAGAGGCTCATGGTTTTGACGTTTCCCTTAACATGGTTTATTCGGGTGAAAATAAAAGTGTAATTGATTAAGTTGTAATTGCATTAGATTTGAAATTTAAAATTTGAAATTTAATTTAAATTTAATTAAATCTGATTTTTTTAATTTAAATTTAATTTAAAATAAAAATTAAATTATTTAAATTCGTTTTATTAAACTTAATTAATATATATAAATAAATTTAATTTTTATATTTAATAAAAATTTAATTATTTATATTTAAATTTAAAATATTTTATTAATTAAAATAACTAAAATATAAAATTTTAATTAAATTTATAAATTATTTGAATTAAATATAAAAATAATTTAATTTAATTTAATCGGTAAATTAAATTATTTAAATTTAAATTAATAATAATTAAAATAAATTTAAATTTTATTTTAATTAAATTTAAATAATTTATAAATATTAATGCACCGTTTTTATCGAAAACGAAAGTCTTCGTCAGAAAAGTTCGGATAACCATTGTCAAGAGTAACAGATAGGTGGTGCATGTATTGATGGTACTTGCGTTGGTATTAAAGTAATCCCTCTTTTGCTGCCATTCTCTACTTTCGATGCACAGTTAGACCCACGTGCCACAACAGCAGTCCACAGCAGCCCCTGCAGGAAGCCAGCGACAACAAGTTATCACAGGATGACGTAAGAAGACCGAGACTACAATTATCACGTGATACCCGGTACGAATTTATTTGACGAACGATTAAATTAATTTTGATAAAATTAAAATTAATGACAAAAATTATTATTATTATTATGATAAAAGATTTTGTATTATATTTAACAATTGCATTTCAAAAATTTGTTATTTGATTTCATTGTTGAATTTTTTTGAACTTAATTAAAAGTGCAGTTGTATCTAAATTTATCTTAAATTTTTTTTAAAAATTTTTTTAAATCTTAAATTTTACTAAATTTATATATGTGGAGTATTTAGGGTTTTAATTTTTTTAATTCTTTAAATTAAATTTCAATTTTGTATCAAGTGGTTGAAGAGAGTATATGGATATTAAAAGAGAAAATATGAGAATCGTATAGTATTATTGTTAGCTTGTCGAAAGTAAATTTCGACACGATTTTAAAGACAAGCCCACAAGGCAAGCATGTGTGACATCTATAAACAATTGAAAAAACCAAACAAAGCATCCAAACCTTGAGAAAAGGACAAAAAGAAGTGGCCTCAGCAAAGACAATAATTAAAGGCCATGTGAAATCAAAGATCTGTTTGATTTGTCGTTCGAATTCCCATAACAACATAAATAAAACCGTTGCCCCTCTGCTCGCTAGTTCAACTTGCACCGTTTGTTACAGCTTACCTAAACAGACGAGAAAAAAAAAGTTAAAAAATTCAAAAATCGAGTATTTAGTTTGAATCGATTTTTTATTTAATTAGGTTTATATTAAATATATATTAAATTTTTAATCAAAAAATAAAAAATAAAAAAATGATCGAACCAAATTATATATTTTAAATTTTTATAAAATAAAAATAAAAATTTATTTAAATATATTAAAAATTTTATTAAAATAATATTTTAAAAATAAAAATAAAAATAAAAATTAATAAATTCAAATTAAATTAAATTTATAAAATTTAATTTAAATCAAATGGATTTAAAAATTAAATTTATAAAATTTAATTCAATTCATATTAATTTTTAAAAAAATTAATTTAAATTTAAAATAAATTTTATAATTTTATAATATCATATATTATTTTAAAAATAAAATTAAATTCGATTCAATCATAATTATTATCAACCTTACCGAACACTAGAATCCCACTTTCAAACTATATATTTTCCCTTTAAATTTACCCAAGGAAGTGTTTGGCAATAAAATTCTTCATTTATCATCTCTGTTTGTTTTTAAAGACTTTAGTGGCCAATTTATAACTGGTCAGGTGATATCCGGAGCCGTTTTTAATCAAATTCCACATCATTAATTTGAAATTATTGATGCGTTCTTCATAGAGAATCATAATCCAAACGATACGAACTTTGCTACGGTGCTACTCACTCGCCTCCTCTGCACGTGGGCTAAAAAGCTAACAACAAAGCAAAGATTATGAATTATTCCTCGCTTTCGTGTATCATCCAAAATCCTTATAACCCAAACTCAAACAAGCAAAAATAGCAATTTCTTATTGCTTTATATTCTTCTTTTCTCCGACAGTCCATTTTTTTTCACTTTTTAGACTCTGTTTCTATCAGTTTCGTTTCTCTGAGAAAGCAAAGCCAAGGCTTTAGTCTTTGAGAGTTTGTGGCACCAGAAACAATGGAAAAAGAGATGTTTTGAAGAGAAATAAGGAAAAGAAGAAGTGAAGTAACCAACAATGAGTGGTCTACGGCAACGTCCAGGTCCCACGCGCGGCCGTGGAGACCTACGCCCTCAGCAGCGGCTGCCGTCGCCAATTCAAGAAGTTTACAACATAATACCAGTTCAGGACCTCCTGGCTGATCATCCATCGCTCCGGTACCCCGAAGTACGGGCCATCGCAGCGGCGCTGTTACGTCCTGTTTTAAACCTCCCGGCACCAACGTTCATCACGTTGGCCCCACACGCGGACCTGATGGACTGGTTAGGCGTCTCCTTCGGTTTCCAAAGGGGCAACGTTCGGAACCAAAGGGAACACCTCGTCCTCCACTTAGCCAACTCCCAAATGCGCTTACAACCGCCTCCAACCAACGCCGACGAACTCGACCCTGGTGTACTGCGAAGATTCCGCCGGAAGTTACTCCAGAACTACACTTCCTGGTGCTCTTTCCTCGGTGTCAAATCTCACGTCCACCTCTCAACGCGCCGTGGCAACAGCAACGATCTCACGCGCGAGCTCCTCTACGTTTCCCTCTACCTCTTAATCTGGGGAGAAGCCGCCAATCTCCGCTTCGCTCCTGAACTCCTCTCTTACATTTATCATCACATGGCAATGGAATTAACCAAATTTATCGACCAACACATCGATGAATTTACCGGAAGGGCCTTCGTGCCATCGATTTCAGGTGAATGCGCTTTCTTGAAATGTATCGTTATGCCGTTTTACCGAACGATTAAAACGGAAGTGGACAGTAGTAGGAACGGAACGGCGCCACATTCAGCTTGGAGAAATTACGACGATATAAACGAGTACTTTTGGAGTCAAAGGTGTTTTGAGAGTTTAAAATGGCCGATTGATTACGGGAGTAATTTCTTTGATACGGTGGATAAGAATAAAAGAGTTGGGAAAACTGGGTTTGTTGAGCAACGGTCGTTTTGGAATGTGTTTAGGAGTTTTGATCGGTTATGGGTTCTGTTAATTCTGTTTTTACAGGCTTTGATTATTGTTGCTTGGGCCGGAACGAAGTATCCTTGGAAGGCTTTGGAGGAAAGGGATGTTGAGGTGGAGTTGTTAACGGTATTTATTACTTGGGCCGGTCTCCGGTTTTTGCAATCTGTGCTTGATGCTGGGACTCAGTATAGTTTGGTTTCCAAGGAGACGCCATGGCTTGGAATACGGATGGTGTTGAAGAGTGTGGTTGCTTTGACTTGGATTGTTGTGTTTAGTGTTTTTTATGAGAGGATTTGGAGTCAGAAGAATGCTGATGGGAGGTGGTCTTTTGAAGCCAACCAAAGGATTATTACATTTCTTTATGCTGTTTTTGTGTATGTTATTCCAGAGTTGTTGTCGTTGGCGCTTTTCCTGATTCCTTGGGTTCGGAATTGGATTGAAGGGTTGGATTGGGTGGTTGTCTCTTGGTTGACATGGTGGTTTCATACACGGATTTTCGTCGGTCGTGGACTGAGGGAAGGTTTAGTTGATAATTTCAAGTATACTTTATTTTGGTTCGTGGTATTAGTTTGGAAGTTGGCATTCAGTTATTTTCTTCAAATAAAGCCCCTGGTTGCTCCAACTAAGGCCCTTTTGAGTCTTTCAGTTGTTAGGTATAATTGGCATGAGTTTTTTGGTAGTAGTAATAGAATTGCTGTTGTGTTGCTGTGGATTCCTGTTGTTCTGATTTATTTCATAGATTTGCAAATTTGGTATTCGGTTTTTTCTTCATTTGTTGGTGCAACAATCGGGTTGTTTTCGCATTTGGGTGAAATCAGGAATATGGAGCAACTTCGGCTTAGGTTTCAGTTCTTTGCTAGTGCAATGCAATTTAATCTCATGGCAGAGGATCAGTCGTTGAGTCCCAAAGCAACCCTGGTGAGGAAATTTCGCGATGCAATACATCGACTGAAGCTTAGGTATGGACTTGGTCAGCCGTACAAGAAGATTGAATCAAGCCAAGTGGATGCAACGAGGTTTGCTTTGATATGGAATGAAATAGTTTTTTCTTTGAGGGAGGAAGATCTCATTAGTGATAGAGAAGTTGAGCTTATGGAACTGCCGCCTAATTGTTGGAATATTAGGGTAATTCGCTGGCCATGTTTTCTCCTATGCAATGAGCTGCTTCTTGCTCTCACTCAGGCAAAAGAGTTGGCAGATGCACCTGACATGTGGCTTTGGGTGAAGATATGCAAGAATGAGTATGGGAGGTGCGCTGTTATTGAAGCTTATGACAGCATCAGGCATTTGCTTCTTACACTAGTTAAATATGGCACTGAAGAGTATTCCATAGTCTCAAAATTGTTTGAGGAGATAGACTTCAATGTGCAGAATGGGCAGTTAACTGCTGCATACAAGATGGATGTGCTACAGAAAATTCATGGGAAGCTAGCATCCCTTGTTGAACTTCTAGTGAAACAGAAAAATGATCTGAGCCAGGCAGTAAATCTATTGCAGGCCCTTTATGAACTTTGCATTCGAGAATTTCCGAAGATAAAGAAGTCCATTGCTCAGTTGAGAGAGGAAGGTCTGATACCAAAAAATCCAGCAACTGATGAGGAGCTGCTTTTTGAGAATGCTATCAAGTTACCTGATGCCGAGGATGCTGATTTCTATAAGCAGCTAAGGCGTCTGCTAACAATTCTTACTTCTAAGGATTCAATGCATAATGTTCCTCTGAATCTGGAGGCAAGGAGGCGCATTGCTTTCTTTAGCAACTCACTCTTTATGAACATGCCTCGTGCCCCTGATGTTGAGAAAATGATGGCTTTTAGTGTTCTAACTCCATACTATGATGAAGAAGTAATCTATAAGAAAGGAATGCTTCAAGATGAAAATGAGGATGGCATTTCCACCTTGTTTTATCTTCAGAAGATCTATGAGGATGAGTGGAACAATTTCATGGAACGGATGCGCAGAGAAGGGATGGATGAGGATGATGATATTTGGACAACAAAGCTGAGGGATCTCCGACTTTGGGCATCATACAGGGGGCAGACGTTATCCCGCACAGTTAGGGGAATGATGTATTACTATAGGGCTCTTAAGATGCTTTCCTTTCTTGATTCTGCATCTGAGATGGACATTCGAACAGGCACACAAGAAATTGCTTCTCATCATTCATTAAGCCAAAATCATGGTTTTGTTGATGCTATTAAGCCACCAACTGCAAAGAAATTTAGCCGAGCAGTTAGTGGTGTAAGTCTGTTGTTCAAGGGACATGAGTATGGATGTGCTTTGATGAAATTCACCTATGTAGTCACCTGCCAGGTGTATGGGCGGCAAAAGGCAAGGGGAGAGAGCCATGCTGAGGATATTCTATATCTGATGAAAAACAATGAAGCTCTTCGAGTTGCCTATGTAGATGAGGTTCAGTTAGGGAGAGGCGAGGTTGAGTATTACTCTGTTCTTGTGAAGTATGACCAACAGCTACAGAGGGAGGTGGAGATTTATCGCATTAGGTTGCCAGGGCCCTTGAAACTTGGGGAAGGAAAACCGGAGAACCAGAATCATGCCATAATTTTTACTCGAGGTGATGCAATTCAGACCATTGACATGAACCAGGACAATTATTTTGAGGAGGCACTCAAGATACGGAATTTGTTGGAGGAGTTCAAGATGAATTATGGTATTAGGAAGCCAACCATTCTTGGAGTTCGTGAGAATGTCTTCACAGGTTCAGTTTCCTCACTTGCACGGTTCATGTCTGCTCAGGAAACAAGTTTTGTGACCCTTGGGCAGCGTGTTCTAGCAAACCCTTTGAAGGTGAGAATGCACTATGGTCATCCAGATGTGTTTGATCGATTCTGGTTCTTGACTAGGGGTGGAATTAGCAAGGCTTCTAGAGTGATTAATATCAGTGAGGACATATTTGCAGGCTTCAATTGCACTCTGCGAGGTGGCAATGTAACACACCATGAATATATGCAGGTGGGTAAAGGAAGGGACGTGGGATTGAATCAGATTTCCATGTTTGAGGCCAAGGTTGCCAGTGGCAATGGTGAGCAGGTATTGAGCAGAGATGTCTATCGATTGGGTCATAGGTTGGACTTCTTTCGTATGTTTTCTTTTTTCTACACAACTGTCGGACACTACTTTAACACGATGATGGTGGTACTGACTGTTTATACATTTTTGTGGGGCCGCCTCTATCTTGCACTGAGTGGTGTTGAGAGGGAAGCCAAGAATCAAAGTGTCAGCAATGAGGCTCTTGGAACGATCTTGAATCAGCAGTTTATAATACAGCTTGGTCTGTTCACTGCCCTTCCAATGATTGTTGAGAACTCTCTTGAACATGGATTTCTTCCAGCAGTTTGGGACTTCCTAAAAATGCAATTTCAGCTAGCATCATTTTTTTACACTTTCTCTATGGGAACACGAACCCATTACTTTGGCCGGACTATCCTTCATGGAGGTGCCAAATACCGAGCAACTGGACGTGGTTTTGTGGTTGTGCACAAGCGCTTTGCAGAAAATTATCGACTTTATGCTCGAAGCCATTTTGTGAAAGCAATTGAACTTGGTGTTATTCTAGCAGTGTATGCTTCTCATAGCCCACTCGCTAAGGATTCGTTTGTTTACATAGCTATGACCATTTCAAGTTGGTTCCTTGTGGTCTCATGGATAATGTCCCCTTTTGTGTTCAACCCATCTGGCTTTGATTGGTTGAAGACTGTGTATGATTTTGATGATTTTATGAATTGGATATGGTGTAAGGGTGGTGTGTTTGCAGAAGCTGATAAGAGCTGGGAAATATGGTGGTATGAGGAACAAGACCATTTGAGAACAACAGGTCTATGGGGAAAGCTACTAGAGATCATTTTAGACCTTCGTTTCTTCTTCTTCCAATATGGTATTGTGTACCAGTTGGGCATTGCTGGTCAAAGCACCAGTATAGTTGTTTACCTACTATCTTGGATATACATGATTGCGGCCGTTGGGATTTATGTGGTTATAGCATATGCTCAAGACAAATATGCAGCAAAAAAGCACATCTACTATCGAGCAGTTCAGCTTGTAGTCACTACACTTACAGTACTTGTGATTGTGTTGTTGCTGGAATTCACTAATCTTAAGTTTATTGATCTTGTGACAAGTCTTATGGCATTCATTCCTACGGGATGGGGTCTGATATCCATTGCCCAAGTGCTTAGACCTTTTCTGCAATCTAGTGTGGTGTGGGAGACCGTAGTTTCCTTGGCACGGTTGTATGATATGTTGTTTGGAGTGATTGTCATAGCTCCTGTGGCATTGCTATCGTGGTTGCCTGGATTCCAGGCTATGCAGACAAGAATCTTATTCAATGAGGCTTTCAGCAGAGGTCTGCAGATATCTCTCATTATTTCTGGCAAAAAATCCACAAAATGACGTTAAGGTAACTTTTTATCTCAAGTTCAATTTAAAAATTTGCCTTATTTTGTTTATCTGTCTTTGTTCTGGCTGTGTGATATAGTTGGCTTGGGCCTTGGATGGCATATTTGTCTTATTAATTGATGTTTCAACTCAAGTTGGATTTGCTGAAGTTGTTTTTATGCTAGCAAGCAGTTACATGATTGACATATATTTGAACGACTTTATTCTAGTATCTGACTGCAAGTCGCTACTTCAACAATATTACATTTTATTCCCATATCAACAGAAAATTTTTCTCAATTCTATATTTTGGTTTTTGCAAACCATATATTGTGATCTGAAAACCAATTAACAACTCATGTCTTCATTTCATGGTATTGAAGTTCAAGTCAAGTTCAACTTTCTAATTTAATGAAACTCACAAATCCCAAACTTTTTTGTTGGTCTATATTTCTATGCATGCTTTTACAAGCTACTTGGTAGACGGGTTCCTGATGCAGGCAGCTGCGAGCTTCACTTATTCTCTGCCTGCTTGAAATCTTGTCCTGGCATCACTAAGTGATTGGCAGGGGTTAACTTTGGAGTAACCACGTATAGTATTGGGTATGGATCTGTATAAATTGAATAGATGAAAGTGTTGGTTACTTGTTTTGCTGTCTTATTGTGGTATCATTGGAAAAGGCATCAATCAAGGAATCAGGATCTTATTTTCGTTTGAAATGAAGGGATTGTTTCTTTTGTTAGGCTTTGCCCCCGTGACCATTTGACATGGGGAGTAAGGAATCTGATAAATTTGGGGGAATATGATTTGCTGGGTCTTCTGCAGTATGATTCATTTTTCTGGAGATTCTATAACTGGTTTTCATCTTAATTTCTTTCTGCTGGAATGATAACATTTTTGGGTCTGTTGCTGTGGTTGCTTTCTTTTGCATGTATCTTTTTTTTTTATTCCATGTTTATCTGATTAGCTCCTTTTGAATCTTTCTTTGGTTGTGCAGAGCTGTAGTGCATTTTCATATTAACTCTGAGCTGTCTTTGGCAGTGCTTGTGAAAAGCAAAATTGCTGACTGGAAATGCGATTGGCATAGTTGAGAAAAGAGTCTGCTTGAAACTTGAAAAGTAATAAAAATTGTACAAACCATGTTATCTTCTCACTGGTGCTTTGGTTTCAAATCAAGGACAAGTGGTTATTATCATTGCAACTGAGGACTACGATTCAAGGAAATGGACTAGCATTTTATAATTGCCGAAGTGAAGAGTTTCATGATCCTAATCAAATTAAAGCCGGAGTCAACCATATATAGAGGGATGTGCATGCAGATGTTGCCTGGTTCCATTAATTTGCTCCACTCTTTCAAAACAATGGAGGCAACTATTGATGAGGGAGACAGGATGACATGTCATTGTCTCTATCCATATGTTTCAAACAGTTTCAAAGTAACATTAGGACATGTGAATGAACGGACTTCCAAAATAAAAAGAATTATCATATATGCAACCGTACTACATGGTATTCCTGTTTGATTGGGAGAAAAAAAATAAACAAGAAATTCGATATATTCAAGTAACTTCATGCTACATCACATCCCTTTAGATAGTCTTTGCAGCCATTGTTTTGAGATCCCATTTTCAAGTAAATCTAAGAGATTCAAAGGATTAAAAATCTAGGAATTTCTCTTATGATAATTGGGAACCAAAATTTGTTTCAACTGGAAATTAGTGAACTGTACTACTTAATAAAAATAAAGGAGCAAGAAATACAATCAACAAAAATTTAGCATGGGCATATTTCTTTTCTCACTCGGTGTAGAAATGCATGGGTGGACAAATCCAATGCCATGATGGGTACCTGGGTGGTTTGGTAAAATTTTGCTTCACAGGATATCCAAAATGTACATAGACCATATCTGGAAGGTGAGTACAATCACCACTCAAACAGGGGGAGAATATCTCTCTTAAACAGGGGCAGCAATCTTCTCTGGCTTCTTAACAGCTGCCCTTAATGGCTTCCAATCGGTTTTGATTTCTGGTTTTTCAATGCCTTGTATATCAGTTATTCTCAACTTAGTCAGTTCCTGACACATGAGAACAACAATCAAGAATTATTAACACTAATGTAGTCTGGTTGAATGAACTACAATTGTTCAGACAAATGGTCCTTAACATACCTGACGATGACCTTTGGTTCGACGATAATTCTTCCTTCTCTTTTTCTTAAAAATAATCACCTTAGCATCTAATGCCTGAGAGAGGAAGAACAAAATACCATAACTAAACAGGTGCACGACCATAAGAGTTAGTCATAAGAAATATCACCCCCAATGAATCAATGTTGTTGCAGTTATTGTTTGTGGCATGTCCTCACGTAATGCTTATTGCTTTTAGAGACATGATCCGCAGACCACAATCACTTCACTGTCTACCCCCCCCCCCAAAAAAAAAAAAAAAAAAAGAAAGAGGAAGATATCTGTCTCAGAAGGACATATAAGGATAACTTTTTGCACTTTAGATAATTTAATGTCATTAAAAAAATGTAAGGTGTATGGCATGCAGAGAAAGAAAGAGGAGAGTGAAGCTTACATGCTCCTCAACAACAGCATGAACAGCTGCATATGGGAGTATAGGCCTACCAATAATTGTTTGGGTAGGTGAGCCTAGCAAGAGAACCTTGTTCAAAATCAACTGCAATTGATAGCCATGGAAGCATAAGGATTAGGGAATCAATTAAATAGGAAAAAACGAGATACACACAAATAAGTGTAATTAACTTTTCAAAAAACATATGAAAAAGAATCAACTTGTCAGAGGCTAATAAAATTCAGGGTAAATAGTTTGACTTCTAAAACACAGGAGGTAAAGAGACAAGGAAAACCATTGATAGTTAATTGAAACACATAATGCTTTTGTATTAATCAGTCGCAAATCTCATAAACATGATAACTTCTTACGAACCTCTCATTCTGTACCAATAAGCAAAAGTTTTCATATAAAACGTTCTCTTCAATTTTACATAAACACGATGATAAAGAACATTTACAATGTTGCACAAGCTACCATCCTTTTCATTTCTAGAGGTATCACCCAATTTCATATCTCTCTCTAACCCTTATTATATAAGATAAACCTTATTAACATGAAGCAGGTTCTATTAAAATGCTAGGATCTTCGCTATTTGAAAAAACTAGAATGAGTTAAGTTGACAAGTTGACAATTTCTTTTAATGCAAGAAACAACTTAAATGAGTCAAAACTCAAAGCTCAGTAATCAACATCAGCCGATGAATAAAGCAAAGGAACTCATCCAACAAAATCAGCTGCATATCTTCAACAAATACTTTGCTCATAATTCAAAACAGCAATGCAATAATGCTAGCTATATATATAAATCTTAGGGAAAAAACATAGCGGCATTTTGCCCAAATGTCATCCAACCATTAAAATCCTCCTAGAAATGCATCAATAGACGATAAAAGGGTGTAATCTAAATCCAGATACAATAAACTTTCAATATGCAAAATAAAGAACCCACAAAATTACCTTGTTATTGACTTCGCAGAATTTCAACCTCTCCGTGAAAATACAATCCCCATTGCTCACCTTAAACTGATGCGATCCAATCTTTTAAAATAACAAATAATCAAAACGTTTTCGATCCTTAAGACCCAAAACAACGAAATAAACCAAAACCAACACATGAATACCTGAACTACTGCGAAAACTGGCTCATACTCTTTGAATACCCGGTCGGACGGCTGGAGAGGGCCCATCACTTTGTACCCAATAGCTGCGGCCTCCGCCTCCTTCTCCTCAGGAGAATAATCTCTATCCAAATCCGACTGCGCCTCGTCGTTCTCTGCTTCTCCATTGCTGAGCTCTAACATTTCGACTTCGTTATCGCTGTCGTCGCTTTTGCTGGACGAGAAGTGACGAGAGTGGGACCATAGGTTAAACCATGATGGTTCCAAACTGGGGATGGTTATTGCAGGATTTGGTTTTGGGATTAGGACTTCGAGGGTGGAGAGAGACGGCGTCATTTTAAGAGAAATGAGAGTCGTGGCGTGGCGGGCCAGTGATCGGAAGCACCGTCGTTGAGCCATGAAAAATGGCGCTGCTTTCTCTCTTTTTTTGGTTTAGTCAGTTAATTAGCCGGCTCACTAGGGTTTAGCTAGATACAAAGTGTAAACGGGGTTTTAGATTTTTTTTTTTGTACTTTTATTTCCTTTTTCTATTAGTATAAATATATATTTATAAATTTATAGTAGTTGAAATTGAAAACTGCTGGATTTAATAATTAGTAACTCAAATACAATACATTGCCTTGTTAATCAACATTAGGCAAAAACATATAAAAAGAAAAGAATAGGAGGGAAGAGAAAAAAAGGGATAATACCCCAAATGGTCCCTAAGCTATTGTAATTTTTCTAATGTTACACCTAAAAAACTTTCTAATGAAATATTTAAATTTCATTTCTATATATTAAATTGTCCCAAATCCTTTAATACAATTAGAATAATAATGATGTGATATTTAAATACTGATATGAATAATACGTAACTATCATATAATAGTAATATAATTATCATATGTTATTTTTAAAAATGAAAAAATACATTTTTTTCTTAAAAATTTTATTTTAAAAAATTTTTGATTTTTAAAAAATTTTTTATTTTTAAAAATAACACGTGACAGTCGTATTTTGAATTATATGTAATCACGTATCATATTACATCAATAATTAAATTTCACATCAATATTATTCTAATAATATTAAGAGAAAAATATTTAATATATGAAAATAAAATTTAAATACTAGATTAAATTTTTTTTATTTAAGTATTAAATTAAAAAAATGTAATAATTTATAGGTCAAATGAACATTATCTCAAAAAAAATTATAAATTGTATAAGATGCATAAGAATGCATAAGACTTAGAGGACATGCCGATGCAAGAGAACCATCCAATTGCATTTGAGAGTCGAATGTGTTGATGCAGAAGAATCATCTGGTTGCATTTGAGAGCCGAAAGCTCGACGAAACCAAATGTGAATACATGATCAAGGAAAAAATGATGTAAATATTTATATCTCAATATCAATTTTAATACATAATTTATGTAAAATTCATGATTACTTTATAAAATTATAACATTTTCTTCTATTAAATAAAAATTTATCGTTTTCAGTGACATATCGCTAATATCTTTAGAGTTGACATTAATATTATGATTGAGACTTAAGCTTCAAGCTCGTATAACTTTAAGATACGAGAATAACTTCTTACACGTTTCAAATCAGTCTAACCCAAAATTCACAATAACTTATAAAGTATTATTCACTCTAACTCATTGAATCCATGATTTTATCCCGTAAAAATCACTTTACAAGGAGAAAGTGATAGCCTTAAAACGATGTCGTGAAAGACCATAAGGAACTATCAGATGGTTTTCATTTTACAAATATGGGTATCGGCTAAGTCAGCGAAGCAATTGTATCTCTCCCGCGCGAGATCCAAATTTACCGACGTTCTTCTTTTGGCATCATTTCAGTTCCTTCGATTGAAGCAAACAAAGTTTTTTTCTCTCTTCATTTCTACAAATAAATTCAAATTCCTCAACAGATCTCCTACAAAAAGCAAACAATGGCAGGCCGGTTCGGATCGCAATCCTCTACGGTGGCCACCATGATTGTCACCGGCACACCATCCACAGATCTCGCCTTGACAAATCTTGCCTACTGCTCGGCCTCCGATCTTCACAACTTCGCCGTTCCTGGCTCCAAACTCTTCCTCGCGAACATTAGCGACACATTTGTTCTTTCTATCTCATATCCGTTTTGATCGTTTCTTTTTTCCTTTATTTTCGCTTTATTTTGAGTTTTAATTATAATTTACACGATATTTTATTATCGCATTGTTCATAATTTTATTGATTGAAAATTTCATGTTACTATAATTCATATTACTTCAGTTGACAATTAGCCGTCGACGCTCTTTATTTGTTATTGAAACTTTATTTCAGGAAATTATTTGAAATTATGGAATGTAAATTCATAAATTAGTCAGTGCTTATTGCGATCGATAATTCTAGGAGATGTAAATTTGTCAATTGAACTTTGAAATCTTTCCTTTGAAGTTGTTGCTTCGGTGGCCTTAACTTATAAATAATCCTCATGAAAGCATACGCAATGGATATATTGCCTTAAATGCTATCCATCGTCGGCTTGCAAAAGTTTCTAATGGCGACACTGTATCAGTGAGCAGGTCGATTAACCAAAGCTTTCGATTTTTCGGTGTCCTAACTGTTACTAGTCACTAACTTTTTTTTTTTTCCCTCTCTCCACAACGTGCAGATTTATTCCTCCTGAAAATTTTAACCTTGCATTGCTTAGGCTCGAGCTGGAATTTGTGAAGAAGGGCACTAAAAATGAACAGGTGAGATTTCAAATGTATTATGATCTGTTTGTTATCTTAGATGATATCACATTGCTCAGTTGGATGGCAGTAGGATTAAATGCTGTGCATTGTTTTTGTAGGTTGATGCTGTTCTTCTGGCTAATCAGCTTAGAAAGAGGTTTACGAATCAGGTATGACTAGGTGCTGTTTGCCTATTATAAAGGGATGTTGGAGGAGATATGTTTCAAATGCACACATCAATGTTTTGTTGCTCTTATTATCAATTCACACTTGGAAAATATTTTGCCTTATGACATTAACTATCATAATTTCCTCATATCTCATGTGTAATGCTTGTTTGTTGCTTTGTCTCTCTTCTCTCACATGCACACATGTACAAGAATTTTTTCCCTATCCATTGACGAAAGAATGGATGCTTTTTGTTGAAGTTGTTGAATACTGGTCTCTTTTTTTTTTTGCAGGTTATGATAAGCGGGCAAAAAGTTACATTTGAGTATCATGGTAATAACTATATTTTCACAATCAATCAAGCTCAGCTAGAGGGGCAAGGAACATCTAATGCTCCTGAAAGAGGGATGATTTCCAGTGATACCTACATTATCTTTGAAGCACAAAATTCAAGTGGAATAAAGGTTAGATATTAATATATTATTAGTTTCTGGTTTTTTTAATCTTTTTTCTAAGGGAGTTTTGACCAGGACATCATTGTCATTCAGAGAGATTACATTTACATATCATGATTATAATTTAATCAACTTGATTCAACTAGCTTTAATGGCTCACTGACTTGTGTTTTCAATGCAGATTGTTAATCAACGTGAAGCTGCCAGTAGTAATATCTTTAGGCAAAAAGAGTTTAATCTACAGTCACTGGGTATTGGTGGCTTAAGTGCAGAGTTTGCCGATATATTTCGAAGAGCTTTTGCCTCTCGTGTTTTTCCTCCTCATGTGACTAACAAGTATCATAACTTTTTCTTCATACCATACTATTTGTGTCAGATACCTATTTATTTGTGCTCTGATAAGAGCTTTTGAGGTTCCAGGTTGGGGATTAAGCATGTAAAAGGCATGCTACTTTATGGACCTCCTGGTACTGGCAAAACTCTCATGGCTCGTCAAATTGGAAAGATGTTGAATGGAAAGGAACCAAAGGTTTGAAGTTTGGTTCACCTTTTTAGTTAACATTATTTATATCTGTTTGTGCCTTGCATTCTTTCATCATTTAATTCTGATTATTAATGTTTCAGGCGGAATAAAATTCATGTTTTTGTCCATGTTTCATCTCAATATTTTGACCTGAAGTTACACACGATGGTTTGCCTGTAGATAATTAGAGATATTGTAATTCTTTTGCTGTCTGGTGCATATCCCATGGTTGTCCTGATATCAATAGCATTTTCGGCTGTGCTTTTGGAAGCTGTTTCAGGACACAATATTGAATAATACTTTTTCTGGGCATGTCAATTGTGTGTTTTAGAGTTCTATGTTTTTGTCTATCATATTATCTTCTGTCTTCTCGTTGCTGCTGTAGTTGATGTTTTTACATCAGACTGTATAACTTCCTTTGAGCAAAGTCTACTGTATAGTGTCTTCATGTCTTGTTTTGAGACTGCTTTCATGCATTCATTTTTCAGAGATGCTGCATTTGACTTCATTGACTATTATGTTTGCCTATGTGATAAATATTCTTGTTACTGTAATTGACATAGTGCAATATTTTCCTTCTTGGTGAATCCATTTAGATTGTTAATGGCCCTGAAGTCCTGAGCAAATTTGTTGGTGAAACTGAGAAGAATGTTAGGGACCTCTTTGCCGATGCTGAGAATGATCAAAGGACTCGTGGTAAGGGATATATACTCACTAGTTTTAGTTTTTCGGGTTACTCTTTTAATTTTATAACAAAGCAACGTGTTCTTTGACTTTTCAGGTGATGACAGTGATTTGCACGTCATAATTTTTGATGAAATTGATGCTATTTGTAAGGTACAAGACTGCTTTATAGACATGTTCTTATCCCTTAGATCAATAGTAGTGCTTTTACCTTGTTTTATGACCTGTTTCTAATTTCCTTTGCATTTTAACATTCAGTTTGCAATGTTCTTTAAAATATTGAAATAGTGGATGATAAACTTGTTGCAAAGAGTTGGATATTATCTAAATCCTAGAATCATTCTCTGATGTTGATCAAGTATGTTTGCATCTTTATATGTCTGTTGCTGTGTTTAAGATGCTAACAAAGTTATTTCTTAACCTGTGAAGGAATATCATGGGAATCTTCATAAAAAAGTTATTTCAAGTGAGACGCCAGCTTATTTCTTAACCTGTGAAGGAATATGTGATTTGGCCTAGTTACATATATATACCCTTGGGATGTGTGCAGAACCTATAAAAGATTCAATGCTAATGAATATCTAGAAAATTGAGTTGAGGCTGTTTATCTGTATTATTGAACTTTCTTCATGACAGAATATGTGGTTTTTTTTTTTCTTTTTTTATTTTTTCAGTCAAGAGGCTCAACTAGAGATGGTACTGGAGTTCACGACAGCATTGTGAACCAGCTGCTTACCAAGGTCGGTGACTAGTTACTGACAGTTGCTGAGTCTTAAAAAATCAATACTGTTTGTCTCCTGTCATTTTCTTGGGTTCATGTGGTTAGCATGTCTTAATGATTTGATTATTTTAACTAAGGGATCTTTTACTTTTCAGATAGATGGTGTGGAGTCTCTAAATAATGTTTTGCTTATTGGAATGACCAACAGAAAGGATTTGCTTGATGAAGCCCTTTTGAGGTTTCTCCCTCCCTCCTCCATTCTTTCCTCTCTCTCTCTCTCTCACACACACACACACACTCACACACTCACACACTCATACACACACAAAGAAAACCTATCTATCTACCTCTTTGTCACATTAGATTATCCTTTCTGCTAAGACGCTTGATTAACTACCAGTGACTAGAGACAAATTATTGATGCACGTTATCATTGTTGTGAAATGGGGATATTAACGTTTCCAAAGCCTATTACAGCTGCAGCAAAATGTTAGTTATTATTAAGAATTTGATGGCCTATGAATAAGATTTGTATTTATGATCTGGAATAAGTAGCTGCCAGCATTGTGAGCCATGTCATTGTTATGCGTGCAAGTCTGTGTGCTTTGTGGACTTTTTGGTTTGTTAAGCAATAAAAGTTTGTTGATGATTGATGTAGTTAGATTACTCTACAAAATGTCTTCATCTTAATATAATCTTTGAATATTTTTCTTCTATAGGCCAGGACGTTTGGAGGTTCAAGTTGAGATAAGTCTTCCAGATGAAAATGGTCGTTTGCAGATTCTTCAGATCCACACAAACAAGATGAAAGAGAATTCTTTTCTTGCTCCTGATGTTAACCTTCAAGAGCTTGGTATGTTTATTAGTAATTTATGGTTGTGGGATTTACATTCTTCACTTCTTTGGATGACTTAACCATTAAAGGGTTAAAAGTTTGGTTCATTTATTCCACTCTCCATCTGCTCCAAAAAATATACAGGCTGACTTCTATTGATGATTGATATTTAAAGTTTTCTTTTACTTAGTTTTGTCTTCGATAGATTGTGATATATTCTTCAGGGTCCTCTGGATGATTAAACTTGGAGTAAAATCTTTATTGTTATCTTTTTGATCTATCTGAGCTTAGTAATTTCTTTTCCTAAAGCATATGCACTGGTGTTGACAATGATTTGAGCTGCATCCAGCTTTTGTGAAGAGCTTACAAGCTTCTAATTACTTCTTTACGTATCAGCTGCTCGTACAAAGAATTACAGTGGAGCAGAGCTTGAAGGTGTTGTGAAAAGTGCAGTATCTTTTGCTTTGAATAGACAAGTAAGTATGGATGATCTCACCATGCCAGTGGATGAAGAAAACATTAAAGTTACAATGGATGATTTTCTCAATGCGCTCCTAGAAATCGTTCCTGCATTTGGAGCCTCAACTGATGACCTTGAGCGATGCAGGTGATTTTTTTTTTTTTTTTGGTTCAAATTAATACAAATTTCAGTTCTTCGATTACAAGATGTTAATTTCCATTTTGCTTGAATTCACATCATTCTTATGTTAACAATAGTAGTTTTAGAAGGTAATGGTTTTGGCAATGATGCTTTGAACCTTGAACTTCTGTAGTTTTTAATAATTTTAAATTCCTTTGCTTAAACAAGAAATGAGCTGTGAGCATCGCATGTTGTCTTCTGGGGTTTCTGCCTTCAGCCATTTGTTAGTAATTTTGTTGCAGTTCAGTTATTCTAATTACTTATGTGCTTTGGTTAGATTTTTAGATAATTGTTCTTGTGTTGGCTTTGGAAAATATGAATGTTTATCTTGAACCTTGAGATGGCTTTTTGGGAAATTAAAGTCCAATTATTTAAAATATTTTCTCATTTTTTAAAATTCTTTTTTTTTTTTTAGATTTCTAGCAGAATATGACTCATATCTTTTGTTTTTGAGCACCTTTTGCTGAATTATTTCACATGACATATTTTTTTAGGCTTAATGGCATGGTGGATTGTGGTGACCGGCATAAGCACATTTATCAGAGAGCTATGCTACTGGTAGAGCAAGTTAAAGTAAGCAAAGGAAGTCCTCTTGTTACTTGTCTTTTAGAAGGGTCAAGTGGAAGGTAGGCATCATGATTTTTCATTTTGTTTTACATCTTTTTTCAACTTTAACTGAATCTAAGTTGATTTCTACAGTGGCAAAACTGCATTAGCAGCTACTGTCGGCATTGACAGTGATTTCCCATACGTCAAGATAGTAAGCTCCTGCCCCATAACATGTATGGATATATTGCAACCTTTTATTTTTTGTTAAGGTTCCTGTTTTTATTATTTTTATAACTCCAATTGTGTAGGTCTCGGCTGAATCGATGATTGGTCTTCACGAGAGTACAAAATGTGCACAGATTGTCAAGGTTTGTGGTGCCAAGATCTTGAAATCTGGATGTCATATGAACACTTTTATTTGAATTAATTACTGGTGTAAACTGGAACTTTGCTTCTGTGTAAGCTATTTTACACTCGCATATAAAAGACATTCTGATTTACATTTGGAAATTGATGACTAGGAATATTTGTGCATCAGACATCAAGCTAGGGTAATATATATATATATATATATATATATATATATAGATAGATAGATAGATAGATAGATAGATATATTAGACAAAGTTAAGAGCACTATTGAATTTATTTTATTTTGGCAGGTATTTGAGGATGCATACAAGTCACCCTTGAGCATCATAATCCTTGATGACATAGAAAGGTTGGGGGAATCAGAAACTTATGCTACTCTTCTTGACTTGAAATGTGCAATGTGGACAGAAATAATTGGTTAATTATTGTTGCAGACTACTGGAGTATGTTGCTATTGGGCCCCGTTTTTCAAATTTAATTTCTCAGACATTGTTGGTTCTTCTCAAACGTCTTCCTCCTAAGGTTTTCTCTTTGTTCCATTGTTTCTCTATGTATTTCGTTGTGATCAAGTACTCCAAATGGTTACATGGGAAAAATGTAATTTTTTTTTTCTTTTATTTTAATTAAATAAAGATAAGTGAACCAGGTTGATAATATCTGCTCTTTCACTCTCTCTTGTTGACAAATCCCATGCTGCTTACTAGTTAAATCATAAACATAGTAGAAGATATGACTTGATTCATACGTTAAGTCAGATATCCAACAAGTAAATTGATAATCTTTGTAACTTTTAATTAATAGTTTTTAGTCTGAATTAAGTTTATTGTTATTCGAATGTGCAAATGCTTTTTTCAGGGGAAAAAACTTCTGGTGATAGGGACAACTAGCGAGGTGGGCTTCTTGGATTCAGTTGGCATTTGCGATGCTTTCTCTGTCACCTACCATCTTCCTACATTGAAGACAGATGATGCAAAGAAGGTAATAATGTTGTCAATTTTGTTTCTTCCCAGAAATCATCTATGGGTATGATATATTTTTTTGCTTTCTTTGGCTTGTCTGTGCCCATTTGCCCCAGTTAATGCTAATGCTTATGTTATACCATAACAACCTCCTCAACTACATTTCTAACTAGTTTGTCTTAGTATCTGGACAGACATTCTGAGTGAATGCTTCACTGTCATGTTTGTCCTAAACTCTCAGGCAAAATAGTTTAGTATTGCTTTGATTTACTGAGTTAAATTTGTTCAATCTGTTTTTTCCTACCCCAGGTGTTGGAACAACTGAATGTATTTGCTGAAGAAGATGTCAGTGCAGCTGCAGAAGCCCTGAATGATGTGAGTTTAAACATAGTTACCCTCATGTGACATTTAAGGACATTTTCCATATTGCAATGTTTTTTAATTCAATGTTTTCTCACTGGTTTTACCATTATTAAGCAAGCATAATTTAATGCCAAAGACTAATTAGAGGAAGCTTTGTTGCATAAAAAATTGACATTATTTCATTTTGAAGTTGCCTAGTGGATGATAATTATTCATCTTTAATTGGGTGAATTGTTAGTTATCTTGTTTAAACAACACACCTCTTTTTAATTCATTCAAAGGCACATCTTTTTCATTTATTCTTTCTCCATGTGTGCAACTGTTCATGTGAATGTACACGTGTGCATGTGTGCTTGTTTGAAGTGATTATGGAGTGGAAGGACCAAGGAGTTGGGGTAGGGTGGAGATTTGAGCATGTGTCCATGGATGAGTGCATGCTTGCATGTTTAATGTTTATTTAGGGAAACAGGTCGAGACTAGGGATGTGCAGAATGATCTATCGAGTGTCATGTTCTGATTATTTCCAGAAATTTGAGCTTTAGATATGTGAATGTCCATACTGAATTTCCAGTGGGGAAATCCGCTCTGAGCTTCTGCGTTGATATTTTGTTTACTGTCCTCCTTACTTGGAACATTCAATTCGAGCTAGATGTCTTCCTAGTTTTACACATACATTTTGGTCTAGCCAATGTTTGAGCATATAAAGTGAAAAGATGAAACTCAACCTCAGTTCCGTGCGCTTGTGCGCATAGCAGATGCACAGAAAGATGTGGTTATAGTACTTGAGAAAGCATGGAAAGTTTGTTATTATTGACACTAACTCTTACCTGTTTTCTCATTTTTTTAGATGCCTATCAAGAAGCTTTATATGTTGGTTGAGATGGCTGCTCAAGGAGAGCAAGGTGGAGCTGCAGAAGCAATCTACTCTGGCAGAGAAAAGATTAAGATTTCTCACTTTTATGATTGCCTTCAGGATGTTGTCCGGTTCTAGTTTACAGGCATTATGTTCGTTCCCGCAATCTGGTAGATTTCCTTTTCCTAGTTGTTTTCTCCTTCCTCTTTGCTTCCTTTTTCGTGTTCATTGAACAAGTTTTATACATGACTGAAGGTTATGGAGAGATTTTATGTTGGAAGGTATGTTCGGCTTACAATTGGCAATCCTGTTCTTGTATTTTTTTTTTTACTTTATGTAACTCAGTAAGGTATTGAGGTATCCAAAGAAGGGACTAGGAACTGACTTGAAAAGCTTTTTCAATATATAAATTGCTCTAGAATTTATAGGTAACTATATGAAAATATATCTTTATATATGTAGAAATAAAGGGTGTGCTGAGCTAGCTTAGAAATTTACGGTTTACTGATAAATTTGTTCATCAAGGATTCGCTCGCTTCTAGTGCAAGGTAAATGCCCTGAAACTTGATTATATGCTTTCCTTTGGGTGGTTTCTGGAATAATTTCCGTGTAAAAAATGCTCACTACTTATCGAAGACTAGCCAAATGCGAATGATGGGTTGCTTGTATGGTCTGCCATTTAGAAACTTGTTCAAACCTATATGTAAAACTACTACTACCCAGAGGCAAATAGTATTCAATCAGACTCAGAACTCAACTGTAGCCTATAGGAAGCTACAAATTAGCAGTAATATCTTAGTAACAAAATAGAGGCAAGCATAGGTATTTATTAATTCAATAGTTAATTTCTAAATTTTTCAATATTAAATTTCATTAGTTTATTAAATTGCATCCTATGCTTATTTACTTGATACTTTTATTACTTTTTTTAGTACTTTTTTTTTTTTACTTTATCAAATTTTATTATAGGGCGATGGTAAAATAACTAGCGATGCAGAATGAAATAAAAAAAAAAAAATCGATTTTTCTATTAATTATCTATATTTTTGCCTGTTCTTGATATTCAAAATTTTATTTTTAAATGAAGTAATGTTATGAGTTTAGATATATATATATATATATATATATATATATATATATATATTATATATATAAAGGGCCTCAGCCTAAAATTACAACCATCTCAAACATTGTAAGAAGAGAGGAAAAACTAAAATTGATGCAGCAGCAGCCATAAAGAGGAGAGGAGGATAACATTAACATGTTCACTTGACTTAAACAAAATACTTGGGAATTAAAAATCACGGGAAAATGCTTTCTTTTAATTTGCTCGTTAAAAGCTCCAGCTAATAAGAAAAACAAAACAAATTGGAGTCTGATATTATATTAACAACAAACTTAAAATCAATTAGTAATAGATGAAGATATTTAATTTAAATATAAAATTATAAAAAATTTAATAGATGTGAGATAATATTACATGATAAAACTAAAAGCTCGAGTCTAATAATAGTAATTATATTTCTTTTAGAAATTAAGAAGGTTTGAGATATATATAACCATGCTTTTCAAATAAACACCGAATGTCATCCATTTAATTAGCTAGGGTTTACTAATTATTAATTACTATTTGTAAATGTATATATCAAGAATATAATCACCCTTTTTGTTGGTTGTTTTAATTAGATATGGATTTGATTGATGAACCGCGTCAGGTCAGTACCAACTTGGTTTCTGGCTGTTGATTCGTTCAGATAACAAAACCAATGGCTTTAAAATCACACAAATCAAGCTCCACAAAAACATGGCCAAGGCAAAAATGACCCGACAGAGCACATGGCTTGATTGTTATCCATTTGATTTTCGTATATAATTCAAATAATTCCTTTGTGTTTTGTTTCTTTTTCTTATAATAAAATGTGTTTCCCATTTTTTGAAATAAAAACAAGAGATAAATGAGATGAGTTGAACCCTAACAGATTCAATAAATTTTATGCATTCACTTATAATATATATATAAAAAATTTAAAATAATATGTTGTTATATTATTACAATAGTTTACAATAAGTTCTCATAAAAAAACGTAATTGTATTATTATTAATATTGTTAAATACATCATTCTAAATATATATATGTAATTAAATAATCATTAAATCAAAAATAAAAAATTTTATTCCGCATATCACTCTTTATCAATAAATATTTCTGTTGATCAAAAGAGTGTCCAAAAAGATTTTGAAGATGTTCAAAGGAAAATTTTTCTTTAATCTTTTTTGTTTTTCAATTTTTAAAAATGTTCATAAACATGCTACTCAATAGATCCACCATTGAATGAGACAGTGCAAGTAAGATTAAGACGTTACTTTTTGGAGAAACGTATAGATTTGGAACTCGTCAAGCCTGGACCATTACATGAAGGTAAATCCCTTATTACATGTGAAGGGGGAAAGGGTGGTTTGGTTTGAACTCAAATCTTCATGTCTTTTTTTAAAGCTTCTTAGTCACTAGATCAAGAAATAGAAGATCTGGACTGGAGCTTTACTTTCCTGGGTATGTGATCCTCTTTTTCCTCTATTTTTGAATTTTTTTCTTTTTTTTTTTTGTGATTGATGACACTAACAAAATCAATAACTCAAAATAAGAACGTGTGCATGACAAAATATTGCATTCAAAAGATATATTCACATATTTATATTTTTTTTATAAAAAACTTAAGATTTAGGGTTTAAAATTAGGATTATAAAGAACATATATTAGATGCATATACGTAATTTTTTGTTTTTTTTTCAAAATATAAGATATTAATAAAGTTTCCAAGACAATTTTATTGTATTGTGATTATGCGGTAATTGGATTCAGGCATATAAAGTGCACTTATTATCTATTTTTTAAATTAAAAAAACATATATTTATCTCGAATTATATATGTTCCTATACGTAAAGTTAATATATCATGTACATATAGGGGCAATATAGGTGATAAATCTAATAATTTATATATTTATATCATATAAAATATTTAAAATTTATATATTTTTATTATATTTTATAAGAAAATTATATAATAATATATATTAATAAAATTATAAATTTTTTATTTTTTATTTTATTAAATTTATTTATAATTTTTATTAAAATTTTAAATTACATTATTTTTATTATTTTTATTTATATTATTTTTGTATCATATTTAAATTATATTTTCGTGTGCTTGAAATTGTTACGCGCCATCTTCAATGCTATTTCCTCTTGCTTTTCATTTTCTACCGTTGTCATTCGGTACGATTCGATTACGACCAGAAAAGATGAGTTTTGTACCACTGAAAACTCCAAAATCCTACTTTCCAACAAAAAGGGAAAACTCCAAAATCCATTGCTTATGTTATTATTCCTTAAAGCAAGGCTGATACACTTGTACTGTCAAAAATAAACAGGAGCAGGTCGCTATAATATCGCTTTCTCGCAAAAAAAAAAAAAAAAAAAAACAATTTGGTGCGAACTGATAAACCTATACAACTAACTCATTAGATTTTTTTTTATATTTTTGTTATTTACATTTTTATAAAAAAAAAAACAGAAAGTAACAAAAAAAATTAAAAACAAAAAATAAATAACAAAATTAACAAACAAAGGAAATTCTAATTAATAATATATAAAAGAAATTAAAAGTGTTAGGAATTGAAAGAAAAAAAAAGAAAAATACCAATAGTACATGGTTTATTAAAATATTGTATTTTTAATTTAATAATTAAAATTTAATTCTTGATAATTTTAATTATGAAAAAAAATGAAGAAGGAGACATGATGTTAATGACAATTTAATAGTCACATAATCAAAAGAAAATTAAGTAAAGAAACAAAAATTAAGCAAACCCTGACATTTTAAAGTGTTTGATTAATAAATTTAATATTGAGATTTAAATACTTATAATTTTTTGTATCCCTAAGTTATCACTTCTTTTATTAAATATAAAAAACACTTCTTCATGACCTTTTTTATATAATAAAAAAATAAATATTACTTCAATAATAATTAGACAAATGAAATTATGAAAAAAAAATCCCTCACCTCAAATTTAATATCATAAAACAAACAAAAATCAAGCAAGATATAACTTAGAAGTTTTTTTTATTTATTAAAATGATATTATTTCACATTTAATAAATATATAATTTTTTATAATCTTATATTTAAATTAGATTTTTTTGTAAAATGATCATGTTATAAGCTTTTTCCATCTTTAATTACATGTGATAAAATCTTATTAAAATGTTATTATTCTATATTTAATAAATATATAAGGTTTTATAATTTTATAATTAAGTTAAAAAATTTTTTGTTTATTATCAATTAATTTTAAGTGAAATGCTTAAATAAAAGCTTCAATTGATCCGAGTAAGCGCGTGGCAAAAGCACTTGATACACAATTGATATTCTCTAATGGAAGACGAAGTCCTACTTCGATTTCTAGTTGATTCTAGTTCAGTTCCTTCTCCCTATAAAATGGGTAGTTCCATGTTTGATTCGAGCAGCTAGCAGTAGCATCATCTCTGCTTATCAAAGTTGCCTTTACAACAAAAAGGATCAGATCAAAGAGTAAAGACTTTATCATTATCATTATCATTCATCAATGGCAGGAACCGAGGAAATTTTCTGTTCAGCCACGGTGGATATGTTCCCTTCAAAATCTTTTCTTTGTAATTATAATTACTACTACAACTTTTTTTATCAGCAGCAAAAGTACAGTCTTTCTCCTTCTACCTCCTTGTTTAATCCATGCAAAAGAAGAGTAGTGCAACTGAGGAAGGTTGTGGCAGCTGCAGCTGTAGTTCCCATGGGGACTCGGCTCTTTGAGCTTGATTCCAACAAGTCTATCCCCGAGATCCCAGTGCAATTCACGGTCTCTGCTCAGGTAATAGTTAAGTATGATGCCAGGGAAAATACGAAGGAGATGATGTTTAATTGGTTGGATTCTGGTGCCAATGTTGCTCAGAGAGGTGTTCTTCTTTAGCTTGTTAGCACTGATGTTGACCCAAGTAAGCACTGATTCCTCCATTTTCTTTATGCTATGCTCTTCTTCGAGAAGCTCAATTTAATTAATTGCTGATGTTTTTGAATCAATGAAGGGACGGGAGAACCAAAGGTAAGCAAGGAAGTTATATTAGACTGGTCCAGATGTTACGGATTTAAGAAAGTTCTGAATCTCACATCAAACATAATAGGAGGGTTATTGGGGTATAAAATGATTCATATCACCTCTGTTTTGTGAGACGTCTTTTGTAGGACAAAACCGTGAGGTCAAGGGAGATCAAAACGGACCTTACAAGGATGTAAACTGTGACAGGAAAGTTGATCTGAAACGCCGGATGAATGTATGCCCGGGTCTCGGAACAGCGCGGGTTCGGAGCTTAAGTCTATGCCCGGGTCTCTGAGCAACGTGGGTCTGGAGTTTAAGTCTCGACCTGTGATAAGTGGTATCAAAATCAAACCTAATCTGTTCAACTTACGTTAAACGCGAGTTCGAAGCTTAAGTCTCGACCCATGACACAGAGACCTAAACCTTAACGGTGACAAAGTCAGTCACGAAGTGCAATTTCTAGTAGATGCAAACTTTGGGGTCCCCGGAGCTATCTTCGTGACAAACAAAAAGCAAAAGGAATTCTATTTGGAAAGCATCACCGTTGAAGGACTTGTTCATTTTAAGTGTCACTCTTGGGTTCAACCACAGAAACTCTACCAGGAGAAAAGGGTCTTCTTCCCTAATAAGGTTAACATTTTATAAAGTTCATTCTTAAGAGTATCATAAAGTGTAATCGTATTAAAAAATGACGCGGTTTTGCAAATTATGGCAGGCCTTTTTACCAAGTGAAACGCCAGTAGGACTCAAAGAGTTGAGAGAAAACGAACTAAGGAAACTTAGGGGCAATGGAGAGGGTATTAGAACATTATCAGACCAAATTTTTGACTATGATGTTTACAATGACTTGGGACATCCTGATAAAGGACCCGAATTTGCAAGGCCAATTTTAGGAGGACAACATCGTCCTTATCCAAGACGTTGCCGAACTGGACGTCCTTCCGCTAAGTCAGGTTAAGAGCAATTCCTATATTTGTGTTGTGCTCATATTGTATTAAATATGTATACAATATGAAAAATTATTGTATTATTATCATAATTATATGAAAGACGTTCAACTTGGAAATTGGAACATAGGCAATTGAAGTATCACTAAACTTTGACAAGCAGACTAAAATGTTATAAAATGGCACAGATCCGAGGGCAGAGACAAAGGCAAATGAATCCATGGCAATGTATGTACCGAGAGATGAAGCATTTGGAGATGTGAAGAGACAAACAGTGGATGAAGGAATCTGGAAGGGCAGGCTCAACAATTTTTTTCCTTTCCTTAAAGATTCTTCAGCTGAGGTTGATGTTATAAAATCTTTCTCTGAAATCAATGAACTCTATAAAGGGAATCCTTCCAATAAGTCGCAGAGGAAAGAACTTCGGAAGAATACGCATTTCCCAATTAAGCTTAATATGATGATCAAAGAATCTACAACAGAGGCTTTCAAGTTCAACCCTCCAAACATTATCTCCAGTAAGAACAGTTATTCTTGCTTTTTGATTGATTATTTTATTAAAAAAAATTTGGAAAACTGGGCATCCAATTCTGATCAAAACACTGCTCCAATTTCAGGGGATGCTTCATGTTGTTTACGAGATGATGAGTTTGGTCGTCTAACAGTAGCCGGCATGAACCCCTTAAGCATTGAAAAGCTGAAGGTACGTAGGATCATTTCTTTGGGATTAATCAGTACATGAAAATCAACTCAGTCGGAACATTAAGAAAAATTGAAAGTTTTTAACTAAAAATAAATCGTTTTCTTCCAGGTTTTTCCTCCTGTAAGCAAACTAGATCCATGCATCTATGGTCAACAAGAGTCAGAGTTAAGAGAAGAACACATCATCTGTCATCTTGATGGGATGTCTGTGCAACAGGTAAGGAAAATTAAAAAAAAAAAAAAAGCTACGAAAATGTGAAATTTTCACTTTGATCTCACTTTTCAATCATTGAATTATTGATTTATGAAAATTTATCGGTTTATTAGTCTTTAATTCGTGGATCTGACGCTTTTATTTTTGAACTTATTTTTAATGCAGGCAATAGAAGAGAATAAGTTGTTCATACTGGACTATCACGATACTTACCTTCCATTTCTTAACAGCATAAATGCTCACCCTGATCGAAAAGCCTACGCAACTAGGACAATTTTCTTCTTGACTCAAATGGGAACTCTGAATCCAATTGCCATTGAGCTCAGCCTTCCATCAATGAGCCCTTATGTGCCTTCAAAGCAGGTTATCACCCCTCCAGTTGATGCCACAACCTGCTGGCAATGGCAACTAGCTAAAGCCCATGTCTGCTCAAACGATTCCGGAGTTCATGAACTGATTCATCATTGGTATGCAAAATTGCAGCACTTAATAACTTCAATTTAAGTATTGATTTAGCTTAATCGATGAGAATTCGCTTCTAATAAAGGAGTTGATCGTCATGATTTTAAACAGGCTGCGGACTCATGCATGCATGGAACCATTTATCATAGCAGCTCGGCAGCATTTAAGTGTAATGCATCCAATTCACAAGCTTCTTCATCCTCACATGCGATATACAATGGAGATAAATGCACGAGCTCGGGAGCTTCTCATTAGCGCCGGCCGAATAATTGAGTCTCTCTTCTCAACTAAAGAATGTTCAATTGAGATTACTTCTTTCGCTTACAAAAATTGGCACTTTGACATGGAAAGCCTCCCTGCAGACCTCATTCGAAGGCACTGTATCGTATATATAATTAGATACACACATTATATATGTTCCATATAATTAGAACCTTATTACTTTCAAACAAATCTAACTTGAGTTTCATTTTTTTTCCTTATGTGTAGAGGAATTGCAGAACCAGACCCCACTGAGCTGCATGGCCTAAAACTACTCATCGAAGATTACCCATACGCCAATGATGGGCTGCTCATATGGTCCGCCATTGAGAAACTGGTTAGGGACTATGTGAAGTATTACTATCCAGACGCGAGTAGTGTTCGGTCTGATACAGAACTCAACGCCTGGTACTATGAGTGCATCAATGTAGGCCATGCCGATATCCGCCATGAAAGCTGCTGGCCCAGGCTTTCAACTCCAGAGAACCTTGTCTCCATTCTAACTACCATCATTTGGATTGTATCGGCAGAACATGCTGCTCTGAACTTCGGACAGTATCATTATGGTGGATATGTCCCCGTACGTCCATCATATATGCGGCGGCTAGTGCCAAATGAGCATGATCCGGAGTACGCAACTTTCCTTGCAGATCCGGAGGGGTACTTCTTATCGTCATTGCCAAGTTTACGAGAAATGACATTTTTTATGTCTGTGCTTGATATTCTATCCACACATTCACCGGATGAAGAGTATTTAGGAGATAGGAAAGACCTTTCAACATGGACAGGGGACCCAGTAATTATCGAGGCATTCTACAGATTTGCAATGGATATGAGCATAGTAGAGAAAGAGATTGAAAAGAGAAACGCCAATCCAGAGCTTGAAATAGATTTGGGGCTGGAGTTTGACCGTATGAGTTACTCGTGCCATCCTCAGGATCTGGCGTTACTTGCAGAGGAGTGCCTAACAGCATAACCATATGAAAAGGGAAATTTAAGAGAATCGACAATCATCCTGAATCTTGGGATTTTTTTTTTTTGTTTTTGGTGTAGCACTAGAAAAATATTCGTGACTTGTTGGAGCCAGCCAATTCAAGCTAAAGCTGAAAAGTAGCTTGATATTTGAGTTGTGTGTATATCAGAACACTTAAGCCATACTTGCTTAATACGGTCTAAGATAAAATAATAATTATATTTTATTATATTTAATTTGTATCTTAAAAAAATAATAAAATTATACAAAATATTAATTATTATTTTTGTATAGAATAATTCAATCATTTCCAAATAAAAAAAATTATTTTAAATTCATAAAATTAAACTTATTTTATTATATTTTTAAAAATTATATTAATAATTTAAATTATATAAATTTTATAAAATTAATTTTAATCAATAAATAAATTATTCTATATTAATCTTTATATCTATCAAATATAAAATAAAATTATTTTATTTTATTTTATTTTATTTATAATATTATTTTATTATATTCTACTATAATTTTGTATACCGAAATATATAGAGCTGGCTGTTTGTCAGAACTCAGGCTTGTAGTTGATCTTGTATCAGATTCTTCAATTGCAAGCGAACTTTCATATTCTTTTGCAGAACTCATGATTTGTACTACTCCATACCTGACCTGATCCCAGAACTGCGATCTCGTTCTGCAAGTAGAATGACGATAAAGCCATTGAACTTTGAGCAGGCCTTATGTTGGAGGGAGACATGAAATAGAAGTACATACTACAAGTTAGGGCCGTTATGATCCAAGTCCAAAGTAACCATTTTCTGACAACTAGTGCCAAAGGCCTCAAGTCACGGGTAAAGTGGCCTAGACTTTTCTACTTCAGCCTTGATGCTACCTTTCTACTCAACATCTTTCTTGGGCTTGCATCAGGAACCAGCTCAGCACATTAGACTTCCCATAGGCCTCAGCCGCCAACAGATGATCCTGATTGTGTAAATTTTATTTATGATAAATAAGCAAGGCCAGGGACGAGTGGATAATCAGCATCACATCTGTCCCATCGAGCACATTTTGTTGGTTTTCTGAAAGATGCAAACAATGTAAAACCCTATGCTGATGGCCCGTTCTATTGCTTGAAGGTTTCTTGTAAATTCAATCAGTCATCACCAAGAACAGGCAGGCCAAAGAAAACATATTTAAAGTAAACAACAAGGTATTCAGCAATCCTCATCTTCACTTTCAATAAACCTTGAACCATGAAGAACTCGGATAGACAGTAGGCATTAGTTATCAAAGATGTTAGCATAAAGAACCAAGTAGAAACAACAATTAAAGCAGCATTAATGGAGGAGAATTTCATTGAAAACCTATTCTATAGACAGTGGGCATTAGTTATCAAAGATGTTAGCATAAAGAACCAAGTAGAAACAACAATTAAAGCAGCATTAATGGAGGAGAATTTCATTGAAAATCTGTCCATCTTCACTTTCAATAAACCTTGAACCATGAAGAACTTGGATAGACAGTGGGCATTAGTTATCAAAGATGTTAGCATAAAGAACCAAGTAGAAACAACAATTAAAGCAGCATTAATGGAAGAGAATTTCATTGAAAACCTATTCTACATGATAAAAGGAAACTGGAATAGAAGATGAACAGATAATCAATGCAACAAGTGCAAGAATAAAAGCAGTAATAACCATGTCAATTCCACAACATATCTACATATATTTTAAGTAGCATGCATTTACATCTGAACATGCGCATCATTTATGAGAGAAAATTCATGTATTTAAATTTATCAACCAAAAACAAACGGTGATAAAAAAATTAATATGAAAGTAAAATGCTGGATTATAAGAGACTGTGGCTTCAGGTGAACTCTGCAGCTCAAAATTCAGTACCATAACCGCTTCCTGCCACTTCTTTTCAAGCTACCAAGAATTCAAGATAGACTTTCAACTTGGCAATTTCCTCAACCCTCATGCCGTTTTCAGCTCATATCCATATCGAGATCAAGATTTCACATATACCCTTCTTCAAGTAGATGTTAAAAGTTACATTGGCAATATATATGGCTTTGTTTTTTGTATAATCAATCATATTTCTACATTGCAACTTACTAGTTTCTAAGCTCTATATGGACCTAAATGGGTAATAGTAAATCAGCTCTTTAGAGATCATTCCAAAATCATTTGCATCCAATTTATGAAAGAAAGACATAGTATACTCTCTGCAACCCCACCTCTTTCATTGGTATTCTTCATCAGAAACTAAATAAAAGAGCACTTATTTCAGCTCCCCAAAGGAAAAAAAAAAAGAAAGAAAAAAGCACCCTTCAATTACTCAAAATACATATTTGCAACATCTTAACACATACAAAGAACAAAAGGATTAGGCTTGAATTTCACATCAGAAATCACCATTTCACATTGTAACCAATAGTTTGCCAATCAGCATATGCACCATTTCAAGTGTAAATAAAGCTAAAGGTGAAAATTTTCTCAAATTCATCTTAGACTACGTTTCAAAAGGACTCACATAACTGAATTTCACAAAATATACACGTCCAAATTACAAAATAAAAAACAAAAAACTATTTGAAAAAGCAGCAGCAAAAAGGAAAATGTAAATTTAATCAGCAAAATTAAATCTTAATCATACTTTTCTCTCCAAGAGTAAACCAGAAAGAATACCCAAGAGAGAGCCAATAAAATGTCGCCAACTGTCTGTCTAAGCCAATCCCAAGCCAAATCCTCCACTCTTCTCTCGAACCAGAACCTCCAGATCGCCACGAAGACATGCAAAACCGTGCAGCCTTTGGCAAAGAACGATTGGAACTCTTTGTCTTTAACAAAAGAGACCATGAACAGCAAGAACCCGATTGCGAATAGAAGCAAACCCGAGAATGAATCAGAGGTCCGGATCAAGAGCTGATCATGTGGGGTTGAGCCCAGGAGTTTCGTGGCAGTCTCGATCCCGTGTGTGAAGGTGTAAATTTCCTTCATGTGGAACACCATGAGTGCGCCGCTTGATAAGGCGATCACCGAGTGGAGGAGACAGATCACCATGAACGCTGACGATGACGGTGACGATGCTGATGTTGTTGACATTTTTTTTCTTTTGCGGGATTTGGTTTTTTCTTTCTAAATTCGACCAGACAGTAGCTAAGGATTTGTTAAAATAGACATGGTTGTAGTGGAATCAAACCCTAACCCGAAGCTCATTCTAAGAAGCTGAAGATGGATAAGAAAAGGGAAAGAAATCTGTTTTGTTTTGTTTTTGTAGGTTCAGCCTCGCTTGTGACTTACCGGAGATAAGGATCTGGTGGGACCCTCTTTGAGACATGAAATAATCTGCTTGTCCTATTAAGAACACGTGGCGGATTATAAGTAGTGCCGACAGTTAAATTACGCCGGACTTAAAAAACGGCTTGTAAATTTAACCCTTAAATAGAGAGAGAGTTTGTAAAGTTTGTATTGGTTAGTAGTAGACACGATCAGATTAGATATAATTTTTAAATTCTTATAAATTTCGAATTGAATTTTAAATAAAATTTTTAAAATTTATATTTGATCCGATTTAATTCGAATTTATATATATAAATTTATTATTATGTATATGCAACTATATATAAATTAATTAGTATATACAAAAATTAAAAATAAAAATTATATATATGAATTAAATATAAATTTATTAAATTAAATTAAATTAAAATTTTTTATTTTTTATTATATAAATTAAATTTAATAAATGAATTTAATATTTATTTTTTTTAATTTAAATTAAATTTAAAAAAATTTTAAAGTTTAAAATTTTGAATCAAACTTAAACAAATATATAAATTACTAAAATCAAACATAAACTCAATATAAATCTATAAACTCAATATAAATCTATTTCGATCCATAAACATTTCTAAATATAAGTTTCAAAGAATTTTAAAATACATAATTCTGCTTTTTTTGGAGAGTTTTTATCAAATCAGCTAACTCGAGATTAAATTTAGATAATTAATTAATATAATTATTTTTAAAAAGCAATAGAACTGAATTATCAGCAATCATGCATTCAACCAAAAAAAAAAAAAAGGGTTACCGCAGGAGGATTTTGGTGGTAACCCATATATATTACTAATAATTAAAATAATTTGGGACTATATTTTATATACAACAAAAAAAATTAATGAAAATAAACAATTGCCAAAGTTTAAAAGACAAAAAGACAAAATTTTGGATGAACTGTTTTTTTTTTTTTTTCTGAACTACAACAATCTTGCATGATCTTCCAACCCCGCCATGAATGTTTCTGAAAGTGGGGAGGAAAAAGAATGGTAATTTGCCTCGACAAAACCTTTTAACTTGAAACCATTGCCTTGACAATTTTGCGACGTCGTCTAGAACCTGACCTCCGATCTCTTCCACGTCTTGGTGAGACCTTCCTGAGTGGAGCAGTAACTATTGTTTCACCTGAAAATATCCTAGGAGGATCATTGGCCAAATATGGTGGTGGCGGTGGAGGATAAATGGCAAGAGAAGCCATCTGAGCCAAATAATCTAAAACTTCCTTATGGTATTTCTGCAAGTAACATCAAAGAGAGGTTAAGTCAAGAAATCAAACCAACGTTGGCTGCCCAAGAGAATTAAAGATTTACATTCGATGTAAAATTTGATGGTTAGATTACAGGTTCTAGCAGATCCTACATGCAAGGTACGGTCATGGAACAATCTTACAGATGTGCAAGAAATGAATCCTTGCCTAATATGGATGTGTGAGAGTGGTAACAATTTCCAAATCGTCCACGGCGAGAAAGAATCAGTCATCAAGTAGTATAATGGAAGCATGTTTGAATCACAGTTTATCGATAGGGAGGCATAAGAAAAGTTAAATTTTGGAGATTCAATGAGGTTTAACTAAAAAAGATTTGCTCCCCCCATGAAGAAAATAAGCACCCAAAATTTTGGAGATTCAGTGAGGATTCCATGGCTTCATCATCATGGAAAGACAGTGGCTGCTACATATAAAGAGGCTGCCATTGGCATCAAAGGCCAATTTACAGCAGTAATTATGCATCAAAGAAAATACCAACAAACAAATAAAATTAGGTTCAAGAGACAGTGAAGTGCTCCTCATAAACACATGCAATTTCAGAATATCTGAGTAAACAATTAGTTGTATTGTAGGAATTTTGAAACTAAACTGTAACAAGGGATTATTAGCCGACAAAGGGAGTCCATTTGTTAAATTTACAGCATTAAATTACTTAAGCATATTTCAGAATGCTGAAAAACAGAAAAATAAATACCTGAACGACAAAGTTGCGCCTCTCACAGTCCAAGAACATATTTATAGTCCAATTTGTCTTTGCCGCAATCTTATCCCTTACGGTTGAAAAACTAATTTGGTCTCTGGAAGTAAAACGGTCAACTTCATTGAACCAAAGACACGTAAAGAGGTTGCTAATAGGAACATGCTCTCTTATTATTACACATCCTTCAGGAACATCTGCAGAGACAGCCATTAAAGCAAACTTCATTAAAGCTGAAAGAGGCATAATCAAACACAATAACACAAGAGCAAATATCTTGCACCCTACCACTTGTGATAGGAAGTTTAGCCTTGGAATATGGGGTCAAACCCTCTTTTTTATAAAAGTCGACCTGAATGTCAATGGAGGCATTATCATATTTACTAGCAGCTTTATTTGCCTCAGCTTCATCAAACACATCAAAGCGTTTATAATGCCTAGAAATTGCAAAAGTAGCATTTTTTCTCCACAAGAACCTGAAGGAACACTCCAAGGAGTTAGAATAAACAAATCTGGGCCCTGAAACCAGCTTAAACTAAAAGACACAAGCAAAGCTACGGAGGCCAAAACTTTTAATGTCACAGTATTCATGAGAGTAATCACAAAGTGATTTTAGACGCATATCCAGTTAATATTTAATCTAGTCTAACTTCAACACATAAGACTTACGAATCTTATAAAATTTGGAAGCTGGAAAGAATTCCAAGGTACCTCTCAAGAATTTGATAAGGATCAGCAACAAGCTCAAGTTTCCCATCAATCCACAAAGAAAAACGAGCATTGGGAAATAGCCTATGTTGTAGAAGCTTTGGGATCTGTTACAGGCATAACATGAGTCAAAAGGCATAAAACTTCTTTTATATGCATTTTTAACCTATAGGAGGATATTGTGGGATCAAGCTTATGCCTTATCTCAATTTCTTTTCTGTAAGGTTATGTCAAAAACAAATAAAACCTCTCGGTTCCCATTTGCTTAGATTGAATCAAGCAATGTGGACCATATTCATCGTCATCTACTAAACTCAGAATTCTCTAACTCTGATCTAAAATCAAATGACATATTGTCCACATTTTAAACATTTACCTTTCCATTGCGCCTTCCATCAGAGTAAGGAAGATTATGCACAACAACAATTCTCCATACCCCAATCTTTTTACTCTCATGCTTAGCTTTCAAGTCAGCTTCTGTTTCTTCATCAACAAACATATAGAAGCAGATAGTCCGCTTGGAATATTCACTAATATTCTTTGGCTGTTGTATGATATCAAAAGCTCCTGAAAAAGAAATGGATCATTCAATAAAAATTCATTGCCTCCAACATAGGAATTGAACAATAAAATAAATATAGTAAAGTTTGCTACCAAATATTGCTGATGCAACAACCACTCCATGACATTGCTCCATCTCAAGAAGATCATTATCATTGATGTTAAATCCTGTCCTATGGCCAGGTTTGTTTCCTTTGACAAATCTGGAAAATGCGCAACACACATCGATCAAAATGTTACATTGGCAAATTAGCAAATATGATTTAAAAGATTAAGAATACAAAATCATATTCACTTTTAAAAATTTGACCTAAAAAAAAAAAAAAAGGTGAACCATACCCACAGTGCACTTTCATTGACTCTCTTATGTCATATGAATCATCCCGCTCCTTCAAAGTAGGATACCCACCAAAGTCTGAACCTCCAAATTCTGTCTCTTTATTTAAATTTTCCTCATAAATATATGTTAAATTCTTAAGTACTGGAGAAAATGATGGGACTTTTGGCATCAATGCAACAGCTTCCTCCACAGGAAGGTAACATACAGGACAAGCTACATCATAAACAAGTAAGAAAACTTAGAAACTATATTTTAATGAGCCAAAACCTGAATTGGCAATGTCAAAATACCAAATCCAAAATAACTAAATTGAGAAAAAAATTACAGAACAAAAGAAAACTTACGACGTGGTCCTGTTCTTTTTTTGTCTGCTGGTGGAGGGGGTAAACTAAAAGTGCTGCATGGATGCCCTGGAGGAAGAGTGTAGCCTAGAAAATATGACGGAGGAGGAGGAGGCATTACCCTAACTTCAGTTCCTTCAACACTGACTGGTAAAGACGTCCAATTGTCTATTCTGATACGTTGCACTTCATTTATCAGGGGAGATCCAGAATTATTTAGGGGCAAATTATCATTTAGCTTAGGGACATTGTCACTTTCCTGATCATCACCTGTAAACAAGCCACGATACATTCAAATTCACATATCATGCCCTCACACAACTCAAGCCAATTGGCAGCAAGAAGTCCAAAACAAGAATAAAATGTAACCAGCTTGAGCTAAAGACATATTATCGAAAACCAAAACAAGGGAGCAAACTAGACAGTCCTCGAGCTTGAAACTTGAATCTAACGTTCGCAAACCTCTAGATGCCCATTTCTCAATTCAAACACTCCAACCAAAACCGAAACACTGCAGATAATAACTTTACAACTAAACTCTAATCAATGTTGCTACACAAAGTAAACATAGATCTTGCCCACTTCTTTAATCAAAATATCAGAACAACCAGCCTAAGAATCACGAATTCACTATGAACAATCCAGTAATGAAGAGAAATAAAGAAAAAACCAACCTTTGCCAACATACAAGACCCAAACAAAAACGGCAGCGGATATGACACAGAGGAGCAGCATTCCAACCTTTTTGCGGCCAGCGAACTTACAGATCCAATGAACCAATGTCTCCTTTTCCTTAAACATTTTAGAAGGCTTAGTTCTTGTTGCTGAAAGCGCTTGAATTGGCAAAACCCCGTTTTGCAGCTGTTTGTCCAAAGACCCATAACTCCCAGAACGAATCCCCAATGACCCTCCGGTCATTGTTTTCTTTATTAACAACCCCAATTCACTCCTCTCATCAAACTTTACTTAACTATATAAAATGATAATCATCAAAAACAGAAACATAAAACCTATACCTTCATTACTTAAAAAACAACACAACAACAAAAATCCCACTTCAAAAAGCAGCTGTTGGGGCGGCGCCAACCAAATTGAAGTCAAATGCAGTTCAATAATCAAAAAGTTGAGAAATTTGAAGAAAACAAAATCTGGGTGTTTCAGTTTTTGATTGGTCGTTAAGGGTTTTGTGAAATCGAGGGAAGTGGGTATTGTGATCAAATCTCAGATCACAATTTTCGAGTTAATACGTTTCTTATTACAAGCTTTTTTCTTTTGGATGAGAGTGGATATTGCAAAAATGGGGAAAATTCATCGTATATTTGTATAATGACCAAAAATTAAATACTGATAGGTTAATCCATCGCCTAATACTCTTGATGTCAAAGAATCAGACGGTGATGGTTTGTATTTGGCTTTTGTAATAAAATAAAGCCCACCGTAAACCTAAGCAAGACTTTTTGTCAAACAAATTTTTAATGAAATTTCAATATTGATTTATAAAAGTTTGCCTGTTGGATTAAAACATATGACCACAGAATATGAACTGATAAGGATCTCTGTCTCCTTTTCTTTTCTTTTTTCCTTTTGTCTTTTCGTAACAGCGTTTTTTGAACTTTAATCTCTTCTGAAAAATATTACTAAGATATTATATTGATGAAAAAAATTGACGAGGACAAGTGATAAAGTTACGGCGACAACAATTCAAATGAAATCGAATTAAATTTTAAATTTTAAAATAATATATAATATTATAAAATTTTGAAATCTAAATTAATTTTTTTAAATAATTTAATTTAAATCGAATTTTATTGATTTGATTTGATTTATTAAATTTTAAAATTTTATTTTTATATATTATTTTAATAAAATTTTAATAGATTTAAATATATTTATATATAAAATAATTATTTTATTTTATAAAAAATTAAAAATATATAAAAATTAATAAAAATATATAATTCTTCAATTTAATTTTTCAATTTTTTTCATTCTTATCTAAATTTAATATATATAATAAGGTCTCTTCACTTATAATTAATTAATTTTGAATTAAATATAAAAAATAGTATTAATTCTTAAGATAAATATTTTAAAATTTAATTTTAAGTACATACTCTAAAATTAAAGATTATAAAAAAAAGATTATTTTTAATACTATTTTTGTCTAAAAAAATTTAAGACTATTTTATTAGGATTTAGACATTAATATTGAAAATAATAAGTTACTATTTGAGAGAAGGGCAAATGGCAATGATGGACTCCATTGATTTTCAATCAAACACAGGCAATTATTAAGTTGAAACTTGAAGCAAATGCATTAAACTCAGCCAAAATCCAAAATTTCTCTTCAAATTTATCTTTTCTGCATTTAGATTTTTGAAGGAACAAGTTACAGCTTATCTTCTGCTATTTCCTTCTTGCATTTCAATTTTCAACATTATTATGCTTGGGACTGTTTTTGTTTTCTTCAATAGATTCAAACTTCCATGGCTATTAAATCAAGAAAAAGCTGCAAAACCAAATTCATGGATTTGACTTTCCCATCTAGAAAAATAAGATCATAAATGAAGAGTATGGAAAATTAACCCTCCTCATTTTGATTAAGATTTAGGTCCAAAATTTTTTTTTTCTCTATTTATGAGTCAAAACAACTTGTTCTTCCCAATACGTAACCCGGATTTCTCTTTGCAACAACTGGCTGCTGCTGTCATTTTCTCCCTTTGTAGCTTGCTTTGTTACCTTTTTCTTCTCCATCAATCTTACAAGTATTACTTTTTGATAATTATATAACAAAAATTAGGCCTTCCCTCAGTATTTAATACAGATTAAGAATGGCAATTTATTTCGTATTTCGAGAATTTCAAGAAGTTCCCATCATCAGCTTGCGTAAGAATGTCAAACAACTTGTATTAAACTATTAATGGTGTCAAGCAATCCACCTAGAATTTCAAACCTCGATAGCAATCTTGCAATATCTTCATCATCCAAGGGGCAAAACCATAAAACTCGGTCACATTGAAAAGGTTTGACTATGGACTTTCAAAACCTTGCATGTCGGCTAACATGGTTGTTTCCTTGTTTGTCTGCCCTACCTTCTCAATTCAATCCCCTCTCTGTTTCGTTTACCTTTTGCATATTTGCTGCAAAAGGTGAAGTCCAGGGTTATATGGGTTAATTAGTCTCAAACTTTTGGCTTTGCAACAAATCCTATATTCGATGCTATTCGACAATCACATTCCTCTTCCATATCTCTCTCTTGGACAAATACCATAGTGGAAAGTAGATAATCCACCTTCATTTCCAAAATGAGAACCACTTTTGCTTTTACTGATTTTGATGCACCTTGGATATCAGATTTGGACAATAATTAAGCTTGCTTAGGAAGAACTGCAAGATGAAAGACCATCAATCATTAGGTTGGAAGGGGCTTTTCTTTGTGGTGTTTGCTCCTTTATAATAGTATCTTTTGCATTATTTTTCTGTTAAATTTTTAAAAGCTAGGCATGTCATTGTACATATCTATGTTTAAATAACTTTAAACCCACAATGAGATGATTAAAGGATGAGTTTTAGATTATGATGTTAGCCATGGAATTGCTCCTTTATTGTATGTTGTTTGTCTTTGTACAATCTACCATGCCAAGAAACTATACTGGTTGGCCCAGGGAAATCCTCCTCAGCTCCTTATGGACTGGGGAATTTTGGAGAGTTAGTGCTTTTGCAGTTAAAACACATTATTACAGAAGTCAAGTTGTCCTTATCCAACTACCACCCACCACATTGGTATTCCTTTGCAAGGAAATTGTGCTCTAAAATGATTCTGCCCTTTTTTAAACCAGCTATGGATGAAATGATTATCCCCTGATTCCTAAACTTGATAAAAATTTAATCAAAATTTAAACAAGCACCAGTGGTCTAGTGGTAGAATAGTACCCTGCCACGGTACAGACCCGGGTTCGATTCCCGGCTGGTGCATCTTCTCTTTTTGCTTTTCATTACTTTTTTGACGTTTCCTCCAGGTTACTGTCATGGGCTCAAGCACGCTAAGCTTATCTAGTGCTGCATTTTGGGTGAGCTTAACAGTTTGTTCATTAGTATCCTGTCTGCATCAACTTCTTTGCAGAAAATATCGGTTTTACTGATACCTAATATGAGTGGATGCAGGGTTTGATCCACTATGTGATACAGGAAATCTAGCTAATTATTTCTACCAAAATATAATCATGTTTTCCTTTGGTTCCTCGTACGGCATTGAGTTAGCCAATGGTGCTGCCATTTGGTGTTTTCTTCCAGCGCAACATTCAGTTCTTTAATTGCACCCTTATCTTTAGGATGAGTAAAATTTGATCTGATTAAGATTTTGTTTCATGACCCTGTGGACGTCCTGGAACAGTGATTTATAGACAAGTATGACTCCACTAGCAGTGAAGTGGAACTATAGAAGACTTTTCTGACTGAGAATTTTTAGCACCATTTTGAGTTTTTAACAAAGTATTGTTGGATGGATCTCTGTCATGTGCCCTTACTTTTTGGGCTTAAACTTTCTTTGGAAGAACAATTTGGTCCAAATTTTCTGGACTCCAATGGATTTTCCCTCCGATCATTATTCCTGTAGAAAAAGGATTCCAAGTTACAAACCATGCAAAATTATTAAAGCAGAAGCATTCATTTGTCACGATATTACCATCCATCCTATCAAAAGCAAGAGCCTATAGCTGGCATTTGTTGGTAAATTCGTCCACGATCTGCTCTTCAATTTAAATTTGTGTATGGTATCAGTACTGTATATGTAAACAGTAACATGAACAATATCACCCTATAGATGAACAGTGCCAATTTCCCCCTAGATCTGCGGTGCAGATAATATATCAAACAGTAATAAAGAATATGAAGAATAATAACAACGATTTACGTAGAAACTTCTAATCCCGGAAAAAACCAAGGACTGCCAAAAACAAATCATTATATAAAAAATTGTTACAATTACATAGACTTTACTACTCACCCAAACTTAATCCTATTTATCAAGCAAATTCTAACCCAAAATCCCTTACATTCAAACACTTACAAAACAAGTGAAAAAGAAAAGAAACAAGCGATTTTGCTATTGCTTCTGAAGGATGCCCGGATGCCTTGTAATCCTTGCTTATTTATAGGCAAGGCTGCATCAAATTTTCCTCTTCAGTGGCTTGATTTTCAAGACCGAATTCGGTGCTCTCTCCCTTTTTCTTCATTTGTTTGCACATTTTCTTCATTCGGTGCTTTTGTTTCCAGCCAAGAAATGATTAGCTTATGTTTATCAAACTTTTCAGATTGAATTATTTAGCCTGTTGTCTAATAGCATTTCTAGTCATGATAGCAATCAGAATTTCCAGTTTCCATTTGTCAAAGAAAGCTCCAAACCTGTCATCTGTCATCACCAGATAGCTTGTCTCCAATTCTCGTATTCACATGATCAACAATGATAACCAAGAACACTACTATTATTGCTAATGTAAAATACATGAATAATCACTCAATTTTTTAGATGAAAGCCTGTGTGGTTATACAACTTTTAATACTATAGTTTTGCATCTGTTTACCATTTTATAATGGCAATGTCCTGCAACCTGCATCTTGGTTCTGGAAATATTGTCCAAGCCTTTTCAACTTAGAAACTTACAGACATGAAAGAAACACTGCAGCAAGAACTTGTTACTTGTATAATCTATATTCTGTATCATTTACTTAAGACCTCGAATCCTCTTGTCTAGGATTTGAACAGGCCAAGGTTAATTCATAAAATTTCATTAATTGCTCAGCATAAATGCAGATGGTCACACTACTCATGTAAATATCATTGTTAGAATTGTTCATCAATCATTCTTCGCATTCATTTCTACCCTTTAGTCTTCTCTAGAAAATGAAAAAAGGAAGAAAAAATTTCTCCAACAATCTCACTGGCTCTAGGGTATTGGTGATGTGTTACCAAGAACAATGAATTCTTGTTGAAGTGAGGAGGATAATATGATCTAGAAAGAAATTATAAATCCCAAATCAACTATGTTTTAGAGTTGATCTTATGATATAAATATTCACACTAATTTCAATTTATGAAATATCTTTTGTGAGATAAAATCATGAGGTTCAATGGGATAAAAAAGACAATACTTCACAAATTGTTATAGATGGTGACATTTGATATCAAAATCAACTCTGAGGTATTAAATATATCACCAAGATGGTGGGTTCTCGTTTAAGTAGAAAAGGATGTCCAAATGAAACAAAAAGCTTGCATGAACCGTGAGGCTAAATAATTAAAACAGATAATACTTTATAAGTTAGTATGAATCGTGATACAATATTTAATTAAAAATTTGTTTATTCTTGCTCGAAGAATTAAATGTTTGCATCCTCATTCTCTCAAAAAAAAAATCATTTTGCATAGTGATAGGTTAAACGTTAAAGTGCGATTCAATTATTTCAATCCAATTATGCACACTTACTTCAATAATTTAGCAGCATAATATTCTACTTTCTAATCCAACCTTGTCCTGACCTAAAAAAAATTTTCTCTTAACAGCATCACTAAACATATTGTCCCTAGAAAGTTCATGTCTGAATGCAATTATGTTTATTCTTACTTTGTCTCAACAGAATAAATATAACGATAATAATAAAGCAAATTTAGTGTGGGACATGGTTTAATTATATATTTCTACTCAATTCATGGAACCCTAATCCCATTGTATATGCAGGGTCATGTCAAACAACTATCTAGCTATCTGCCTTTATTGCAATGGGCCATAATGCTAGATTTGGTTTAATAACTATCTGAAACTGCTAACTTTACAATATTTTTACTTTACTTTTATTATTCCACACTTACCAAATTTACCATTTCTTGAGCAAGAAAAATTCGAATTTTGAGCATCTTGTGGCTAATATTTAGGCTTAATTTTTACAAATTTACCAAATCAACAGCTTTCTTACATGCTAATTTTGATTACTTTTGAATTAGAAATGATTAAAACAGACTGTAATTTGCATGGAGTTTATACAAATCCAAGCATTAATAGAAAAACCAGTGTTTAGATAAGCGATAATCTTAATGTCTAGTCTACTGTTTATGAAATCTTATCATAGAAAATAAAAGAAATCATCATGGGGGACAGGGAAAGATCATCCACGATATATCTGTTGTCTAACAACAATATGTATCGAGTTTCCACGATGTGGACCAAAGAACTTGAACAGCTAAGAACAAACCTAGCTACAAATTTATGTTAAATATTAATCAGGGTCTTGGCTTTATGATTAGATTTAGAACAAAGAATTAATGAAAATCAATCAGTACTGGCATAATTAATTACATGCCATTCATATGAAAATTAAGTTGACACAACCATAAAAAATTATAGTCGTCAAGTCATGCAAGCTTAGCTTGACATATCGAAAAAGCATCATTTTCTATCTGTGTCAGCCTGTCGAGTTTCATCTTATCGACTATGGGGATCACGTCTCCATCTAAAGCCCACCGGGAGCTGGTTTCCGTCGAAATACGCGTCTAGTTTCCATGGGTTCATGATCATCATCATGCCAGATAAAAAAAAAAAAAATCCGATCATCTCCATGCAAGAGATACCGGTATAATCTGAATTATGTATGATTAACTTTATTAATCTTATTTTATACTAATACATCAATGATAAACTGACCTAACAAGATAAGAATCCAAATATTTTAAAGTAGAAGGATTATTTTAAGACGATGTAGTGAATATCTCTATTAATGTGAAGATATTTTTTGCTATGAGAATTAGCCAAAGATGCCAATAGAGATTGACGTAAGTGGTTAAGGTTTAAGTTCTGAAGGCAAAAATATCCCGGTTCAAACCTCCACAATCCACTGTTAGTAAACAATCTGTAAATCTGAAAAATAAAAAAAAAAATTCATAAATCCTCTTAAAAGTTGGCGGCTTATCCTTACCTTAGAGACAAATTAATCTCTTTCTACTTCTAAACTTTTATTGAAAAAAAAAAAAAAACCAAAGATAAAGTCAGAAATCAAAGATATTTTGAGCATCCCCGGAGCAATATTTTCAGTTTTTCACATAAAAATAATATAGGTGGGTAGAACTTGGCTTTATTGACAACATGATATGTAGGATTGTGACCGATGAATTTGAGATTAGGTTAGTGATTAAGAACTGGGTTAGGAGGAGGCAATCAAGCACACATGATGACTAGCTTATGTGGATATCGATTTTATTCTTTGAATTGTAACCGAGCTGTTGATGTTAAAACAAAATAGGTCTTTATCAAAACGTGGATTACAAATAAACAATGTTATCATTGACATTTAGACAAAAATTAATGATATATACAATTAACATGTGTTTATAAAGTATTTACTAATATTAGTTAAACTATTATTTAAAAAATAATTATTTTACCAAATTATAAAATATTTTTCCATTATTAATATTGGATCAATGCTTCATATATATGGGTAGGATTTAGGAAATTAGAAAAGATAGGGATCTTAGGCTGCAATTTGTCTCTTTCATGGGCATTAATCTTTTTTTATTACTGACTAATCTATTTTAAGTTAGATCTAAAATGATTAATCTTCTCCTCTGAAGGCAGCTACAACAACCATTAATGATCAAGATCACTCCAAAAGTTACCAGAAAAAATTAGTGCCATATCATTACGTTGCCAAATGACTTTGCTTTAAGACTTTGCATACCATTTTTTTTTTTTTCTAAATCTCCATTATTGCAAACCATTAAGACTTTGCTTTAGAGGAAGAAAATACCAATGATTTCTATATGTTAACTAGCTAACAAAAATTATTCCTTCCCAAATGTAAAATTTTTAGAGAAAAAAATTGATTGATGCTTTTGCATTTTTATATATAAAAAATATTTACCAAAGGAAACTTTAATTTTTTTCATTTTCCAACTTTCCATGATACAACTTGCCAAATGACTATAGTTTTGATTCTTTTTCCCCAAACATCAATCACCGTTTTGAATGATTGTTGAAATGTGAAATTATATCACATAATGTCGACATAAAGGTAAGATACATGATTCTTTTGTAGAAAATATAAATGAACATTAGCAATTCCCACAAGGGTCACAACAATCAACTTGTCATTAATGAATAATTAAAAAAAAAAGAACACAACATTTCATGAGGGGATTAGGTATAATTTTACTTTATGAAAATGAAATTCACATGTCAATCTTTTTCTTAGCATAAAAATTCATTAAAAAAAAAAAGAAAATTATTATCGAGGAGAAACGATCTTACATTTAATAGTCAATAATTGAATTATAATTTTATAAGAATCATCTTTCTCTTATCAAAACATTTTTTTTTCAAAAAATAAAATCATAAAGTTAGACTTTTGAAACCTTAAAATAAATAATATCCTATAACAAATGCAGTCTAACAGCTCTTACATCAATAGTATTGATACGTCTCATCAACTTATACATTGAAAAAACATGGTGAAAATAAAGTGCCATATTACGATATTTAGAACTCTCTTCTCACTTTCTCATTCAACGTAAAAATTTGACTCCTTCCAATTATTCATGAATCAAAAAGACAAAAATGCCCTCAACTTTGTCATTTAGTAAAATACATTATTGGTTTATAACATATTAGAGCATTGGTGAGGAATCTTGTCTTAGATGCCAAATGATAGCGAGCCATTGGCAAGACGCCGCGGTTTATTTACAACAATTCTTTTTTTTTTTTTTTTAAATCCTAATAATAATACATGACCCGAAGAACTTTAATCCTGAAATCATGTGATGAATAGACAAAAGCCTACAAAAATAATTTTGTTTAGTTGAAGCAACAGGTAGGCCTCCCTCTTTCGGGTAAACCTCGACATCTATCGTTCCCTGATCTTGCCACGTTTGATCTTATTCACCACTCAATCACATCAGTCTATCTCTTCCAATTTTCTGTGGCCCCACCATTTCGAGATTGGGCAATTGTTTGACACTAACGTTTTTTTTTGGTGGATTATATGAAATTATTGAGACAAAAAATTTTGGGGGACGTGGATATTCGAGTATATCCAGATTGGATCGGTTGATCAAAATTTTTGCAGCCGATCGACGTGGATCCTCGCTGTCTGGTCCAAAAATACTAGACTGGATCGATACAGATGATCCAATCACGTGCGCGGCGGCTCGTTCGTCCACGTTGGTTCAAAACGTGTCCCACTTTCGCCTAAATCCTAGTATAAAAACAGTCCCATGGGCCAAATCAACAACAAACTCGCCAGGTTTCTAAATTCCCCTTGACAGAAACATTAAAAAGAATGGCTGGTATTGCAACAAGAATTTCGTGGAATCACCGAAACTTAAGGTACGGTTGCCAGGAATTCAAGTTCCCTGAGCAACCAGATTCAAGTCTGTCGGATATGGAATTCGAGTTTCTTGAAGATTATGGTGACCAGGGATTCCATGTAAGCTGTAACACTGATGAGTTTCGAGGTAATGAAATGGTGGATGGAGGAGGAGAGTTAGGTGATGATGAGGAGGAGGAAGAGAAGGAAAATGATGGAAGCAGAGTTGAAAATAACAAGAGTTATTGGGAGAGTCAGCACCAGGTTTTGCAAGATACCTTGTGTAGGACAAGCTCTTTGGAATCAAGAATCAGAAATGCTACCAAAGAAGCCTTGAAAGATTTTCAGGGAGCCGAAACCATTTGTGCTTGTGGGAAATCAATAGCTGAAAGTTGTAGGAATTGTCTTATGAGAGAACTCTCTAGCCGTCTCCAAAATGCGGGATTCAACAGTGCCATTTGCAAGTCTAAATGGAGAAGCTCTCCAGATATCCCATCAGGTATATAAATGTAATAATTAAAACGAAGAACATTAATTCCCTTGCTTTATCTTGTTGGGGTTTAATTTGTCAAGAGATGACAGGCCTTTAACATATTATATAAATATAATAATTAAAACAAAGAACATTAATTCCCTTGCTTTATCTTGGTGGGGTTTAATTTGTCAAGTGATGACAGACCTTCAACATATTATTTTGGTTTGATATTGTGCAGGAGAGCACACTTTTTTGGACGTGATAGAGAATTCGAGAAAAGGAGACGTAAGGGTAATAGTAGAGTTGAATTTCAGAGCTGAGTTTGAGATGGCAAGAGCAAGTGAAAATTACAATCGTCTAGTTCAACGATTACCAGAAGTTTTCGTGGGTAAAGTAGAAAGATTAAGTAATGTGATCAAAATCTTATGTATGGCTGCCAAGAAATGCATGAAGGAGAAGAAAATGCACATGGGACCATGGAGAAAACACAGATACATGCAAGCTAAGTGGCTAAAATCTTGTGAACGGAATACATCTAAACAATCCTTATCGATGGGATATTCAGGCCGATTGTCGAAGCCAAAGGCCTCAATGCTAACTGTAGATTTGCTGGAAAAGTTATCCAATGTGCATTGTACAGCAGTTGAGGTTGTATGAATATTGGGAGATAACAAAAGTTTTTTGTCTTCTTGCTCTTTTAATAATTTACTCCTTGAATCTGAGCCTAATACTTTAGTCAATGGATAAATAATGATAGGGTGCCTTTTATTATGAAATATTGAAGGTTTTTTTTGGTTTGTTTGTTTGAAGTTTGATGCTCAAAGATAAGGATCATATGTTGCAGCAAATTTCAGATATGATTGTGGAGCAAAATAACCCTGGATTTGGATTCTTGACGATCTTATAAAAATATTGTTCAATATAATAAATGGATCAGTTTTTGACTCTAAATTGGATCAGGTTCTGAAGTTGCGGTTTTGAAAGTGCAAAATTCACATAAAATTTTCAAGTCTCAGGGATAGGGTTGGTAAATACACCTGAACGTACTCATCATATTCCTAACCCGATCTAATCCTACACGTTTTTTTTTTTTTTTAAATCAGATTTAAAGTTAGGTAAGAAATTTTTTAAAAAATTTAGGTCAGAGTTCAAAGTAAATCTATCTAGATTATAAATATATATAATATTTTTATTATTTATTTAATTTTATATTTATATATTATATTAATAAAATTATTATGTAATATTTTAATTTAATATATTAACTTAATAAAAATATTATATTTATGAATAATTAAAATAATTTATATTAAAAAATAATATTTATAAATATTATATTAAATTAAAATTATTAAATTAATTTATGTTTAAATCAATTATGATTTTATACATATACAAATAAGATCGAATATAACAATATATATTTATATATATTTTAATATCTGATCGAATATTTATTATATAAAATCGAGTCAAAATCAAAATGAGTAAAAATTCGTTTTAACCCAACCTGTCGGCATCTCTATTCAGCGAAGATTATTACTATTCATAAACAGTGGTAGGAAGAATTGCTAACGGAAGTTAGGAGTGCCAAATCGTCGTGAGGAAGCCGATTTCCATGCAAACTTGGTGGCTTATCACTTCTTAAGTTTGAACATACATTTGTTTTCAGAACCTAAGCAAGGCGTCAAGAATATTCAAGAGGCGGCATTTGCTTGCCAAGATATGATTAAGACATAATTAACTTCATCTCAGAGTATTTATTTCTTATCACCTAAACCAAATAAACATTTGATTGAGATAGAAATAAAATGGCCGACTTTTAGTGCATATGAGTTTCTCCATACATCTAATATTAATTTAAAAGTTTTTTCTGAATTCAACGTCACGAGTCAAGTGATATCAACTTAGTTAAGGAATTGGAAAAAATAAATTAAAAATAAAAATATATGTATTAATAAAGATTATAATAGCGATTTAATTTTCTTTCAAAAGAGATAATTTAATTTTAAATTTAACTTCTTTTATTATAAAAATTAATACGTGTTTTGGCCAAAAAAAAAAACCTCTAGTATATGTGTAGTTATTCCATATTTTCTTCCTTTTTAAGATAACTATAATTTTTTTTATTCTTTTAATCTCTATATAAATAATTAAAAGTTTATTTTACACACAAGCGGTTGTGCAAAAGTTAGTAGTATATTGTATCTTTTTAAACATGGGATGGGCAAGCCCAACAACCAAATTGGGTCAGTTGAGCTTGGGGTCTGATGGGACTCTTGACTTAGGGCCCATATTTTAAACCAAGAGACCCATGGATTTTTTATTTCTTGTATTTCCTTCCCCAAATCTCAAATCGCATAAAAAAATAATTTAGGAAAAAAGCAAACAAAAGCATCAATAAAATATAAATATGACACGATGATAGAACCTAAATATAATATGAAAAAAATATAAAAAATAATATATTTTAAAATTTTAACATAATTATATATAAATAAAATAAAATAAAAATATATATTTTATATTTTTTTATTAATATAAATTTTGATATATAATTTTTATATAAAATATGATATAAATATATAAATTTTAGTATTTTATATAATACAAATATACAAATCATAGAACGGAAGATTTTGTGCTATTTCGAACACATGCAATTTGCTTGTTTTATTGTTCCTACATGCCTGTTTTAGCCAAAGAATAGTGAAGGTATTTGGTTTGGTTTTGCTCTTTTCCTATTAGATTCATTCTCCCTTGTCCATTATATATTTTAGGTAAAAAGCAAAACGTCCAAGAAGAAAACAAGCACTCTTAATTTCTATAAGTTGACGAAAGCAAGGCTTTAAAGCAACATGGATGACTATTACTTTGTGTTTTATCCTTTTTATTAAAGAGTAATGCATCCTTGTCATCATTTAATTATCTATGTGCAACTAGTTTGAATTACCTAACATGGTATTTATTGTTATCGTTAACAAATACATGAACAATTCATTTCTTATTTTTTTTTAGTAATAATTGTTATTGATATCAAGTTCCAATTTGAAGGTATTATTGTGAATATAAAAGAAAAAAACGATTAAAGGTAGATAGGGGTTTTTTTATTTTTATATTTCAACGTGTAAATCAATAAAAATCAAGTTGGTAAGAAAATAACAAAAAGAAAAAAAAGTGAATAAAATTAATTTGCATTTATGATATTTAAGTTTTTATTTATAGATAAACTCAGAAAGATCATAAAAAAATAATTAAGATAAAATTAAATTGAGATGATACTGATCATATCAAACCGACTTGATATGTCAAGTTAATATAAATAATAAAGACATCATTAATTATTTACTAAAAGCTTTGAAAATAAAAATAAAAAAAAAACATTATAACTTTTTTATTAATAAATGCCCTTAAAAATTATAATCTAGTACTTTTATTTTTCATTTTTTTGTTGGTTTTTAAAATTATTAAAAATTAAAATTTGTTCCATTAAAATTAAGATTTCATTTGCAGTACCAACATGAAGTTTCATTAGGGATAAGGTTGAACGAGGACTTAATTTTGTGGGATTAATGATGTTGTGAATGGTGAGGTTGCATCAAATCTGTGGACCACACAAATTGTAGATTTTTAAATAAGGTTCCAACAGCAGCCCCAATTGAAAAGGACATGGCTAAGCCAAAATGCACCGCATTTGGTCACACTTTAACGAAAAAAAAAAATAAAAATCAATCTAAAATTATAATATTTAATTTAATTAACATCGATTTTTTTAATTTGATTTAGATTAAACTTAAATATTAATTATAAATATTAAATTCACATCAAATTTCGATTAGAATTTAAAATTTTTTTTAAAAATCAAATTAAATTGTATAATTTTAATTTATATAAAATAAAATAATTATTTTATATATAAATTTATTTAAATATATTTAAAATATTATTAAAATAATATATAAAATAAATTTAAAATTAATAAATTGAACAAATAAAATTTATTTTAAATCGAATTAATTTAAAAAAATTAAAATCAAATCAAAATTTAAAAATTTATAAAAGTATATATTATCCAAAATACGAATTCAATCCAACTATTATCACTTATACTTTAAATAGCCCTTCTATTATTGCTACTTTAAAAATAAAAATAAAAATTATATATTCGTACACATACCAACCGTATACCTACAAAATACTAACAAAGAGGGTCGTTGACCACAAAAAGTTGACTACAAAAAATCCGTGCGAACCGTACCATCCAACAATGGCTTTGCTTTTGCTGCTCTGTAATTATAAAAAGAGAAAAGATGGAAAAAAAAAAAAGGAAAATACTCATTCTCTGTGATAATGACACTTGTATTCCTCCACTTTATTTTCTTTTTACAAAACCAATAACATAAGCTTTTTTGAAAACTCAAAAGCTCTGTCTTTTATTGACTTTTTGTCTTGTTTTGGTCCCCACATGCCACATTTCACCACCTCCCCAACCGGGCTAAACCTTTTTCCAGTCTCCAACCCGAAAATATCGGGTCCATGGAACCTATGGTCCCCACCCATCTCCGTATACGATACGTATACCTTCCCAAACTTCCTTTTGCAGGGGAATTCCTAGATTTTTTTTTTAATTTTCTTTTACTAATTTTTTGGGTTTTGTTGGTTTTTTTTTTTTTTCTCTTATCTAATCTACCCACAAAAAGATCCTGTCTTCGGTTTGGAACAACAAAGAAGGTTAGAACTTGTAGGAAAAAAATGCCACCTTGCGTTGATTAGCCATGAACTTCTTAGCTCCATGGTAAAGTTCTTGTCTTGGGATGCTTTTTTGGTATATGTTATTGTTATTACATGTACTGGTTTTAGAACTTTGAGGTTTTTCTTCCATTTTTTAATTTGTTTTGTGCATATCTGGTCATATGTGAATCTGGATCTTTGTTTTTGTATAATGGGGTTTATGATTTTTTTTTTTTTTTTTTGCTGTGGTTAATGGGTGTTATAATCATGGGTTTATATTTATTTTTCAATAACAAAATGAAGTGTGCTTTTTTGTTTTTTTCCTTGGGTTTTTGTTTTTGTTTTTGTTTTACTTTATTTTTTATTTTTTGATGGTGACTTGTTTATTTGGTTACTTGTGTGGGATTTTGCAGGCATTCACGGATGGTGGTATTTTGACTTTTAAAGCCTAAAGAGAAAAAAAAAAATTGGAGGAAGGGTTTGCTACCATGATTATGAATCAAAAGCTTTGTTGTTGTTTGATAGATTGAAGAAAGGGTCTTTTAAGTGTGGATAGATTTAATGGGTTTCAAGTGATTCTCTTTCTCTTTCTCTTTTTTTTTAATGGAGAAGAGATTAACACCAGTCAGAGTCTTGTTCTTGATGATTCTTCTTCATGGCTTTGATTGGTTTCATGATTTCAGTGAAACCGAAGTTTGATTTTTCAGTGGTGAATTGTTGATGGGTTTGAAGAATTTTAATTTCTTGAGCTCTGTATATTGCCTAGTAGTATTGTTTCAGGAACAGTCTCTTGATTGTGTACCTTCTTCTTGAAAGGAGGAGGAAAACATAGAAGGGAAGCTTTAGGTTTGAGGTCTTGTAGCGTTTCAATTACCTTGGAGTGAATAGCAGGGTTATCAGAAATGGCAGACGGGCCTAATTCTTGGCTTAGGAGAACGAAGTTTTCTCACACGGTTTGTCATAGATTGGACTCATCTGGATTGGTCTCTTTTCCTTTCCACCAACAATTAGACAGGTATCCAGAGAGGAGTTTTGGATGGAAATCAAGGTCAACAGTGGCTGCTTCTAATGAGAAATCAGTTCAAAGTGATCCACTGATCCAGCAAAATCCAATCACAAACAAGCAAAGATCTGTGTCTCCTCTCCCTCAGACTGTTCTCTCTGATACATTTAAGGAAGCCAGGTCTGAGAAGAGGAGATTCTCAACTCCACATCCTCAAAGGAAAGAATCGGACAAGCGAATAAGGGGAAAGTTTATCCACAAAGAATCCCATGACAAGAAACGGTGCAATTCACCAGCGCCATCAAATTCAAGCCCCCTTAGGCACCTGGGTTCCATGAAGGCTTCAGATAACTCAAAGAGCAGGAAGGAATCAGCTTGGACTAAGTATTTTGACCATGCTGGAGGAAGGGTTAACGCTGTAGAAGCAGCTGATGAACACACTGTTGAACTTTCCCAGCTATTTCTTGGGGTTAGATTCGCGCACGGTGCTCATAGCCGGCTCTACCATGGGATATATAAGGAGGAAGCTGTTGCAGTTAAACTTATTAGGGTACCAGATGATGATGAAAATGGAAACTTGGCCGCTCGATTAGAGAAACAGTTCAATAGAGAGGTTACTCTTTTATCTCGGCTCCACCATCCAAACGTTATAAAGGTAATTGATTTTTTTTTTTTTTCATTTACCCCTTATCATATGTATCTTGTGTAGGTATAATCATGCTTCCCAAACAAATACAATTTACTATGGTTTTTAATTCCTTATAATAACTGGTGATAGCTTTAAATGAATCTTGAATTGAGTATTTTTGTTGTGGGTGCATCATGTTTCAATTCTCACTTTATCTTTTGATCTGATATCCAGTTTGTAGCGGCATGCAGAAAGCCACCGGTTTATTGTGTTATAACAGAATATTTATCAGAGGGTTCATTAAGGGCATACTTGCACAAGCTTGATCAAAAGTCTCTTCCATTGCAAAAGTTAATTGCTATTGCTCTGGAAGTTGCTCATGGAATGGAATATATTCATTCTCAAGGAGTCCTTCATCGTGATCTTAAACCAGAAAACATCCTTATTGATCAGGAATTCCACCTGAAAATTGCTGATTTTGGAATAGCTTGTGAAGGGGCATATTGTGATCTACTGGCAGATGACCCAGGGACTTACCGTTGGATGGCACCTGAGATGATCAAAAAGAAACCGTATGGACGGAAGGTGGATGTCTACAGCTTCGGACTAATCTTGTGGGAAATGTTAGCTGGAACAATCCCATATGAGGATATGAATCCTATCCAAGCTGCTTTTGCAGTTGTGAACAAAGTATGCTCCTAAACCTCATGCTTGTTGGTAATATGGATTCATGTGTCAGTACTAGCATATCAGCCTCACTTCATTCAGGCCTTTGCTTATAAAAATTTTCCTTGAAAATGAACTCCAACACCCACCATAAACATCCAACCTATTTTCTTACATAGTTTTTCATCTCATCGATTTAATCATGTTCAGTCAACTGAAGCTTGCAGCCTTGATGCACAAGATATGGCATATGTCTGCATTGAAAATCTTTATGAATTTAAGTAATTGTGGTGACTGGAGTTGTTTAGTCTGCTTGATGGTAGACTGCTAAGAAACCATGTCATCTTCCTGATGTTTAGCAGTAATGCTAGTATCCTGGTCTTATGCAGTGGCAGAGTTGTTAATTATAAGCATTTCATCCAATCGACATCCAGTCTAACCATCTATCCTATTCAATCTAACAGACTCACCTTCCACTTCCATTGCTCAATACGAGTCTAACCTAAACACAATTTTAGAAACAACAGATACTTAATATGAAGAAAGCGTCATATTTTTCCATTCTTTGATCGGGTCTGATCAATTGTTTGTTTGGATGACTCTATGAAGGTTTTGGAAAGTAATGCTTGGTCAACAGATATTTTACTTGAATTTTCACTTACATGATAGAGTTGAAGTGCGCAATCGTGGCATCTTTATGTATGATTTGTTTCATTTTTTTAATCTCAACCGAGGTGCCTTTATATCTGCAATTCTGATATCACAACTTTTTTCCCCAGAATTTGAGACCTGTTATCCCAGGAGATTGTCCCTCCGCCATGCGAGCTTTAATTGAGCAATGTTGGTCGTTGCACCCAGACAAGAGGCCTGAATTTTGGCAGATAGTGAAGGTGTTGGAGCAATTTGAGTCCTCCCTTAATCGTGACGGAACCCTGGATTTGGTACAGAACCCAACTTGCCAAGATTATAAGAAGGGGCTCCTTCGATGGATTCAAAAGCTCGGTCCCATGCAACCTCACTCCAATGCCTATAGTTCACCGATGCTTAAACTTAAATTCACATGAATCCTTTTTGTAACCTGGCTTTTTTAGTGTCACCGGGTACAAAAGGTTCGTTTTCTAAGCTTCTTTATTTGTATGTTATGTCACATTCATGTGAGAATGAATGAAATAGATTGGTAGGCATGCCTTAAGGTAACAAGTTTTTTCAGACTCTTTTACCATTATACACTATACATACACAACAAATGGTCATTATTTTGAGCAGGAAATTAAAAATATTGACCAGAAAAACAAATTGAAAATCATTTTGGTTTTTGGAAAGTTCATGTTTCAGATTGCTATTCTCAAATAAAAAATCAGCTTCAACATTACCCACATCAAGAAGTGTACCCCTTCTTTCTGTAAAGTTCTGTTTATTTTCATTACTTCTTGTTGTTGTTGTTTATGACGAAATTGGTTTTGAAGGTATGCAAGTTGAATCTTTAGGCTCTTCATTTTTTTTTTTTCATTCAGTGAAAGCATAAGTGAATCAAGTGTTAGTTTCAGCCCAGCAATGGTTTCAGAAACTGATATTACATATAATAAATTAAAATACGATTTTAATTACAAAATTTTAATTCAATTGATTTATATATTTATTTTTAACAAATAATTTTTTGAAATTTAAATTTTTTATATTTATAATTTTTTTTTATTTTCAGATCACGCTTGTTTTATAAAAAAAATTTAAGTAAAACTTGTTCTTCCATTTAACACCATCATCACAAATATACAAATACTTATATTTAGTCTATCTAAATATATTAAATCGTGAAAAAAAATTATATTAAATCGTAATTTTTCATCTAAATCAACAATCCATTGAAACAAGTTTCTTCCTGGTAGATGAGTTTATGGTAGAAGAAAAAGTTTGGGAAATGCTGGAATTTATTCTCACATTCTCTCCATGTTTCTGAAATAGGAACATTTTAACTTTATACGATTAAAGTGGAAATATACTTTCCAACTTTGAGCATTTGTGTAAATAACAAGCATAAATATGCTTTCCTCCAAAGTAGTAATTCCCAACCGCAACCGGGAGAAAAAGAACCTAGCTTTAATGTCACATTATGCATTTGCTAATAAAGTTTTATGCAAAAATAAGTTTTTAACTCAGTGTTCATACAAATATTTATATTTGAATGATCAATACTTATGTATCATTCCAATGATTGATATAAATAAATTTTTATCATGTTATCATACTCGTTTTATTATTAAATCCACGTTCAAATGAAACATAAATAAGCTTTTTACTTAAAGAACTCTTCATTGAAGTTGGATTTTGTTCTGGGTCGATGTTTTTAGTGTTATTACTTATAATATTTGGAAGGCAAAAGCAAGTTAATAGTATCGTTTTTCTTGTAGTTTTTATTTGCATTAAAGAAAAAGAAAGAAGAATAAGCTTGGATTTAGGTGACATGACCATGTCCCAATCTTGTGTAGGTATAATGTAACAAACGTGGTCCATATTAATTAGTGAGTGATTTTCAATTGGAAGGTTATCCCTATCAAATATCGATGTCAATTTATTTAAAGTTTGATCGGTAATGCTTGTTATTGGTGGAGCAGCTACACTTCAATGAACAATAATTGCCATGGCCGGCCTTTGCAAAACCATTGGACAAATTTGGAGAAGGAGAAGCCCATGTGTCTGTACTAACAGGGGACTCCTTTTTATTTCCATTTTAATAAACTCTAAATGCATTATATATATATATATAGAATATCAAAATCATGAAATTATTAAAAAAAAATTTAGAGTAAAAGTAGAGAGTATTTTAAGCGTTTGTATTTTGATATTTAAATTAATTATTAATATAAAAAATATAAAAATATAATGAGAATTAAACAGATAATATTTAGATAATTTTATTTATAAATGATAAATGAAAATTTTATATGATAAAAAATAATATAATTAAATTAATATGATATCATATATATCAAATCAATTTGATATATTATATGATCAAAAATAAAAAATATTTTTATTTGTTGGTAATCTTTAACGAGTAAAATGATAAATATATTTTTTAACTTAAAAATATCTCGTGTGTATATATATATATATATCATCAGAAACAGTGGGGGGGGGGGGGGGGCTGTTTCCCAAGCCAGATATACGCTCTAATTTGAAGCTTTGTTGGGAGGGATCGTTGGCGTGGGAGTGTACCACTGTCCGTGAAGAAAAAGTGAGAATTTGGATACGGACAAGGCTCACGTTTCCGGACTAAAATGGGCCACATCACTAACTTTGATTTTTGTGGTCCAGATTTAGGATGAAGATCTCGGTCCGCAAAATGCAAATTCCTGCTTTTGGGTTTGGGATTTTCACTTTCTTGGCAAAATTGGCCTCTGATGCCTTTTCTTACGTGAAAGGAATCATAATCCAGCTATTGTCTATCCAAAAAGGATTAATGACTTTGGAGAAACATGGTTGCCTGGTTTCAGTGAGAAATTGTAGGATAAGTTTTCCTAGCAATTAGACAGGAAAACAAGGACTTACAGGCTCTTATGCACTTTTCCTGAAGCCAATATCACTTTCCAAAAGGACCAAAACCAATCCCAGTGGATGAGAATTGTTGATGAAAAGTGAAATCAAATTGATGTTGAAAAGCAACAATGGAGGACCCCTTCCAATTCAATCTGTCTATATTTTTACACCAAATACAATCCTATAATTCTACAATATATAATTGCCTCATATCCCCATGTTGTTTTGTTCATCCACGAACCATAATCAACAATAACTACAATTGTGAAGACATTGGTCCCTTCTTCTATATATTGACTTGGATTTTGTAAGGAAGAAAGACTATATGACCCCATTCCCTTGTTGATGAGAGTAACCCCATTGAAAGCTTTTCCAGGGATTACTCAGCTAGCTGTAAAATTGTTTGACAAGTGATAGAAGACTAGAGTTGGTGGCTCTAGTTTGGATGCTTCATGCTTATAACTCTGGCAAGCATGGTAAAATTTAATTACTGAAATTACATAATTGCATGGGGAGGGAATATGACACTAAACGTGAAAAATGTTGATAACGAAATCTCAGTATAAGAATTAGATATGATTACGGAGTCGAAATCAACTATTTAGCATCATGATTATGATATTAAACATGAAAAATGTTGGTAAAAAAATAGCAATAAGAATCACATATAGTGATGATGTTTCACTTGACAAGTTAATTTGTGCTCTTTACTTTGTCAAAATGCTAAAAGAATTCCTGTTTTTCCTTTCTTTTGTTTTTTTCCTTATAAAGTGTAATAAAATAGTATATGCTTAAAAGTTAGAATTAAAACAAAATTTTCACTCTAAATGAGCTTTCTAGCTAGTCCAAATTTTGTTAGCATTACCAACAGCAATGTAATATGTTGATAAAATATTAAAATTTTAATTTCAATAATCAACATTTGATTCTTACTATTTCAAATTCAAAAAATAAAAAAATATTGTAACCATATATATATATATATATGTGTGTGTGTGTGTATATAAGTTCTTTTTTAACCTAAATTTAGTCAAAATTTTTTAAAATATGGTTGAAGAAGTTAAGAAATAAGAGGGAAGAAACATGAATCTTAAACTTCTTCAATTGTTTTAATAAAAGCAAAGCTTAGACAATTATCTATTTAGAAAAGCGATCCTATATAATAAACAATTGGACTAATTATAGAATATAAATTTTAGAAAAACTAGAGTAAAAAACCAATGACATAAAACTAACAGCAAAGGCTTTCCCAAACTGTGAAACTTTAAAAGATGATGATAAATTTTCTTTTCAAAACAAAAAATTTTTTCCTCCCAAATTTCAAGTCAAGGGTTAGCATATGCAGGCTTTCTGTTGTTGGTCAAATCAAATTAGTAGGATTCCAAAGTAATGGAAATGCAGCCAAACTTTCCACCTGATTATACGCTGATCATATCATTGTCATTTTCTAATGAAACTTTATCATAAAACGGCCATGATTCTCTTGTAAAGGGAATTTAGGTGCATAATTATTAGAAGATTACATAAATAAAATCCTGTTTGTATCTATATATGGTGATAAATTCGATTGGGAAATTAACAACCAGCGGCAAATCCAAAGACTCAAATTAAGTTTATATGTGTGTGTGTGAAAATGATTCAACTAAAAATTGAGTTGAAAAAATGAAAGTTGAGTAAATGGTTAAGCCGGAATTGAAACAGTAGCTTTTGTGAATATATGTATGATTTTCACAAGAATTAAATGGGTCGATGGGAGTCCACTTAGCCCTTCAGCAAACCCCACCACTAGTTCATATCAGGAAGCTTTTGCCTTTGCCTTTCTTTTCTGATAATGGAACCTTTAAGGCTTTAACAGTCAAAGAAGAGTACACACATTACCCTGTCTGGCAATGCTATTTTTTTTTTTATCACTGTTTCTAATTAAGTTTAATTTGCTTCAGAGGAAACAGTAGTGATCCATGGAGAACAACCGTAACTCCTCAACAAAAGATAGAAAACTTATTGAGAGAAACAGGAGAAATCAAATGAAAGCTCTCTACTCGAGGCTCAATTCTCTCGTACCGCATCACAACTCTAGGGTTTATCTCTTTTCTCTCCTTTTTTGTGCACAAATATTTGCTAAATCTCCATTATTATTTTTCTTTCTTTATTGCATTGCATGATGTGTGGACTGTGGAGTACTTTTACAGGAATCAACGTCGCTCCCTGATCAGCTAGATGAAGCTGCAAACTATATAAAAAGGTTACAGACAAACTTGGAGAGAATGAAGGAAAGGAAAGACAGCTTAATGGGACTAGGAATGTCGACAAACACAGCAAGCAGGAGCAGTAGTGGGACAAAATCTCTTGAAATCCAGATTCATGAAATGGGTTCTTCTTTGGTGATTGGGTTAACAACTGGCTCCAACGGTCACTCCATTTTCAATGAGACAATTCGTATTATTCATGAAGAAGGAGCGGAGATTGTCAATGCCAGTTTCTCTGTTGTTGACGATACTGTTTTCCATACCATACATCTTACGGTAGGCATGCTGTGCTTTCACTTTCATAACCCTTTTATCAAATTTTGGTTTTTGTTTAGAAATTAATTCTTGGCTTGAAAATTGTGTAGGTCGGGGAGTCAGCAGCAGATTATAGAGCTGCGAGGATATCTGAGAGAGTAACGAAGTTTGTCAATGATGCTGATGCATGACATCAAATGCAGTTCTAATGGAGTAAATAATCTGATCATTTAATTACTCTATCTTCTGTTTGGTTTTTAGTAAAACGTTTCTCAGAAACCTCTCAAGGGATGAAACATGAAGCTCCATTGCTGCTTTCTAATTAGTATATGAAATAATGCTGCTTGGCAATATACCAGATCAATTGCTATGATGGTTTCAATTCCCAACTTTTTTCAAATTACCCTTCAAATTAAAACTCATATGCTACAAGCAACTACCAACAATATTAGAACCTACAGGATTAAACAACATTTAATTACAACTTTTTTGTATTGTTAATTCTACTTTATTTAGAAAGGATGTGGTTTATATTAATGTTCTATATTTGATATATTATACGGCTTCAAAATGATGTTTCTTTGCCAACAATCATATGATTAGGAGCTAGCGTGTCGGATTTTTAGTTCCAATTAACATAATTAAATTTTTTATAATCTTGAATTTAAAAAAAAAAATTATGTTACTTTTGTTAATGACCAATTCTAACCAGTCAGGTTTTCTTTTCAAATGAATTTCTCATGAATTAGCTAGCTAGTTTGACCAGTTTCTATGTATCTTTATTACTTATTAAATTTCCCTTTCTTTTGTGCAAATTTCTTTCTCTTTATTGATTCTCTGTTTGGAATTCCCGTCGTGAATCTTGTGAGTATATATAAATATATATATATATTAATAAATAATTAGTTTAATTAATTAATTTTTTTTTTTACGAAAAAATTTTTAATTTAAATTTTATATGATTATTTATTAAAATTATTTTAAATATAATTTATGATTATTTATTTTAAATTATTAATACATATATTTTATTTTAATTTAAAATATTAAACAACTTATTTACTTAAAATTTTTTTTTGAGTATATATATATATATATATATGTGTATATGCGTGGTCTTCTTGTTGAATCACATGTCTGACTGTATCAATTAGGAAAGTGCCTATCAACGCAGAAAAAAACATTTTAACTGGTTTGAACTGATGAGCCGCAATTTTTGACTCTGAGGTCGTTGGCAACATCTGTGTCTAAAGTTTTATAATCAATATACAAAGAAGAAATAGACCGTATTAATGGTAACTAGATGCAATATATAAGAGAGATAATCTGATAACTCATGTCTTTGAATATGTGTCAAACATTGGTAAAATATAAAAAATATTATAATATAATTTACGTTTACATATTAAATATAAAATATATATTTTTTAATTTTTATTAAAATTTTAAATTATATAATTTTTTGGTTTTTTTTATTATATTACCTATTGTGATTAAAATTACGAAAAACGAAAATCTTTTAAGGTGGGATCTTATGTGTTCTTTTGTAAGTTGTCTGACGAAAGATGGATGACGTTTGCAAGTTTTTCTTTTCTTTAATCAGCATCATAGTTAATAATAATATATATAAATTATCAATAAATAATTGATTCTCTAGATTAAGATTATTTTTTTTGATAAAAAATTTTAAGTTTAAATTTTATCTATAATTATTTATTAAGATCATTTTAAATGTATTATTTATAATTATTTATTTTAAATTATTATGTACGACATATTTTATTTTAAAAAATTAAATAATTTATCTATTTTTAACATTTTTTTTTTACTAAAATATATATGTATGGAAATCGTTTATAGCGTGTTTAAATCAAAAGGCAAATAGGGGAGAAGTAATTTGTAATGGGAAAGGTTAAAAAATTGTCGTATTATAACTTTTGTTGATGATTTGTTTGCGAATGGTTATAATTTTTGTTAGTAAAATAATAAAATTTTAATTTCAATGTTGATTTAAATATATTTGTATTATTCTTATGAATAAATAAATATATATATACCTTAATTTTTTAATTATTTTTTAATCTTTCATTGCATTTCTCAACCAAATTAAAAAAATAGACTTGACATATTCCAGTCTTTCCATTTCATTACTGATTGAAAACATCAAATAGCATTACCCCAACCCAAAAAAAAAAAAAAAATCAAATACTCAAAATCTGAAATATCAAGTAACACAACCCATACACGTTCTCTATCCTTAACTTGACCCTATAAAATAGTATATGATTTCATTTTCATTTCCCTTCAAAAATCTCAAGATGCCTTAGCTAATTTGATGAGGAGATCATGATCAACAACATTAATGAAGAACATGTATTGAATGGAATACTTGACATAATAGATTGAAGATGATTATCGCATGGACGGATTTTTTATAAGAGCATTTTATCTATAATTTTTTATTATAATTTTGTAATTATTTAATCATAACAAAAAAAATTATATAAAATTTCACCTCTTATTACTAATCATGCATTATTAGGGTTCAAATTAATAGGGCCTATGGGGTAAAAGTTCAAGTTCCATAAAAATGTAACCTGTTTGAAAACATTTTTGTAACTAGAAAAGAAAGATCATACCAATTATTTTTTTTTTTGGATCAATTAGCATTTGAAAATTACAGGTTTAAAGAAACTTATTCATGTAATGTCATTTTCAGTCGGTAAATAGTAGGATAGAGAATTTAAAGGTAAATTAAGAATTAAAAAAAGAAAAAAGGGAGAGATCATCTTTCTAACAAAATAATTAAAAAAAAAAAAAAACCCAAGTTTTAACGAACAATGACCAATTGCTAGCCAATTCAAGAATGAACGAATCAGCAATGGACTTTAGGAGAGGAAAAATAAATAATAAAGGCCCAATCAAAGATCTAAAGTGGCCCAAACTATTTCTACAATCAAAACAAAAAGCCCAAACACTGAAGGCAAACCCTTCATTTAATGCACTATAAAAGGGCGTTTTACGGGGTTGGTTCTCTCTTTCCCCTTCCCTCAAACCTGACTACTGTTGGTACGGCAAAATCCACCGTAGATCCATCGAACAATGGTTGGGGTTTTTGAAGTTGGCGCAGTCCCATTTAACCCCGACGGCTGGGGACCACCCGACTCCACCACCGTTTGCACGCCGACGACGACCACCCTCCCTCTCCACGTCCCCTTCGCCCCATTCTCTCGCTCCGATAAGCTTGGTCGAATCGCTGACTTCACCCGCTCTTTCCCTTCCTCAAACGCCAACCCATCGAACCGTCCTTCCTCGAAATCTGGCGGGGCCAAGCCCTCCGACGCTCCCTTCGATTTCTCCCTCGACCTCGACGCCTTCCCTCTCGCTAACCCCGACGATGATTCGTCCTTCCGGTTGGTAGACGCTAAGCCTCCCCCTCGGCCTAAATTCGGCCCTAGGTGGCGTTTCAACCAAAACAGACCTCAACTGCCTCAACGAAGAGACGAAGAAGTCGAGGCTCGAAAAAGAGAGGCCGAGAAAGAACGAGCCCGCCGTGACCGTCTTTACAATCTCAATCGGTCCAATCAGAATCAGCCACGTCGCGAAGCTGCGGTTTTCAAGTCCTCCGTCGATATCCAACCAGAATGGAACATGCTCGATCAAATTCCGTTCTCAACATTCTCCAAATTATCCTTTTCCGTTCCCGACCCTGAAGATTTACTCCTCTGTGGCGCTTTAGAGTATTACGATCGGTCCTTTGATCGAATCACCCCCAAGAACGAACGGAGACTGGAGAGGTTCAAAAACAGAAACTTCTTTAAAGTCACCACGACCGACGATCCGGTGATCCGAAGATTGGCCAATGAAGATAAAGCAACTGTTTTTGCGACTGATACGATTCTGGCAACGTTAATGTGTGCACCCAGGTCAGTTTATTCCTGGGATATTGTTATTCAACGTGTTGGGAATAAGTTATTTTTCGATAAAAGAGATGGGTCTCAATTAGATTTGTTGTCTGTCCATGAGACTTCTCAGGAGCCATTGCCTGAAGCTAAAGATGATATTAACTCTGCGTATTCGTTGAGTGTTGAAGCAACTTATATAAATCAGAATTTTTCACAGCAGGTTTTGGTTAGGGATGGGCATAAGGTGAGTTTTGATGAGCCGAACCCGTTTGCCAATGAAGGTGATGAGGTGGCTTCTGTGGCGTATCGCTATAGAAGGTGGAAGCTTGATGATGATATGTATTTGGTTGCACGGTGTGAGGTTCAGAGTGTCGTTGAGGTTAATAAGCAGAAATCTTTCATAACTTTAAATGCACTTAACGAGTTTGATCCCAAGTATTCAGGTGTTGATTGGAGGCAGAAGTTGGAGACACAAAGGGGTGCGGTCTTGGCTACTGAGTTAAAGAATAATGCAAATAAGTTGGCTAAATGGACTGCTCAATCTCTTTTAGGCAGTGCTGATCTGATGAAATTGGGATATGTTTCAAGGGTGCATCCTAGGGATCATTTTAATCATGTGATATTGGCTGTTGTTGGTTATAAGCCAAGGGATTTTGCTGTGCAAATTAATCTGAATACTGCGAATATGTGGGGAATTGTGAAGTCTATTGTGGACTTGTGTATGAAGTTGAATGAGGGGAAATATGTACTTGTGAAGGATCCATCTAAGCCTCAAGTGAGGATCTATGAAGTTCCAGCTGATGCTTTTGAGAATGATTATGTGGAGGAACCATTGCCAGAAGAGGAACAGGTGCAGCCTCCAACTGAGAATGCTGAAGGTGTGGAGGAAAATGGCACTACAAATGCCGTTGAGGATGAAGAGACTGAGGCTCAAACTTAAGGGTAATGGTTCTTAAGGCTATACCTAATATTTGCCTAAGCATTATGTGGTGTGATCAGTGATGTATCTTAGAAGAATAGAAGTCTCTCATGCTATGATATGCCTTTTTATATCCCTTGTTCTTATGTTAATACTTGCCTTGTTTCTACTTGTATGTTCCAGTTATTTACAGACCCTTGACATGTTGACAATCTACCCTAGTTTAGTATATTATCTTTCAAATATTGTTATATGAGTTTTGCGCAATCATTTATAGTTACTTTTCCTTTTCTTTTTTATTATGGATAATTAACTAAAACCATGAGAGTTGAGCAAATTCTCTGAGTGAATAACTTGGTGTATCATTCTATCATAATGTGCCTGAATGATGTTCAACTTTTATATCTATTTTCCTAATGCTCGTTAATGGAGAAAAGTGAGAAGGTGATGATCGTTTAGCTAATTTCTATAGAACTTTTTATTCAACTTGGAATCCTTTGAAATTTATTTCAGGATTAGGCTTTAGACTGGAAGATTGATCGGAAAAGGCTTGATTTGTTGGTCTGTTGACAAAGAACTTGTATGGGGACGCAAATTTCAGCTTATAGAATTGGACTTTAGAGTAGAAGATTGATTGGAAAAGGCTTGATTTACTGGTTCGTTGACAAAGGCCTTGTATGGGCATGCAAATTTCAATAAAAATTATTTCATTTGTTTAATTAACTGAAGCTGTCATTAATTTTCTGGATCATTTCTTCAATGGGATATTTCCTTTGTTATGTTGTGTGGATGCTTTATCTTAATTTGCTTGCTATGTTGGACTCGTCTTATGTTTCAGTGTTGATTGCTACAGCTCATTGGTGATTGCATATCCTAATTCTGGTGTTTATGGAGAACTACGATATGGAAGATGCTATCGTTTCCAACAGACCAGATTTTAAGCCTAAAGATTAGTCCACTTTGTATTTTTCTTTCTTTTCCAATTCCCAAGCCGATTAAGCAATATGTGCAAGGAGATTTTGTAAAAGTGTTTATAACTTTTCTTTTGAAACTGAGTGAACCGACTTAGGCTGCATTTGGATTCAACTGCACCCACGATGAGGTGCAGTTGGAAACCAAAAAGCCAGCTTTGTGATCCAAATGAAATCACGGTGAGGCACGGTTGGAAGAATCTATCGCACCACACCTCCAATTCGCCACTGGACCTTTTCGGTCCAGTGAAAAACTATTTCTTCTACCGCAGCTGTCTTTTAATATTATCCATGTTTTTTCATTTTTGCCCTTGAAGGTATGGTGTAAGGACCAAAATATTCTTGTCATTTTATTTTTCATTTTTTGGTTAAAAAATTATAAATTATTTGTCAATTCAGTATAATAAATAATGTTTTTAATGATTATTTTTTTATTTTTATTAAAATTTATTTCACTGTTAGTTTATATTTAAACATATTTTTATAATTAATTTTAATTTTATTATTATAATAATTAATTTCATCATTATCATTATTTTTAATCTCGTCGAAATTAAATTTATCACCCATCCAAATGTATCCTTAGTAAGTATACTAAGCATGCTCTGATGGTTTTCATGTGAGTCTGGAAATATGGTAATGTGATCTTTTTGGTCTTTCTGCCTGTAATCCCAATTTGGGCTTTATCTCTCCTACTCTGGTCTTTAATTAGCATATGGTGAGGCTTGATAAGCCCTAAATCACCACATTTTGTGACATCCCAGCTTTTGAAGTTTCTGATGTCTTGGGTGCTACTGTAGTTAATTCATTCATGAAATGGAGTCTCCATTCAAGCCAGTCGTTTCTTTTCGTAAATAATTGATGGCCACACTTGTTCCGGCTGCGTTATACTATCATCAATTTACCTCGTCCCTTTGAAAGTGGATGAAATGCCTTCAGCTAGTTAAGAAAAGAAAGAGAGATGAGGTATAATAATTTTTTTCAACTGTTTTAAGTTTATTAACTAAAAATAAATAAAATTATTCACAAGCAGTTTTATTTTCACTCTGCCATAGCAGTGACCGAAAACTTAGAGGAATTATCACTTTCAAAAATATGGATTTTATATAAAATTTAATAAATATTATTTTAAATTATAATTAGTTAATTGTAATATAATGATTTTAGATTATATATTTTGAAAACTTTAGTTCCAACAGAGACTGGATGGTAGGGCTGAAAAAAATTTGCAAAAAAATCGAAAATTGATTTAAAATTATAGTATTTTGTTTGAATTGATTTTTTTTATTCAATTCAGATTAATTAAGATATTAAATATATATTAAGTTCAAATTAAATTTCGAATCGAGATATGAAAAAAAAATTGAATCTAATTATATATTTTTAAATTTTTTATAAAATAAAAATAATTATTTTATATATAAATATATTAAAAATTATATTAAAATAATGTATAAAAATTAAAAATTAAAAAACCGATAAACTAAACAAACTAATAGAATTAAATTTGAATTGGATTATTTTCAAAAAAAAAAAATCAATGATCAAATTTTAAAAATTTATAAAATTATATATTATTCGAAAAAATCAAATCAAATTCAATTTGATTTTAATCATTTATCACTCTTATCGGATAAAGGTTTTTTCATATAAAAAGAATGATTTATTTATAATTTTAGTTATTTTTTAATAAGATTTGGACTATATTTGAAAGCGAAGAAAAAGAAAAAGAAAGCACGCCTTCATCAAGGCCGAGTCAATAGAAAATTACAAGATCCTGCAGTTCTTTTTAAAGAGGTAAGGGATTTTTTAATTTTGCTCAACGTCAAAATATTCTTAATTAGGTTGAAACAGATTTATTATCAGGTAAAATCAGTGAATATAGAATTATAGATTTACCACCGACCAAGGAAAACCAACGTACAGAATTATATAGACTTACCACCAACAAGGCAAAGATCAAAAGCTGGCAACCATCTGTACTGGATAATAGGATCTTCCATTCTCTTACCCTGCAAAACTAAATTATAGTGAGGCTGGTTTTCTGGGTCAACGTTAAATTCCATTTGTATATATCTTATGTTGAATTGAGCCATGAATTATATAATCATATGCAGGTTGACTGGTGATTTCTACCTAAATTTCCAGGTAATCCCAACTAGAAATTAAATTTTCGCTTTCTTTCGAGGGCAGATAGCGGTATAATAAAATTTAATGATGCATGTGATGGTCAAAGAAATTTTTTGGATCTCGACCATTTTTTTTTTTAATCTAATGGGTAAGAGGTAAGTTGAAAGTCATATAAAGTATGAATTTTATTCCGTCATCTCTCTCCTCCCTTGTAAGAGCATTAATTTTTTTTTTAACAAAAAAAAAAATTTTTTTTTGGATCTCAACCCAGAATTTACTGTGCCCAAATCTCAGATAACTTATAGGGTGATAACAAAATTAAAGGTTATACAACAACTTTGCTTTCAAGGTTGATAATGATGATGTACAACATAATTAAACTCGAGTAGCATTTTTTTTTTTAAATGCATGCATTTCAAAGTTACTCAAACAATGATTAGTGACCATGGCTTATTTGCTTTTGACGTGAATATTTTTTTTATTTTATTAAATTTATATATAATTATTATTAAAATTTTAAATTATATTATTTTTTATTATATTTATATCGTATCATATTTTAAATTATTATATATATTTTAACAAAGGAAAGATTATGTGCCACACCAGTTTTAGTTTATTATTGTTTCTTAGATTCATGGGATTGGGATTGAGAGAGGTCCAACTGAAGGCCAAGTTCCCCCCCTCCTCCCCCTCCATGTTTACTGGTGACGTAAGGGAAATAACTCATACTTCTTTCATGTAAACTAGGTGAAGTCGGTTTTTAAGAACCCCATGAAATTTGTACAATGAATATATAAAATATATATATAGTTTATCAATATATAAATTTTTTTATTATAATTTGACTAGCTGTAATTTCATGATGACATATGCAATTATATATTATATAATGTATCGAATACAAATTCACTAAGCAATCATGTCAAGTATTTTGTTCCCTTGTAAGTAGAACCAGCTTGCTTTCACTCCATTTGTTTATTATTGCTTGATCCAAGAATTTGGCTTCGTTAAACAAATTAATTTAGAACTTTAAGGTCTTGGTATAGGCTTCTAGGGTCAAATTTCGAGTTATTGATAAACTTTTAAGCTTTGTTTGGTACGATGGATATAAAAATGAAAAGTCGAAAGAAGAGAATAGTCAAAAGATAAAAAAATAGATTTTTTTAATCGGAGGGTTTGATTGAAAATATGAAAAGTTGATAGAAAATATAAATTTTTTTCATTCATTATTTGATAGAATTAAAAAATAAAAAATATGATTTTATCATTATAATTTTTTAAAATTAAAATAAAAAAATGTAACAATAATGGATAATTTTATAAATATGCAACATTTTCTTTTTAATTTAAAATGATTTGTAATTATAAATATGTGTGGAAAATTATAATCTTTCTTAATTTATTTTTTTCTTTTTTTTTTTTCATATCAAACACACCCTTAATTCAAACTTTCATTAAAAAATTTCAAGTCCACAGAACTCAAATGATAAGAAGAATGCTGCATTCCACAATTGAAGTAATTAACCATGTCATTCCCACTTGGTACCTTTAGTAAATTACATGGAAAAGAGCATAATAAAAGAAGCTTGACTCTAATCCTTTTTTTTTTTTTTTCATTTGAAAATTATGATTCTGACATTGAAAATTTGTACCGTTTGTCCATGTGTTTGCTTAGTTATGCATACACGCAATCAACCTCATTTTCCAATGTCCGAAAGACCTTGTGAGCAGGCAGATTGTCATATAGTAAATAAGTATTAACAAAAATTGTACACTTATTAATTAACTTCCATGCTTTAACTGGCCAATGGGATTAGGAAGAGGCGAGACTGGGACATGTTTTAACTGGCCAAAATATTTTTTATGGAGAATCAGATTGATCTGAGACAACACTATGGAATGTATCATCCTCACAAGGGAAAATAAAAAGAAAAAAATAGGTTAAGTTTAAATAATTTGGATTTAATGGTTCTTTTTTTCTAACAAAATTATTTAAAAAAAAAAGTGAATGGACCCAAAAATTTGTTTGCATCTCCACGTTTATTTTTATCATCCCAAGAGTATATTCATATATTCTTATAGTATAAAATATTAAAATGTATATATTTATATTATATTTATATAAAAATTATATATCATAATTCGTATTAATATAAAAATATAAAACATATATTTTTTATTTTATTAATTTTATATAAATTATTATTAAAATTTTAAATTTTTGTATCGCATTTTAAATTACTAATATATTCAATAATTTTTTGATGTTTATAGGCTATAATCTTCAATCAAAATGCTTTTAAAGTACAATATTCCGAGCCATTGCTGCTGGGATTCCTATCATTTAGCCTCAACTTTTCCTTCTTTTCCATGTTCAAAGTTCAAACCTTTTTCATGCCCTTTTTCCCGTTTCATGGAAGTCTATGAATACCCAATCCCAAGGGCTAATAGCCCCATGTTCAGTTAATCATAAATTTCCATTTTAAAACGATGGTTCAATAATCGAGATCCTTGGAAGCTTCTACATTTTCTTGCAACATGGGCCAAATTCCATTTGTTTTGTTTTTTTTTAGCATTTTTTAAAGTTCAAATTTCTCTCACTCTCTCTGCATGTGAAGAAGCTCTGCTCCACTTGACCAGAAAATCAGTAGTTATCAACCCTATTTTGATTTTCAAAGACTAAAACAAGATTACAAAACAAGATTTCATCAATGAAAACCGCAGAGAATCATGGGTTAACCCCTATAAATTTCCTCCTTAGAACACCCCCACTTCATCTTTTTTCTTGTCTATAGCTTTAGCAAAATATGGGGTTTGCAGCAGCAGCTAAAGCTGTTTTGCTTGTGCAGCTTTCGCTGCTCTTAGTGATCAGCTTCAATGTGTCTGCTCAAGTTTCGCCTGAGCCTTTGCCTCCTCATTACCATGAAATTTTACCTGTAATTGCACCTAGTCAACCGCCAAGCCACCACCACCACGAGCACCCTTACCGCCAACGCCACCATCACCATCACCCGCCCTCCCCTTCACCCATTAAGCCCCCAACCAACCCCCCACACAAAGCCCCGATTCCTGAACCAGTTTATCCACCAACCAAGCCCCCAGTTCACCCGCCAACCAAGCCACCAGTTCACCCACCAACCAAACCGCCAACTTACGGTCCACCCAAGCCACCAGTTCACCCTCCGACCAAGCCACCAACTAAGCCACCTGTTCATCCTCCAACCAAGCCTCCAACTCACTCACCAACATACCCACCATCGCATCCTCCGGCTAAGCCACCAACTTACCCAAAGCCTCCAGTTAGGAGTCTTGTGGCAGTTCAGGGCGTTGTTTATTGCGAGTCATGCAAGTACGCTGGAGTAGGCACCCTCTTGGGAGCTAAACCAATTCCTGGTCAGTTCGAAACCTATCTTGTGATACCGCTCAAAGAAAAAACTAGGCAAAATTTCGTTTAAAACAAGTAGAATAAACTTATTCTCATTCACTAAACCAATCACTATAAGTGTATTAATGGTTACCTGAGGGTTTCATTCATTTGCATTAATGAGAATCATTAGCCATCGTCATTTCTTTTTTAAATGGTATAATCGTTTCGATTTGGGAGTGCAACGAAGCTAGAACCATGCAATGCATACGTATATAATTATTTTTGCATGTAGATTATGCCATGATTTACTGATGTGATTTGATATCTTGTTTGAATGGAAAACTTGCATTTTGAATTTTGAGAGAGAGAGGAGAGAGAGAGAGAGAGAGAGAGAACCTAGTCTCTTGGTTCCAACTTCCAAGTATAAGTATCAACAAATGATTCATTCATTTGGTTAATACTTTTTTTTTTTCGAAAAGATTTTGGATTATTTATTTTAGAATTGTCAGATATAATATATTTTATTTTAATATGAGGTAATGAATAATTTATCTACTTCTGGATAATATGAGTAACATCAACAACTTGGCGTTTTATGTGTTAAAGCAGCAAACTTTACCATTTTTCAACAAATCTCATACTTCTAGATGTATGCAACATTAATGACTAGCATGCAATGCATTCTTATGGCATCCTATTCTGAAAGTTGAAACCAACAATTTTGCTTTTCACCCATTGCAGAAGTAAATTACCCTATACTCGAATACTGATTCACTGAGCGCTTTGGCATTGTTTTGGCAGGTGCCATTGTAAAGCTGACATGCAAGAACACCAAATACAATCTAGTGGTCGAAGCCAAAACTGACAAGAACGGCTATTTCTTCCTGGAAGCACCAAAGACGATAACCAGCTTTGGAGCCCACAAATGCACAGTTTCCCTAGTATCATCACCATGGGCTTCATGCAGCAAGCCATCTAATCTCAACGGTGGATCGACGGGTGCCACCTTGAGGCCCGAGGAGCCACATACTGAATACAAGCTCCCATTTATTCTCTACACCGTTGGGCCATTCGCTTTCGAACCCAAATGTTACTAGAACTAGAATCCACCTGTTGAACTGATCTATCTCTTTTCCATTGTTATTTATGTATGTCTTTACCTACTACTTACAAGTTTCCCCAGCTTAAATTGTAATGGCATTTCAGTGTGTTGCTTTGGGTGACAATAAATGATAGTGATATATGTAATAGATTTGTGATGAATAATAAATCGATTGCTTTTTAACTACATCTTATTTCTAAACAATAATGATTCAAACCCTTTCTTTCTATTTTCCCTGATGTTCCTGGGAAAATGGGGATAATCTCAACTCTTAATTAACAAAGTAACCAGGACAAACTGATTGCTAATGTTATGTGTCATCTTAGAGTCCAATGGCCTCATCACTTGACAATAAATGTTATGCTATGATGGATTCTGGATGCTCCTGCCCCCCAATCTCCGACTATTTCAAGGATGGCAAATATTGGCTATTCTTATAAACTGTGCTAACACAGATTCACACCCATGTGACCCCTTGAACCTTCGATTAATGAATGAAACTGCAGATCATTGATTCCTTGAGAAAAGCCTGAATTACGCTTTAAGGGAGTGGGACTGCAACCATGTGTCTGGTTCGCTGGCGAAATTGGGTGCCCAAAAGCCGATTAAACTCAACCTGAACTTCAAGTGCTGATCATATTCGAGCATCGGCAAATACAAATTCTGATTAATTCAGACCATCAACATCATTAGTCATATTAATCATGCCACCAGTGCATAAAGCAACCAGTTACACGATGTACAAAAACAAATTGGAACAAACCAATGTCTCAAAGTTTGGACTTCGGATTCAAAATTACTCATCACTTAAGCCACGAAATTGAAACAAAGAAAAATGACATTAAAATTTTTATTAAAAATGACAGAGTTTACTAAGTTATTAAGCATAGTTAAATACTTAAAATAAAATTGACAATAATTTAAAATTTTGAGAGAATATATATTTTTGTTAATAAATTATAATTTTTTTAGAATAATCAAATCCAAATTTGTGAGTAAAGTATACATTCACTTACTATTAAAAATACAAATAGTTTATATTTTTAAATAAAAGAAAATATTATAAGCATAAGCATAGCTAGTTTTTATGAAAAGTATGTTTAAATTAACGTGGAAGGGAGGTGGCTCACTCTAAAACTCATTGAGCAAATTATTTTGATGCTTAAAATAGTAAAACTCATTTGGTTTAAGATTATTATTTCATACACTAAATTTCATGAATGAAACTAAAATATTGCCTTGAGTTTGAGTTCTGTTGTTAATCATCTGTTGAGATTATCTCGAATATATGACCTATAATCACTTATCTTAAACTGTCAGGTACAACACTTTTTATCTTGACTTTGGGGATTGAACAATTTATCTACTCTCCAATTTTATTTTATTTTTTTAAAAGTAAAATATTGTAATTATCTCTTTTTTATTATATTAATCTTTTATATTTTAAAAATATATCAACCTTCTGTTTTTGTTGATGAAAATAAAAAATTTCATCAATAATTTATAAGATAAATTTTCTAAGTACATCAAGATTTCCCATGTCAAATACATCAAGATTGCAAATTTTGTAAACGTGCCAAGTTGTATCCATCTACCATTTTCCAATTTCATAAATTAATGATGTCTCTTCCATGAGAGGGGAAGCTTAAAAGCACCAAAAAAAAAAAAAGTCTCCCCTCCCCTCCTCGTTGTGGAATGGAATGGAACGGGCCGAATGTGGTCCCTTCTCTGCACCTTTTTACAACACTTGCTTCCGGTGGTTACATAAATGAGAATTAAAAACACGACGGTTCATATATTTTATCATATAAAATATTAAATTTTATAAATTTTTATCATATTTTATATAAAAATTATATGTTATAATTCATATTACATAAAAATATATATTTTTTAATTTTATTAAATTTATTTATAATTATTATTATCTTATTTATTTTGTAGCAATGATATTTTAGATTCTTAGATCTCAACTTTTTTTTTTTTCTCTCCTTTCAAATTGGTAGTGCAGCTTAGGATGCTGGCAATAAGTATCAACTTTAATGTGGGCATCAAGGAGTCTGACTTTGTGGACAATCCTTGCATATATTTATCAATCGCAAAACTCTCCATCTCCCTGAATTGGTGGAAGCTTTTTATTCTCCTGGGTTTTCAGTTTTCACCCTTTTGCATCTTTTGTGGTTTTCTCTTTCTCCTTTGCATGATCAAGAACAATGCAAATTGCAACTGGGATTTGGGATTAGAGATTTGTAATCAGAGAAAAACATGTTGACGTCATAAATATCTTTTAAATTATATTAAAATATTTAATTTGATATTATAAGAGTTAATTATCTATCACGTATTATTATTTAAAATTAATCATATTAAGAATGAATATTATATTTATTAATAAATTCATAATTTAAATATTATATTAAAATTTTTTAAATTTTAAATATCAAATCAAATATTTCATTTTATTTTAAAGATCAATCATAATATTAAAAAAATTTATTGAGAGAAACCCATTTTTCATCAAAAAAACATTTGTGTTAGAAAATGAATGGATTGAAATTTTGCAAAATTTTGTGACCAAATATCTATGATGCATTGGTTAACTCTGATTTTGCTGATACAAAAGAAGCAATTAAGGATAAAAATAATTGGGGGAGGCTACATAAACACAAAGAGGGTTCTCACTTCTCACTGACAAATGTACTTAACATAATTTGTACGTGACTAAACACCATTCATGATTGTCAAGTTTGTACATAATCTATTTGCTTCATACACTTTAGATGATGTAAATCTTAAGAAAGCAGTATAAATAAATTGAAAATTACCACATTATTATAAAAAAATAATGCCTCTAAAACACTTGTCAATATTTTCTTATAATAGCTTTAATAGAAAATTAGATAATTAACTTAAAAAAAAACTAATTAATGGAGTATTGAAATAATTTCCATAAAATTGTGTCAAATGTATTCATAAAAAAAAATTTTAGTAATAGAAAGCATAAAACAAGAATGAAAATGGGTATTGTTTATAGTATAATTTAAGGGAAAAAAACTAAGGGCCCATGGGTTGAAAATGAGGGCATGGAATGAAGATAGGTTGGACCTTGGAAGCATCATATAATAAAATAAAAATTTTAAAATTACGATTATAAGCAACAATAAATATGAATACAAATTTGATTCAATACATTAAGATTTATTTTTTTTAATGAAAAAATTTTAAATTTAAATTCTATTGATATTTATTTATTAAAATTATTTTAAATATATGATCTATAATTATTTATTTTAAATTATTAAATACGACACATATTATCTTAATTTAAAAATTAAATAATTTATCTATTTTAAAATTAAAAAAATAATAATTAAATATAAATAAATAAATAAATGAATTAATTGTACGACATTATAATAATAAAACTAAGGGCCCATGGGTTGAAAATGAGGGCATGTAATGAAGATAGGTTGGACCTTGGAAGCATCATATAATAAAATAAAAATTTTAAAAATTATGATTATAAGTAACAATAAATATGAATATGTATTTGATTTAATTGATTAAAATTTAATTTTTAATAAAAAATTTTAAAATTTAAAATTTATTAATATTTATTTATTAAAATTATTTTGAATATAAGATTTATAATTATTTATTTTAAATTATTATACGACATATATTAAAATTAAATAAATTATTTATTTTAAAATTAAAAAAATATAAATAAATAAATGATTTAATTGTACGACATTGTAATAATAAAATTAAAATTTATTGATAATAGCAGTAGTGATTGTTTGATGTGAAAATGATAGGATCTTGCCTTACCCTGTTCTGACTCAAGGTTGTGAGGGTCAATGCTAAATATTGAAACATTTATTGACGATCCCACCCATCTTGTCTGAAATTCTTCGCACCGCCAATAGCATGTTACCACTTGGACTTCCGCTCTGTTCCATCCACACTCTCGCTCTTAGGGCGTGTGCTTCGGCTCTCTCTAATCCACAAACAAATTCAAAACACGGCCGAATCTAGAAACGAGAAAAATTGATAATTCCCCAATGACCAAAAGGAAATGTTCAACCAAAAAATTTTGAAAAAAGCAAAAGCTCGTGACGTTTGAACAATTCCATGATTATTGGTTGAAAATTAGTAATTGATTGGGGACTTTATTTGATCCTAGAATTTTTTTAGTTTAAAAAGAGGTCAAAATTTAAAGGATGAAAAAAAAATTACAAATATTTAAAATTGAATATTAAATTTATAAAAATTTATTTTTTAAACGAGATGGGTAAATTATTTGAAAGAAAATTTATTATTACATATTATTTGAGAGAAACTAATTAACAAAATTTTGTTTAAATTAAATACATTAAATAAAAAATCTTTGTAAAAAAATTTGTGAACATGATAACAAATATCTCAAGGCATCCATCAATAAAATTTTATGTTTGGTAGTAAAAATATTGAAAAAGAAAGTTATTCAAAATTGTTTTGACTTAATCTTAAATGATTTATGATAATTTAATCCCTTTAAATGCAAATAATTCAATCAAATTTATATTTATTTATAAAAATACTAATAAATTGAAGTATTTTAATTGATGCTAAAGATTCAAACGTTTTCTTAACTTAAACGTCGAGTTACGTGACATGAAAATAAATTTAATGATGTGCCGCGTGCCATCACAGCCATAAATGAGGGAATGGGGTTTAGACATAACTACAAAGACCCCAAAGTCCCCACCAAAGCATTTCTTACCAAACCAAAATCAAAGTACCAAATAACTCTCGGCTTCTCGTCTCTCCCCTCCATTTCCCTTCTTGTTTCAAGGATCAAAGGCCCCAAAAAACCAAAAAAAAAAAAAGCTAAATGGAAGCGTCTTCGAGGCCGAGCGCGAATCCGAATTTCCTTGTATCTCCTAAAAGCCACAGTCCGAACAGCAGCACCAGCAGCACAAGCAGCAGCAACACCTGCACCAAGCCGCCACCGCCAACTCCGCCAGCTCAACAGCCCAAACCCATCAACAGATCCGATTCCGCCAACCCGTACCCGACAACCTTCGTCGAAGCCGACACTTCATCTTTCAAACAAGTTGTCCAGATGCTTACGGGATCCTCCGAGACCGCCAAGCTTGCTTCCTCCACCAAACCAACTCCCTCCCCTCAATCCGACTCGAACCCGAAAACCCACATCCCTCCCATCAAATCGATCCCCAAAAACAAGCAAAATTCTGGGTTTAGACTTTACGAGCGAAGGAGCTCTCTCAAGAATGTCAAGATCAACCCATTGAACCCGGTTTTTAGCCCCAATAATTCCGGATTTTCGGCCCGAAAACAGGAAATACTTTCCCCCAGCATTCTTGACTTCCCGTCTTTGGCTCTTAGCCCGGTTACTCCCTTGATACCCGACCCGTTTGACCGATCTGGGCTTGGAAATTGCTCGAATTGTTTTAATAATAATGCGAATCTAGACAAGGAAGCTGAAGAGAAGGCAATTAAAGAGAAGGGTTTTTATTTGCATCCATCACCGGTATCTACGCCGCGAGATTCGGAGCCTAGGCTTCTCCCACTTTTTCCAATTACTTCACCTAGATTATCAGGCTCTTCTACTTCTTGAAATTAAAAAAAAAAATCATTTAGTTTTTCTTTTTTGCTTTTTGATGTTGTTGTTGTTGTTGTTGTAAGATTTTCATATATTGCTGGGGCACTGAACATGAGGAATGGGAAAGGAAGGGGAAAAAACGAGACAAGATTTGTAATGATGGATACTTCAAGTGGAATGAAGAGAAAATCGTTGTTTCAATTGTGAAACTTCATGCTTGTTTGACTTGGTTTTTTTCCTTTGTTATGTTTGGATGCTGGAAATTTGAGTTAAGAAAAATAAGAACGTAAGTAAAAATAATTCATTTTAGCTTATTCAAGCAAGAAACTGAACATATCTGAAGACACTGGAAATGATTTTGTTGTCGAGTGAACAATGACACTCTTTAATGTTGTTATTATATAAAATTATTTCTTTATCCAATGTATTAGAAATTATGAATAAAATTATAAGAAAATTATTATAAAAAGTTTTAACCGGTGCCAAATAAAAACCTTTAGGAAAATTCTTTTGAGAAATGACAGTGGTTTACCGTGTAAATGGATGACTGTGAATTGAAATGGCAGTGGTTAATCCTTTGAGAATTGAAATAAGTGATTTTTACTTCCTCTGCCAATTTTTTTTTCCATCACTAAATGCAAAAGGCAAGTGAGTGGGAGCCATGGATCCAAGTCAGTTCCATTGCTTTTAGACAACATTGTAAGAAGTGCAGATGAACAGAGAGGCAGGCAATGAGCAGAGAGAGAGAGACCGAGGAATTGGGATTGGAAAAGTTTTGTTTGTATCAAATGGCAAAAGCAGCTTTGGGGCTTGCTGTCAAAGAAAGAGTAAATAAATGGGCAAGGAATCTTTTACTCTTTTGTTCTTGTTTTTCCTTAGTGAGGGGGAAAAAAAAAAGGAAGAGATGCCAAGATTCAAGAAGCAGGCATTTCTATGTGCTTTTTTGTTTAGTGGTGGTACATATATTATTTCTACTTCCTCAAACAGTTGTGTAGGCTCCGTGCAACAGTTTCTAGTCTACTATGGATCTTAACCTAGTGGGTAGATCCACCATAATAGGTCATTATGAAAAAAATGTCACCATTGGATATGAAATGGGTCCCATTCAATCTTGCCATCTGATACAACTTTTAATGCTGAAAATTTTTAAAGTTACTGACGAATTCTGGTCATTGGGGGTGTCTGTTGATGACCGATTTGGTAATAAATCTAGTGGCCTTGACGACCGATTTGGTACCATTTCAGCCACAGAAGGGTGTTTTATTAGGACAGTGAATTCAAGGACCACTTGGATAAGAAGGCTAGAACAGGTGGAAGAAAAGAGAAAGCAATGACTTCTTTTTTCTTTGAGTTGCCTGAGTGAGAGGGTAATTTAATGCAAGAAAAACTTTGAAACTGTTGTAAAAGCAATCATTCAAAGGTTGTTCTTCTTTTTATGAATCTTTTACACGAAAGTGACCCAAACTGTAGTGAATGGAGATATGAGAAAGTGCAGATGGGAAGGGAATTGGGACTCACTCATGATTATGAAAGGCAAGAAAGAAAACAGAAAAAGGAAAAGGTTGATTAAATTGGGAAAGCCAGAAAAAATGGCCTGGGGTCACCTCTTATGTTTTGTTTGTTTGTGTGAATATATTTGTTTGTAGACCATGCAGCCCTGTGGCTGGTGTGTCATTTATCGGCAACTTTGAAGTTTCCATGTGCACTGTTTTGAGAGTTGATACTCTTTTACTAAATTATCAGCTCAAGCTCTCTTCTCCCTTCACTATCAAAAGGGCGAACCCCTTTTTTTAACATGGAGGGCCCTCACCTCATCATCTCTTAACTGATCTTTTTCCCATAATTATCAGTTAACCCACTTATAATAAACTTGATTCAAGCATTTGACAATGTATCCATCTTTTTGTTGTAATTAATCTTTGTGCTATTGTATGTACTTCGAAGTATTGGACCAATTTGTCATATTGTACCAATTTCCGTTTTTTCTTCTATGTTGAGCCTTAGTTTGAGATAGACTCGGTAATTCAAACACAACACAATAAAATGATGTAAAAACGATATGAATAAAAAACACAAAAATAACATAGTTTAAAATTTTAATAAAATTCATAAATAAATTTAATAAAACAAATAATATATTTTATATTTTTGTGTCAATATAAAATGTAACAGATAATTTTTGTGTAAAATACGATATATTTTATATAATATAAATAAACGAATTGTCAAATCTAATTTTAAGACCGATGACTTCCCCATGTTTATTGTCATTGACGTATGATTTGTTATTTCTTCTATGTTTTCTTCTCTTGAGATAAAATTGAGATATTTAATTAGATATCTAAGTAATCATATTATTTCATTAAAAAAGTTTATATTAAGATCTTATTCTTATCTAATAAGAATAAGAGGAGTCATGAAGTTTATGGGATGACTAATGACTTTATATAACCATTCACTTTAAAAAAAAAAAAAAAACCCTTCTTAAAGTTCATCTAGGAGAATAGGATTTCAAATTGATTTATGGCATTCATTTTAATTAAACAAATACTGCTGCAATTACATTCATCTAGGCTTAAGTCAAACACTAAAATTATATACTTCATCTTGTATAGAAAATGATAATTTTCATTGAGAGAAGATTTCAAATCACCACACATTTTTCTTTCTTTCTTTTTTTTTTTTAAATAAAAGAAGTGTTTAAAGGATAGAAGAAGGAATTTGAGTATTGCAAGTATTGGGGATTCGAACCCTAAGATTGATAAAATCTTAATTCTTAAATTCAAATCACCACGCATATTTGTTGTTACTATCAATATTTCAAATGAAATGAATAAAGTTTGGGTCTTTGAGAATTAAAAGGTAGAGAAAAAATTAAAATTTTTATAAGAAAAACATGTAGGTAAAGAGATCAAGAACAATAAAAAATTGTCCTTTTAACATTTGCCTCAATAATTGGTTGTATCTTTCTTTACTGAAAAACAATGTTCAAATCTTTTCCTTCCCAAATAAAAAAAATAATAATAATAACAATAAGCAAATCATTGGCTCGCAAAGAGAAAAAAACCTACCAAACTCTCATTATATTTTATAATAATACACCATTGTATATATTCTAGCCTTTTTTTTTTTTTTTTAATTTCTTCCATAAAATACGTATTAAAACGATAAAGAAATGCAAATTACAAAAGTAAGAAGAACCCTCTTTTGCACCGCCCTTTAACACATATAAAACATATATTTATGACCAAAAAAAGAGACAAAACACAAATGATAACTTTTTTCTTTTGTTTATTATGAAACAAGAAAGATTTTAGAGGAGGAAATATTGCAAATCATCCTTAATATATCTTAAGGTTGAAAACATTAACATTTATCTTCTTTTATTTTTGTTGGGGTTGGGGGGATGTTTCTCTCTCTTGGGTAAACTTTCTCTTCAATTAACTAGTGTACCTATAGCAATGCGTAATGGCGCTGCAACCACGGTTGTAAGGGTTGGCTTTTCTCCTGTTTTGACAGTCGTAGTAGGATTGTCCACGACGGTTGCATGGGACGGAGTTGGCCTTAAGGGCTCCATAGCTAATGTATCTTTTTGTCTGAGCAAGCTGGCGACGATTTGTCTCGGAGTCCATCATCAATGCATCGGTTACATCTTCAACACCAATACAGTGTCCGCCAATGCATGAACTTGTGTCGTCGTTGCCAAAATGGGCGGGACCCCAGGAGGTCTCGTGAAATGTGCTGGACTCGGCCACCATTGCCAAGGCCAACAGTAGGAACATCAGCCACACCTTAGAACCCATTTCGGGAACGTTAAAAGGACAGAAAAAAAAATGCTTACTTTCTGAATGAAAGAAAAGTTGTAAGAGAGAGAGAGAGGCTTTTGTAATGCCTAAGCCCTGCCCTTCCTGATAAAGGAGGGGAAGAGAAAGATATAGATCAATTGCGGGATGCTTGTGAGCTTCTTTGACGGGAAATATAGAAGGTAGGATTAATGGTCTATAATTTTGTGATTTAAGCTGATATTTTTTGTGAGGGTGCCCGTTTCTTGCTCCTTGTTTTCCTGTTTTGTTTTGGTTTATATTCTTTTTTTGGGGTTCGTTTGTATTATCAGATAAAATCTAGCTGTTTCTCCAACAGCCAATGCATGTAACTGGAATGTTTGTTTTTGGGGGGTTCATTATTATTACTAATATTATCATCAAAACCCTGTAATTGGAATTAACTACCTTTACGGAAATTCAGAACCAGGTTTGTATAAACATGGGCCTGGATGCATGACATATTTGTCCATTTGATCCAAGTGCTGCCTAATCTAACAACCAATTGGGTCAAGTTAGCAAAAGGAAAAGGTTTTTGCTAAGAGCACTTCGCCCAAGAGATAATACTGGGATGGTTTGGCATGGCACGAGTCCAACCATGGTATTTGGGTTTCATTCCGAGCTATTGTTGTTGCCCGAACCTAAAACAAAGCTTTCTTTGAGTTGAGCTCATTATATATTCTTACCTCGGCTGTCACAGAGCTTCTTACACCTGCTGTCTGGTCTCCCAATTTGGCTTGCGGTGTGAGAGAGAGGGAGTGGGATGAGCGGGAGAGAGACAAGGGTTTGGTGGGTTTGGGAAGAAGGAAAAGGAAGGAGTAGGAGATCGAAGGGTGAGAGAAGACAGCTGAGGCTGCTGCTGTGGTTGTTGCCATCAATGCCATGGTCTCATGTTATTGATGAATTTTTTTTTTTTTAATCAATGTTCATGATGAATTTCAGTCACTTACAAAAGGAAATATAATAAAAATTCATTTTTAATTTTGAAGTTACTACACATATCTGTTTGGTTTGCAGAATAAATATATATACAGGAAAGATGAATATTATCACAACCTGGATTCTTATTTATAGGTGTTATCAATTCAATTAATTTTATATAGACGTTCGTGTTAGCATTATTAGACATTCAAGAACTTTAATGAATTTTCTTTTTTATGCATAAAGTATGATTTTAATGAGGTTCAAGTTTTAGAAAACTTGACATTGGGCTTTTAATCATCTGGTATCATTCTAGCAATCAAGAAAATGGGTTTGGGACAAGATCATACATTGTTTAGGATCGTCATAATCTTGTGAAAATTAACTTTGGTTTATCATAGTAGAAACTCAATAACATCCAGGGCGAATCCAACTTGATTTACTATTCAACTTCTTTCATGATTTGGACCTTTCCCAACTTGATTTACTATTCAACTTTTTAACTTTTTTCATGATTTTGTTGAATTCGCCCTTGGTAAAAATGTCACCAAAGTTTATAATCACAAGTCAACCTCATAATTGATAGTATCATCATCAAACATGAAACAACACTCATGTTCATAAAACATCAATTGTGGCCACAAGTCCCAACAGAGTAAATGAGAGAGAAGTATTAAGTATAATTTTCTCTTTTTCTTTTTATCCCAATTGGGAGTTATTTACATTGAAGAAACAAATTAAGCACTCAACCAGGCATACTCCTGCACACCTAAATGCCTAGTTTAAAAAAAAAAAAATTCCTATACCTTTCCGGACCCCAGAAAAAATGATGTATCTGTAAAAGAAAAGCATGAACAAATTATTACTTGATTACAAGTTCTTTCGTGCCCATGAAGCTTGCTACTGACATGCTCAAAGTGAAAAATTGTAAAGACTGACATCAGGTAGCATATCAAGACCACCATAGCCGTCGTCGAAGTTGATCTGAATATCATCTACACTTCTCGCCTTACCTCGTATTGATGTTGACGAGGTTTGTAGTGTAGTTGCAGTTATTTGGCTGTAGGTTTCTCTGCTAGAAAAGGTGTCCGATAGAAAATGTCTGGCTTCCTTTGGCAGTCTACCCGAATAAGCAGCATCCATAGGCAAAGTCATAAAGTCGTTAGGTTCTTGTTGTTCCTTGTGTTTGAGTTGTTCTATAAGTAATTCTATAGATGTTTCTTCCTCGTCTCTAGATTGGCACGTAAATGGCAAGTACATATGGTTGTTGTTGTTTACATTATCACAGTGTTGATTGTTTGAAGCCTCAGCAGCAAACCTTTCCACCTTTAATATGAAGAAATACTGCTCCCTCGTATAAAAACAAGAAAGATTTCATCATCATTTCCCCATTTTCTTCAAAAGTTTAACAAGAAAACCGATTTCATCTCAATCCTGTCTTTTTTAGGGGGGAGAAATCTAAATTCAACAGATTTTGTCTACATATGGGTGTTCTTGTCAAGAGGAATGTGCTGACATAAGACAAACTAAAGCAGATATGTACGGTTCTAAGACAATGTCCTTTCCAGTTCAGCTACAACAAAGCTGAAGAGCTCGTGGCACACACGTGCCTATTCCTAGCTGTCTTTCAAAAGGTTAGTCTACTTCCAACGCATCATCCGTTACGTGTCAATTAAAGCTATGATATTTTGTCCATTCCAACCTTTTTCCCATTTTTGTCTATTTCCCTTCATATCCTTCCAAAGGGACATATTACCATCAAATACAGAAAAGTGAAGGCATTGCTGTCCTCCAGCTAAGCTAAAAACTTTTTACCCTTTCCATGTTCAAATCCCACTTCTAACTTCCAACATAATCGTAATTACTAGTACGATGGTAACAAGGAAGAAAAACTCACGAGATTCTTGCTTTCATCTTCATAAAGGGTAAGGGAATCTCCAATTTCCAGTCCATTTTGCTTTACAAAATCCCCTGGTGAATTGAAAATGCGATCATGAACATAATGAAATGCAAGTAATAACAAAAAGAAAGGGTTTGGAGTGAACTAAAAGTCAATTTGGTTTGATGGATTTACCAGTGTTTTCGAGCACATACATTCTACTCTTATTATTGGACCAGAACCTGTGACATCAATGAACAAAAACATTTCTATGTGGGTTCAATATCTTCAAGTAGTATTTCCAAAGGTAATAAAGAGTAAAGACAGACCAAAATCAAATACCAGCAGTACTTACTTGTACTTGAGGGTCCACATTTGGTTAGAGTATACATCTTTGATCATTACTAGGATACCTTCTTTATCAGAGAGGGTTGGAAGATTTACCTCTGCCTCTTTCTAGTTTAAATTGCAGTTTATGGCATTTTCAGAGAACATAGGAGGAAAAGAAAATGGATGAAATAAAAGAAGAAAAATGGCAAGATTTATAAAATATAAACCAACATGCAAGATAATGCCTTAACAATACTTCTACCTCTTTACTTTTCTTTTGACAGTTTTTTTTTTTTTTTTTTTGGTGCAAGATTCGAGAAGTTAAGAAAGGATTGATTAGTTATTGCGTAGTCTAGATGGCAACAATGTTGCACTAGTCAATGAGAGCAAATGAAGGGATAATTGTTGGTTGGCTCTTTTACTTCTTTCTCTTCTTTCAAAATTCACTTACTTTAAAGGAGAGGGTGAAAGAAAAAAGAATATATAGAGCTGAAAACCAAACAAGCAAGATTAGAGGTGGAAGAACAGGCCTTGAGAATACACTCCTCATGGATCAAGTAAACCTCACCTTTGGAAGGACAATTCTCCCAAGGGACCCAACATCACTGTTCTTTAACTCTTTCTTCAGCAACATTCTCAGTCTCTGCATCCCAAGTTAAAACAATCTCATCATTAGTCAATATTATGAAAACAATACGCCCAACATCATTAACTGACAAGGGGAAAAAAAGCGCTGACGAACACTTTTCAAAATTCACCTTGTTATCTGGCGTGCAAAACATGTACAGATCCCTTTTGGTATCATTATTGTTATTCACATCAGTGTCAGCACCAGAGCTGGTCAGTCTCCTTTCTTCCACCTGAATTGAAGCCCCTGAAGAAGCACTTCTTTGCAAACCAAGGCTTCTCTGCCGTGCCTGCTTCCTCCTAATTCTTGCAACCTTTGTTATATAAGGATCCAGAATCCTTCTCTCTTGTTCCTCTGATAGCCCATCTGTTTGTATGAAACATGATCCTTGCACCCCATTACTAGCCTGAATTGAACTGGATTCCCCAAATTCAATCCCATTCTGCCCCAGAAAGAACGGATACACAAGATATGCTAAAGAATGACCAGCCTGCTCTGTAGGTTGTCTATGTGGGAGTTGCAGGCTTTGGTAAGGTGCCACTAACTGTGATGGATGATGAAACTGAGAGTTTGATGGTGTTGATGAGGGTGTTGAACTGAAGTTTTTCGAGTTCATTGGTTCATAGATGCAGAACCCTGAATTCTGAGACCAACCCTTATTTGGTAGCCTCAGGGTGGTATTGGCTGTTGTGGTGGTGGTGGGGGAAAAAGGCATGTAAGAGTTCTCCATCAGGACAAAGGTGAAATGTTATGCCGAGCCTAGGGGATTGTAATGCTGGTGATCAGAGAAGGTTGATGAGAGCGCACTTTGTGTGTGTTTTTGTTTTGTGTTTGCAGTGAGAACAAATTCTGGTTCAAGAAGGACGTGGGAATGTAAGATGCTGCCAGTAGGGTGACTCCAGGTGTGAAAAAAGTATGAGAAACGCGTCAAGTGGTGCAGCGGGGTCAGTGTGGAGAGAGAGAAAAGGCCACGTAATTGCAAATAGAGAGAGTAAAAAGAGTGAAGAAATGGGAGGGAGGTTGCCAATGGGTTGGGGAGAGTGACAGGTGGCCGCCGAAAGGAGGTTTTGGGATACCCATCTGACCACTGAGAGAGCTTGAGAGAGAGTTGGCGCCATCTTTGGTTTAAATGTAGCAGTGGCAGTAGTCATGGACTCATCCTGTACAAAAGACCATGCATCGTTGGCTAACTCGTATACTCATGGCCTCTTATTAATTCTATATTCTCTCTCTCTACAAAAGGAACTTCTGCATTGAACTATTTGGTTGGTGGGTTGGGATTTTAGATTGAAACATTATAGGAGAAAAGGTGCGTGATATGACAGCATTGCTATTCCAGAGTAGATGGCTTCCTCTTATGTAGCAAGTTGTCCCACAATCTTGCATAAGATTAAAAGCCACCTTCAAAAGTAGCAAAGCATACTACTAAGGTACCTAGTCTATATTTCTTAAATATATAATAATATATTAGTCTATAAATAAATTTCAGGTTAAAAGTGTACTTTCGGAGGATTTGAGGTTGGTGATCTTAAAATCATAGGGAGATAAGCTGTGTTCTCTAGCTTTTGTTTTTTCGAAATTGGATTTAGATGATGCCTCTATTGTGAGTAAAATTAAGATCGTGGAAAGGTTTGGAACAAAGTGAGTCATGAGGTAGTGTGGCTGAAATCGAAGAAGGAATATCTGCTTCACAAATGTCCATTATCTGCTCCGTTGCGCGGCATTTCAGACACCGTATCCAGCTTGTTTATCATCAGCTCGAATGATCAAAACCTGCTATCAAGTTCGATCTGTGGAAAAGAGAAAAGTTCTAATTATTTGGTACAAGTTTGACACATTAAAGAGCTCAAAAGGAACAGCAAAGACAAAACTAATAGAATGAACACATTGTCGGTTTTATGAGGTGAGCAATTCTTCTGATGTTTCATGTAAAACAAATGAATGCCAGTTGTTGAAAATATATATCATATGAGCAACATATCTAACTGCCATATGGGTAATCTAGTATGATCCTGCTCACGAGGTGAAGATTTGATAAAATGAACTGAAAATGATGCAACCATTCCATGTTATTGGTGATCAATGCATAACAAAATTGTGTAAAACACTAATCACTAATCATATGCCTTTGAAGTTGGAAAATGCAGCAATTGGGAATCATGGCAGGGCCATATTCCAAGTATAAAACTGTCAAGGATCAAGAAAGCTATTCAACATGAGGGTATCAAAAACAAGTTATGATATATTTATGGTTATATCAATCTGAAACCTGCAAAGTAATACCGAAATAGGCAGACGTTACACAAGTCTGAAACCAAGACACCAAATGATCAGAAACTATAGTGTCATCTTAACTACGACAAAAGGCTGCCAAACAAATGCATGCAGATGCTCCCTGCTTATTTATAGTTAAAATAAAGAACCCAGTTGGATTAATGCAATAAAAGAACAAACATTTGAATCCTGCTTCTTTATGAAAGAATGATATTAGCATAAGCACAAAAACCTTTATGTGAACATGAAGTCCATTGTCACAATGTGGGAGCTAGGTACAGCTTGTATCCATAAAAGCAAGAAACTGCATATGCATTTCTTATCAGGAATTGTGACCGAGTATGCATCTACACAATGCTTTGTTTCTCCCAATAAGCATGTAATTAAGAAATCTTCAGTTCGATAGCAAAATCCTACGACGAGCATGAAGTTCCAAGACTTGCATGTACTTTTTGCTAAAACCTGAAATACAGATTAACATAGACAGCATACACAGTGGTAACTTGAATTTTAGTAATTTTTTCACATTAGATCTTGCATTTAAAGGAAGAAAAAATTTTTATCTCTTACTATCTTTATATCCTTTTTTCCTAGCTGTTTCCATTTAGAGTTTCTAATTCTAATTCTCACTACAACATATCATCTACATGCATGAATATACAGATTTTACAGTAAGGAAAAATTATCAAATATCAGGTGAAAGTATAGGGAAATATCAATCAAAATTCCAGAAGAAATGAAGCATTCCAGGTAGGTGTTGACTCTATTTACAGAAAAGAGTATGCACAAATATGGTCCAAAATTTATGGCAGATAAAAACATAAAATGCAAACAAAGGCTGCAAATTCCTAAATCTTAAAGTGAAAATGAGAACAAGTAGCATAAGAAAAAGAAAAACAGGTATAAAGAGTTTTGACAGATAAAACTAAGAAAACAACTTAATATATAAGCTATAATAAGAATGCCTTTTGATTAAGAATTGCCAGAGAAAACACTAGCCCAATCATGCAGAATTTGTGCGGTTACTTACAAAGCAAGTCTCAATTCTCTGTTTTCATAGGAATGATAAAGAAAAGTCCTCATGTCAGCGGAAAAGACCTCTATCCACCACTTATATGAAATTAATGGTTCTACAACATATAAACTTCAAGTGCTTTGTGGATTAACAAGAGAAACAAATTTGGTAATGGTAACAGATAATGAGTTTTTTGGGTGAGAATGGAGATCAATGGGCTTTTAGGTGATACAGGCACAACCTTGAACTATATAGATCAGGAGAAGGAGCTTCATGCAAGTAATGAAGCCTAGTTAGCAACATGTGCTTAAGATACCGATAGCTGTCAACATCTAGAACGTAATGCCAAACATGTTGAATGAGTGCCATTAATTTCACTCCACAAAGACAATATTAGGTAAGATGGAATCACTTTATCATTCATGTCCACTTCCTTATTTGTACATTTTTGCAATAAATTTACAAAATAATTGCTCAAAAATATAGATTGATAAGCATGTCCTAGCATTGAAGCCAAACAAAGCCAATTCATATTGCAGGCACCGGTGTTTGGAAATATCATCTTGTGCGGATGCCTATGCAAGGGAGAGAGAGATTCAAGGACTTTCGCTTTTGCTACAATAAACTAAAACTGCAAGGTAGCATTACAAATAAAGATGACAAAAGGATAAGTATGAAATGGTTATTGATTCAACAGTCCTTAGAAGCGTAGAGGAAAGGAGGAAGATATTGAGAAATTTTACCTTAGAAAAGAGGCTAAAGTGCAAGAAGGCATTAATAAACAAGATTGAATTTATGTTCAAAAGGTGCAGGGAGGTCTAAGGCCGGTATCTCATTAACCTCTAAAACAATCAGATTTCTGTTTCAATAGTTTATCTTCAGACCAACTATTCAGAAAGCCACATAAGGCACCTTTCGATACTGAAAAACCATATGGTTGACTGTTGCAGGACCCGGAAACCGGCTTCTAAACCATAATTTCTAGAGGCTTGGCATCAAGATGAGTGGTGTTATTTGAAAATTGGAATGTAAAATTCCATCCTTGAATAGACTCTACTTAATGCTTTCGTGTTGAAGCTGTTATAACTGTTCTAGCATAAGATTTGTGCAATCTTTGGAACAAAGTAGGGTATCTATCATGGTAAAAGTACCACCTATGCTGATATATAATGGATGTAGTCTGATTCTTCAATTTGATACCAAAAATTACAGAACTTGGCCATGGTTTACACTCTCACATCAATTTCTTCAGCAAAGAACTGGACCCACTTATCTCAGCATAAAAGATGAGAGCTCCTGTCCGAACTAGTGCCATCTTTAATGATCATCAGCTGGTCACAAAAGATTTAAGCAAAACCACTTAATGCTTCTTTTAATTCCAACTAAATCAATTAAGGAAAACTTTAAAAACAATTGTCCATGTCTGTACGTCATGATTATTCAATCTTTTTCATTGCATTTGAGTATTTGGGTCAATGATTAGTGCATGATTCTAGTGATCCTCTTCCTCCAAATCAAAAAAATATACAATAAATAACTTAAAATGAGAATAACATTTATAACAATTGATTCAAATGAAGTTAACGTTGGTCTCTAGAAGGGGTATTCCCTTTAAAACGAAAGGAAAAAAAAAGTCTTGGAACCTGTATGTATGTTGTTACCACATAAAGTAAAAAAGATAAAAAGATGTATACCCACATACCTGAAAGTGCTTTCTCCAACCGTATTCTTAGTAGCATTGTCTGAATAGCTGTGATATTCGAGACTGCATTTGACTATTTGAAACATATCATCCCTTGTTGCTGTCTTGTGTTGAATGCCATTGAACCGTTACAATTCTAGGCTGGCTTGACTACGTTGTGAACAATGTGGGTCCGTTCAAGCTTTGATATAGAGTGGAGTTCTGGGTTGAGACTGAGGCCTAATGCCATGGTGCATTGACAAAAAGTAGATCTCCCTTGTCCTTGGAAAAGGAAACGAACATGGTTAGAGAAATGTAATGGGTTATTAACTTATTGCAAGCAGACAGAGTTGGAATGGATCCATCAAAGCTCGATCCCTTCCTAGACCCAACTTTTCAGGACTGGGTCAAGGTTTTTCAGGGGAACCTGACCCTGGGGACTGGAGAGTTTTCCTTTTTCCATTTTTTTTTTAAATTTTGTATTTTGCAACTTAATAATTTATGAGGGGAAAGGAATGAAAAGACCAAAGACCCTCAAACATTACACTTGTCCAAAACAAGGTATCAATGCTACAACCTGTCAATCAATTAGGTTGCCACCTTCTCCTTCTCTGCCTCCGTATAGTTTTCATGGCTAAGATGATTGGGGATGCAAGAATTAAGAAAGTAAGAAACTATACTCAAGAAGACACCGTTCGCAGGGAAAAACTAAAGATCCTCAAAAATGGCAGCCACGTTCATAGCCAAGAGCGTGATGTTCCCCCTCTTTAAAGCTTTCCCAGCTCAAACTGTTTCTCTTAGATCCTCCCTCGAAGTCTCACGAGTCTGCTAACCTAGTAGAGTCTTTGCTTTGTTCTTGGCTTTGAATGCCTTTTATGGAGTTTTTAATGATGATTTCATGGCTTAATACTTTTTCCATTTATTGGAGCCGTTTGTGATAATTATCGAAGAGTTGGTGTTTTGAAATTTTCAGGGCAGAAATGCGTACGAAGAAAGAGACTCGAGACTTGAAATGGCCTATAGTGAAAAAGATACCTCATGATCATCCGATTAAGAAGCTGATATGACCTCCGTAGTGTAAGATGCCTCCGAGGAAGCCATAGAAAGAGCAAAAGAAGAAGCACAGGAAGCAAATGAGAAAGCAGAAGAATACGGACACAAAACCAAGGAGAAAACAAAACAAACCGGCGAATCGGCGGCTGAGAAAGCAAAAGAAGTAACAAACCGAGCGGCCGAGACCGCCCAAAGCCCCAAAGAGTAAGCGAAACAGAAAGCTAAAGAGTATGCGAATGAGACTAAGGAGATGGCAGAGAAGGGCAAAGAGAAAGCATCCCAGACTGCCCAAAGCGCAAAAGAAATGGCCAAAGAAGGTGTAGAGAATGCTTCACAAACTGCAGACGAACTGAAGCAGAAAGCTATAGTCTAATTTTATCTTTCGCCTGCTTTCGCTTCTCAAGCTTTGCACAAATTGCACTTGTTTAAACTTTAAGATTCTTGGTTTTGCTTACCAGAAAATAATAACCTTAAATTTCTTTGGGTCAATATGAACTTTGGAGCTATCGAGTTAGCAGTGGCCGACAACAAGCCCAGGTTTTGAAACACAGAAGCTTCCAACAGCCCAAATATTGGGCCATGGACAATATTCAAATCATGAACACAGAACAGCAATAAAGCAGGTAGCCGACAACAACAACCTAGCCACCCCACTTGGGCAGGAGGGGGCCACACTCCACAGAAAGGTCGTGTATTGTCTTTTTCCCAGACCAAAGCCATAACTCAAATGAAACGGAGGTGAAAGAGTGGGTACGCTAGTGTTTTGTCCTAAAAGTGAAGGCCTAGGGACTAGGCGAGCAGTTGTAACCCCCACCCTAGTTCCTACTCTGCCATCTCTTCGGTTTACATGGCTTGGGGCACGTGCCAGCTTCCACCTCCCTTGAAAGCCCAAGTTTCTCGACTCACTCAAAATTCTAAAAACTAATAATAAGATGGATTTCGCTAAAATATTAAAAACTTTTTGAATTATTTTAATTTTATATAAATTTTTATAATTTTATTATATTAAAATTTTTTAATTTATATTTATATTCAAAAACTTTTTATTTTAAATGAAATATTAATTTATATTAAATTTTTATTTAAATACAAATTAAAAATTAAATGCATAATGGATATGTCTAGTTTCATTTTTTTATTATAATGCAAGGAATAACAAAGTCCTATTTTTTATTTACAATAAAAATAAAAATGAAGACATAAATTTATATTAATTAAAAATAATTTTTATTTTTATTAATTCATATTTTATATATTATCTATATAAACTTTAAAAATACTTTTTTTGGGTTTTTTACAAAGCTAATATATGCTGTAATGAAATAGTTTACGTTTTAAAGTGTAAATATTCAATTATTAGATAAATAATAAAAAATTTTCTTGAAGGAACCTTAATTTAGTGGGAGTATATAATATAAAAAAAATTCATGGGGCAATGCTTTTAAATTATAAAACTTATAAGAATTTTTTATAATAAACTTGAACAATTTTAGAATCTCAATGGGGCAGCTGCTCTCACTCAACTATACTTAAATTCGTCTTTAGTTTAGTTAAGAGTTTCTTTTGATATAAATTAAATATTATAATTTTATTTAAATATAAATAAAAAGACAATAATTTATTTAAATGTAATAAAAGTATAATAATTTTTAATTATATGGATAATTAAAAATCATATTTATATAATTAATAAATTATAGTTTAATTAAACAATTAAATTCACACACGTAAAAACTTAAATTTAAAACTTTAAAGTTTTAAGATTTTTTCTTACTACTGAACTAAAATTTCATTTGACAAAATATAAAATTTTATTTAAATAAAATAATAAAATTCAATTTTTTTTTATTTTAACCAAGTGATAACTTGTTAGCTTTTATTTGTACAGTTAAATACCATAACTACCCTTTCATATAAAACAATGACCTTGAAAATGAAGAGTAATCAATTTGATTGTTGGAGGTTATTCTTTAGGAATAATTAATGAAAAAGAAGAGGGAGCCTTTAAATTTTTTATTAAAGAAATGTTATGATTCATCAAAACACTCTCGATCTTCAAAAAAAATTGGCATATAAAATATAAATTACACGTATAATTTCATATGACTAAATTAGATGCATTTAATTTTAAATTAATTAGAACAATGTTGCTAATCAAAGGAAAGCAAAACCTCCTATGGCATGAAATTGATGTCAAATTAAAAATGTAAATAATACATTAATACTTATAAGTTATTCGAATTTAATTTAAATAAAACTTAAATTCGATTCGATTATTATCGAGTCGAGCTCAAGCACGAGTAGCTCGATTAATTAATCAAGTTGAGTTCGAGTATTCTTATATTAGACTCAAATAACTCGCAAACCTAATATAATTTTTATATTTAAATATAATTTTATTATTTTAATTAATAAAATATTTCGAGTTCGAGCTCGAACACAAATAATCAAACTTTTATCAAATATAAGAATTAAATTTATTTTTATATGTTAATCGAATCTAATTAAACGAGCATAAGTAACTCGATTTTTATTTCGAGTCAAGCTCGAATTAAAAAAATAAAATTTGATCAAGTTCGAATCGAGTTTTAAATCTTAAATTTTGAATCAAATTTAAACTCAAACTTAATACTATATCGACTCGAAGATGGTTATATCTTTATGCCAAACGTATTATAACAGTTCATTAAAAAACATTAAAAAAATTAAAAAATATAAATATCAATAATAAAATAATAAAAGTAGAGAATAGAAGACTGAGTAGAGATATTGTTCAGGCACAGAAATAAGAAAGAATGAGAGAGAAAGACGGAGGAAAAAGGAAAGAAGGAAGAAAAGAAAAGGAAAACAGTAATTAGCAGCCCATCACCCCATTGCCCACCGCCACCACACCCTCTCTTTGGCAGCGCCGCCTATCTGCCCACTGTTTACTGATCCATTCCCTATTAATTATATTGTCTCTTCTCTATAGCCTAACTACATATCTCTTCTTGAATTCCTTGTCCCTATCTCTTTTATTATCGCTTTTGGCTGTATCTTACTTTCCTTGTTTGGCCACAAATTCTTTGGTTGTCACCAAAAACACAGGTTAAAGAGTACTGAATCAGCGTTTGGGGAGCTTGGGTGGGTTTTGTTTGTCCATTTAATCTGCTTTGTATTGGCTTTATCTGCTATTTCATGCAATTCTGATGACCCTGGAATGAATGAATCAGGTCAAGCAACTGGGGTTTTCTCTTGGACCTTTTCTTTGTTTTAAGTTTCTTCCTGGATTGGTGTGTGAGAGATGGGACTGAACCTAAACACACCCATTTCCCTATAATCAACTGTATTTTCACTGAACCAACAAACCTCCAAGTTATCTTTTTTTCCCCTCTCTCTCTCTCTTCACTCCAGATTGAGACCTTTCCTATTGGACTTTGTCCACGCCCGACACTCGTACATGTTCTCTTCTTTTACCTCTCATAAAAGCAGGTCAGTCAGTCCCGCGCTTTCGACACGTTCACATCAATTCTGCGTCTCTAAATCTAAGTATTATATATTTTTGTATGTACATATTATTCGTAAGTGATTTCTCTCCTCTTTGTGGAGATGTAAATCTGGGGAGATTTTGTTGGGTTTTGAGGGGATTTTTTCATAATTAGGTTCTTGATTACCATCTGTTTTTTTGCTGAAAAAAATTATATATTTGAGAGACTTGGGAACAGCCATGGTTTTCTTTAAATGGGTTGGTAAGTAGGAAAAAAAAATGAAAAGAAAATAGGCATGCACACAAGGTCACGATCGTCGTGGTTTTGTTTGTACAGTGGAGATTCTCGAGAGCCAGAGGCGGACACGTAGAGTTGTCATAAAGCTCTACATCTGAAACGCCTCTCCCATACCTCTCAGGCCCCATCCCAAAACCTACATGCACCAAACCCAACATCAAAACCTAAGCAAACCCAAAATCTTTATTCCATATCAGTCAGATTAACGAAAAAAGAATTAACAAATCAGCAACAGCATCACTAGCTGTTAGAAGACTATATAGCTATAGTGATGCAGCAGGATAGAGGAGGGCGAGGGGGTGATCGAGACATGCAGCAGAACCAACAGCAAGATCGCAGATTGAAGCCGTTGATGGGCGAGAATCAACAGCCGCAGCAGCAACAACAACAACGACAACAGCACCCACCTCAAAAGTGTCCTCGCTGTGAGTCTCTTAATACAAAGTTTTGTTACTACAACAATTGTAGTCTCTCGCAGCCTCGTTATTTCTGCAAGAGCTGTAGAAGATACTGGACTCAAGGCGGAACCCTAAGGAACGTGCCTGTGGGAGGTGGTTGCAGGAGAGGAAAGCGCACAAAGGTTTCTTCTTCTGGTGAAAATTCAAGGTCTCAGCCACAGATACCTCAGCAACCAACGCAGAAACAAAATTTGATATCAACACAAAGTATGATCTCTTCTAATCCAATGATCAGCGGAAGTTCTTTTAGAAACAAAGAGTCTGGTAGTTTGGCTTTATCATCTGCTATTTCTTCAGTGGGATCGAACTATCCTGGCGATGGGTTCTTGTTGTCCTTGACATCAGTTCAGCCAATGAACCAACCGCAACCTTTTAATCAGGCTCTAAGTATTGGTGGTGACTTGGTTGGTTCTTCAAATTTAGGTCTTTTGCAGGGATATGGTGTCCCTTCTTTTGGTTCACAACACTATCAGCCAATTCAGCAAACCCAATTCTTTCAAATGGGTAATAGAGAAAGGACTGTAAAACCCATCGGATCAAGAGGGCTTGGCTCAGTCTAGCAGACCTGCTGCAGGTTCTTCTTCTCAGCAGAATTGGCATCGAAGTTCCATCAACAATAGTAACCCTACAGTCTCTGAAGCGGCTTTGTGGAGTAAAAACAACAACAGCAGCAGCAGCACCAGTGCCGCTGGTAACAATAACACCAGCAACACCACTGGTGCTTCTTTGAATCCAAATCAGTGGCCTGATCTTCCAGGTTATGTTTCTCCTCCATAGTTTTTTTTATCCAGCCATTGTTATATCTCCCTCCAAAAAAGGCCTAAAGGTAGACAACTTAATACCTCTAAAAAGGATTTGTTTTTTTTTTTTTTGCCTTTTGTATACAAAAAGCCATTGAACTGCACATATATGATTAATATTGCACCATATATTGTCTGTTAGCTGCTGCTGTTGGGTTTGGTTTGAGTGATCTGGTGATCAACTCGAGGAAAATGAATTTAGAGAGAATTATTTTGTAATGTGGGTGTTCCTGTAAGTGAAAGAATAGCTGCAAATAGCCATTTGTTGCTATGTTATAGAGATATTCTGAGTTGGGTTCGGTTGTTTTTAACTTTTTGATATTATAAGGTGAATGCAAACTTCATGTTTGCGCTCTTGTTTGATTATTTTACTTCTGCTTTATTGCGCGAAAAAGATCCTTTTAGTTTCCTTTCAGAAAAAGCAAGTGGCTATTGCTTTGTGGTTTAGTAGGGTTAAGCATTGCATGAGTACAAAGT